GTCGGTGTTGAGAGCTCGGTCACCTCGTCCCGCGACCTTAAGATTGTCCAGCAGAACGCTCAGGGCAAGTCGCTTTGCGACTTCAACATCTCTGTTGCTGCCACTGCCACCAACTCGGACCAGATCATCCAGATGACTGGTGAAGTTGGATCTCTCTTCGTCCCCTTCAACCACCTGTCGGGTAACATCAACAAGGTGGCCACTGTCACCAACCACTTTAGCTCTTGGCCCTCGAGCAAGCCTCTGGTCACTGATGCCAAGAGCACTGATCTTGCCTCGATTCTGTTGTTGGCCAGCCTCCACAGCCGTAACATTCACGTCATGAGTGTTACCTCCAAGGAGGATATCAGCCTGATTGCTCTGAGCAAGGAGAAGGGCCTGAAGGTGACATGTGATGTTTCCATCTACTCCCTCTTCCTCACCAGCGAGGAGTTCCCGGCCTGCAGCTCCCTGCCTACCGCCGAGGACCAGAAGGCTCTCTGGGACCACATGAGCACCATCGATGCCTTCGCCATTGGCAGCATTCCCTTCCAGCTTGCTGGCAAGGAGGCCACCCCCGAGTCCGGTATCGCTGAGTCTATTCCTCTGCTGTTCACCGCTGTCTCAGAGGGCCGCCTGACCGTTGAGGACATCACCACTCGTCTCTATGACAACCCCAAGAAGATCTTCGAACTGCACGACCAGGTCGACAGCTCCCTCGAGGTCGAGGTTGACCGCCCCTACGTTTTCCAGAACCAGGGTTGGTCTCCGTTGAACGGCAAGACCATGCGTGGCTCCGTTCAGCGTGTTGTTTTCCAGGGCAAGACCACTTGCCTCGATGGCGAGATCACCAAGGATGCTGTCAAGGGTGCCGACATGTCCACTCACCGCATCATTCCCACCTCGCCTGTGCAGAAGCCCGTCACCCCCATGGCCCGCCCAGAGAGTTCCCTCGATAGACACGTGTCTATCAATGGCACTCCTGGCCGCCGCTTCCGTGCCCTGGACAGCGCTGTGCCGGCTGCCGGCGACTTTGGTCCTCCCCTTTACGTCGCCTCCTCGCAGGTCTCCCCCTCGCTGGCCGACATGCTCTCCCGCTCTCCCTTCCGTGGAAAGCACATCTTGTCTGTGAACCAGTTCTCTCGCGCCGACCTGCACCTGCTGTTCACCGTCGCTCAGGAGATGCGTCTTGGTGTCCAGCGCCACGGTGTTCTTGAACTCCTGAAGGGCCGTGTCCTCACCACTCTCTTCTACGAGCCCTCCACCCGCACTTCGGCCTCGTTCGACGCCGCCATGCAGCGCCTCGGTGGACGTACCATCGCCATCTCCACTGAGCACTCTTCTACTCAGAAGGGCGAGACCCTTCAAGACACCATCCGCACTCTCGGCTGCTACGGCGACGCTGTTGTCCTGCGCCACCCCAGCTCGAACAGCACTGAGATCGCGGCCAAATACGCCCAGGTCCCCGTCATCAACGGTGGAAACGGCTCCCTTGAGCACCCCACCCAGGCCTTCCTGGACCTGTTCACCATCCGCGAGGAGCTGGGCACTGTCACCGGCTTGACCATCACCTTCACTGGTGACCTCAAGTACGGCCGCCCCGTGCACTCCCTCATCAAGCTGCTCCAGTTCTACGATGTCCGCATCCAGCTTGTTGCCCCCAAGGCCCTCGCTCTCCCCGAGGATGTCCGCCAGCAGATCATCGCCTCCGGCCAGCTGGTCCTCGAGTCCGAGGAGCTGACTCCTGAGATCGTCGCCAGCTCTGACATCCTGTACTCCACTCGTGTGCAGAAGGAGCGCTTCACCGACCTCTCCGAGTACGAGCGTCTCAAGAACACCTTTGTCATTGACAACGCTCTGCTCAAGTACGCCAAGAGCCACATGGTTGTCATGCACCCCCTCCCTCGCAACGCCGAGATCTCTGAGGAAGTCGACTTCGACCAGCGGGCTGCTTACTTCCGCCAGGTATGTTTTGAATTTCCCCTGATTTCTTGAACAATATACTAACTACTTTATAGATGCGCTACGGCCTCTACTGCCGCATGGCTCTCCTTGCTCTCGTCTTGGCGCCATGAATATAAAACTCTTTTGCCATTATAATTATTTGGGAAAGGGAATCCATGGATTCACGCGAGACGTTTGTTTTCCTTTTTGTTTGAAAAGTTATGTTTTTCGATACTCCGTACTCAGCGTGATAAATCGCTGTATAGATTAGATGAATCTCCGTTTCATTTGACGGTCCCGTTCAGTGTATGTCTCTATTTCTATGTGTGTATATTATGTGTTATGTGTTATATGTGTGTTATGTGTTATGTGTGTTATGTGTGTCGTGTTTTGCGTTTCCATTTTGGGATGATTTGGGGTACATCGGGGTCATTTTGGGGTCATTTCGGTCGTTTTGGGCATTTTTCTTTTTTTTTTCTTTTTTTTCTTGGCATTTTCTGGGATTCGGGACTTGGGGGACTTGGGACTTGGGACTTGGCGCCTTTTTGCATTTTATATACCAACTCTGACAATATAATTCATTAATTCATCTGATCTCCAACTTCTTTTCAAGTTTGGAACACCCAACGAGGATCCTTGTCGCCTTGGAATTCTCCCTCCGCATCACCCACATCTCCCATCAACGGGCTCAATCCCTGGACTTCCCTAACACGCTCCTTCTCAGCATTTTCCCGTCGGAGAACTTCCCATAGGATCCCAACAACAACGATGTTGGCAACTAGATATCCCAATGCAAACCCATGACCAAGGAAGTATCGCGGGCCACTCTCGGTGCGGTATAGCTGTGTTCCAAGAACCGCACCCAGATTTCCAATTGAGATCTGCATGGCATTGGCAATGCAACGTTTAGTCTGACCAGACACATTATTTGCTGGCCAGGACAGAACAATAGCCACAGCTGGGTAAATACCTGCCGCAGCGAAGATCGTTCCGACGTAAGACACGCCCGCCCGGTGCTGCGATAGCAGGAGAATGTATCCGATACATCCAATGGCTGATGATCCCATGATAAATGGCGCGCGACTGCGAGTCTTCTCAGAAGCAATCGCAACACCAATGGTCATGAAGAAAGCCACTGCGTACGGTGGCACGGAAAGTAGCTGCGCCTTTGCGGCTGAGTATCCGAGTTCTTTGATGATTGTCGGAAGGAACAACGATAAGGTATACAGTGGCAAGGACATCGTGTGGAATCCTAGTCCGTATAGCCAGACTTTGGGATCTTTGAATGCATCCTGTACTGCCGACCAGGTGAATTCCTCATCCCGAGTGGCGTCGCTGTCATTCTTTAGACGCCATTGGACGAACTCCCGTTCTTCCTTGGATAGAAACTCGGCTGTTGAGGGGTAGTTGTATACCCAGAAATAGGCGATGATCGAGACGACAATGGTCAACAGCCCTTCCTGAATTGATTGTTAGCTATGACAGTGCATAACAGAATGATATAGTTGATCGGGACGCACCAAAATGAATATCCACCTCCAACCATTCAAGTTTCCCACACCTTTCATATGAGAAATTGCCTAGGAACCCGTTAGCTGTGGTTGTCTCTTGTCTATCAAAGGAAGAAAACCAACCCAAGCCAGGATACCACCAAAGGCACCTGCCAGCGAGGCAGCACTGAAAAACAGAGCCACGCGATAGTGTTGCTCGTTCCGCTTATACCACATGGACAGGTAAAACACCACACCGGGGAACAATCCACTCTCTGCAACACCTAGGAAGAATCGGGAAGACAAATATCCGGAGTAATTCTGGACCACGCCAAGGAGTGTAGCGACTACACCCCAGACGAGAGTTAGGGTAGGAAGCCATATTCTTGGGGTGGTTTTCTTCAAGATGATCTGATTGTAGCTGTTAGTATATAATCATTTGTACAGCACATTTATATTGAAAAGCATTGCTCACATTGCAAGGAATCTCAAAAAGAACATAGCCAATAAAGTATAGAGTCAGACCTGTGAGGTACTGGTCTCCTGCTATATACCTCCCAGTTAGTCCTCGGATCAATATGAAGACACACATGAAACGTACACATCTTGATGTCGGTCGTCATTCCTTCTAGACGAGCATTTCCCACATTACTGCGATCCAAAAAGGAGAGTAAATAGAGTAATGTGAGGGGTGGTAAAAGACGATAGTCTAATTTCCGTAACAAGGCTTTCTCGTTGATGCCCTTGATACTTGAAGGACCACTGGCGTCGCTCTCGGTGCCGGTGTGCACATCGTGCTTTTCTGAAGTAGCCATCGCGACTCACAGGTGAATCAGTCTTGAATTGAGGGTTGAATTAAGGCTATGATATGATATATGAAGGAAGGGGGAAATAGGAGAAATATACAGAGTAACCTTGGAATACATGTAGCACACCATCCATTATCCCCCGCAATAAAACGTTATTCCATAGAGATAACGAATAAGATCATTGATTTAGGGGAAATATGAAGAAAATGAGCAATACTGGGGTTTAAATGACGAGATCGCACTCCACGTGAAGATCGGCAAGCGGCATAAATATTTTCGTATTCTTCAGGTCCTACAACGTGAAGTGTAGAGGCCATCTAACAGTTCTTATTCTAACCTTGGAACTCACTATAAATTTATAGAAATTTTCATTGGGGGGGGGTTGATGTGATGATTGAATTACTCTAAACCATTGGAAAGGATGTACTATTCAAAGATTATATATAGAAAAGTCTATTTCACAAATTAAGCCTCTTGCCGTTTTTTCTGCCTAACAAACTGAGAAGGTAGAGAAAAGATCAATGAAAACAGACATCTAAAAGGACTATCTGAGAAGACAACCAAAAAGACATTTTAAAAAAACATCTAAAAAGACTGCTAAAAAAGACTACTAAAAAAGACTTGACAAGGCCCCATAAGCGGCCGGCTATTCTTGTATTGTTTAGTGGGTATATCTGTTTATTTCTTCTCATGTTTATGCTAAATCTACGGTATTACTCTCAGAGTGTATGTTCGCTAATTGACACAACTAGACATCTCTTACCCTTTATAAGTCAGTTCATGCCTTATCCGGCCAGTACTTTTGTACAATGACCTTCTTGTTGACCTTGCCCATGGCATTGCGCTCGATCCCATCCACAACCTTCAGAACAGTGGGGATCTTATACGGAGCCATCTCGTTTTTGAGCTCAGCGCGTAGAGTAGGAAGATCCAGCGGTATAGTCTATGTCACTGTTAGTTATGCAAAAAAGACACTTTCCCCTATGGGCACACCCAAACGTACCCCATCCCGGAATTTGACAACCGCAGCAACTCGCTGGCCCCATTCTTGATCGGTCAATCCGACTACTGCAACTTCTTGAATTGCATGAATGGCCAGCATCTTGCGCTCAACTTCCAACGCCGAAATCTTATATCCACCAGATTTGATCAGGTCAACAGAAGCACGGCCTTGGATGAAGTATGCACCGCTTGAATCGCGTTTAGCCACGTCGCCGGTCTTGAACCATCCATCCGCTGTGAACTCCGACGCCGTCGCTTCCGGTTTCCGCCAGTACTCGCAGAAGACATTACCGCCCTTGATCTCGATCATGCCGTCCTCATCCACTCCATCCACGATCCGACCGGTTTCTTTTTCGGTCAGTCGTACCTCGACCCCGGGCAACGGCCAGCCCACACTGCCATCGATTCGCTTTTGAATCTCCAGCCCGCAACTGAGCGCCATACCAATCTCGGTCATTCCATACCGCTCCAATAGAACCTGGCCGGTGATTTCGGCGAATTTTTCTTTGATGGGGGTTGGGAGGGCCGCAGATCCACTGACGACCAGTCGTAGAGCATGAGCTCCAGCCCGCGCGGCATCTTCTCGTTCCGTGCCGCGGATATGAGCATCGAAGTAGTCATTCAGGCGGGAGTAAATGGTCGGTACAGCCATGAACAAGGTCGAGGAGCCGTGGTCCTGCCACCGCTCCCAGATCACCTTAGGATCAAACTTCGCATGCATCTCCACTGTGGTACCGCTCAGCAAACTGGCAACCAGGCCATTGATAATACCGTGGACGTGGTGGAGCGGTAGCACGTGAATGAGACGGTCTGAGGGTGTGTACTCCCAGGCCTTGATCAGAGAGCTTGCTTGGAAAGTGATATTCTCGTGTGTCGTCACACAGCCTTTAGGGTTCGACGTGGTTCCAGAGGTATAGATCATCAGGGCGCGCCGAGTGAGCGCAAACGGTGGGGAGAAAGAAGGTAAGGTCGGGGCTTCATTTCGAGAGAATGCCTCCAGTCCAATGAATGGTATATTGGGGTTGCATCCTTCGCGCAGCGAGGGTGCGATCTTCTCGAACTCCGGATGCACGATAATCAATGAGGGGTCCGAATCACCGACGGTGTATAGCAGTTCTTTCACTGGGTGACTTGTGCCTAGTCAATGTTAGCGCTGAATACAGGAGGTTTCGCATTGCTGCGCATCTTTTTCACCTACAAAGTGGAACGCAGACACCCCCCGCCGCCCACACAGCCCATTGCGTAGCAACGTAGTCATATCCATTGGGGACCAAGAAGGCAATACGTCGTTCTTCCAAATCGCCCGTCAATCCCAATTGCTCAATTATGTGCTTCCTTAATGCTGCTGCGTCCGCCAGCAATTGAACGAATGTGAAGGATTGTTGTTTGGTGGTGTCAATGACCGCGATCTTCTCGGGATTCTGGCGCGCATGCTGCTCCGCTGCAGCAAAGAGGGGTAGTGAAGGGATCGGCATATTTTAATTCGATTCTTTGACACTTCGACACTTTGACACCTTGAGTCTAAAGATAAAGCACATGGACAATGTAGGCATAAGAAACTGGAGGGGGTAAAGGTGAGGAATTTGAGGAACATACGGGATCCCCCAGTATTTAGCCGATTGCGGAGAAAACGCCAATGTGGGGCCGAAAAAAATACTACCTAGGACAAATAGTAGAAAAATAGGGATATTTTTCAGTTAATATACTAGAATACTAAAACCTATATAACTGCAAATCCACTAGGCAAGAGAGGGAATCTGTTATTCTCTAAATGAATGGCCTGTGAAGCCTGACGAACAAGGCATCAAAACAATTACTCCCTAACTATATTCATCTATATATGTGCATATGTATGTCTATTTGGAATAGAATATCCCACATCAATGACCTTCTAGCTACTCAACATCCATTTCCTAGGTATAATTCCTCTTCATATTTGCTCAAGTTGTCGAAACTTGCTTCTGGACCGGATCAGGTTCCCGTAGCGAATAAACACAAACGGGATCAAAGTCATCAAAATACTCAAGAATCCCAAAAGACTGCAGCCCCAAGCAATTCCCAGCTTTTTGAACATTGGTGCAGCTGCCAATGGTAAAACCGCCCCGAAGATACTGCGACAACAGCTGGCAGCTGCCATTGCACTAGCAGCGTATTCGTGATAGGCATCAACCAAGTAATTGATCAAAGCAACAAATATGAGGAAGAACCCCATTCCAAATGGTATTCCCGCTAGCATGGGAACTATCCAGTGAATGTCCGCGGATGAACTCCATCCCAACCAGAATAGGGCGAGCACATATAATGGACCCCCTAGACATGCTAGAGGGAGTCTCTGGTACTCTTCAATTGCGGCCCAGGTAGCCTTGCGTGACTTTGCGAGCTGAAGAAATGAGTCGTATGCTAAGAATATGCCCATGCCAAGAACTGCCCCCATGGCGACTAGATAAGGTTCAATCTAGTTAGTTCGGGGTTCTCGTCATCTTCTGGAGAAATCCACATACTCGGAAGAAATGCCAGTGCGGCAGTACCTGCGTTCATTCCATATACACCTTGGAATATTAAGGGGTAGGCCTCGAAATACATGACTTCTCAATTAGTTATCCAGTTCCATGATTCGAAAATGATGCACTCACAAAATATTGCACTTGCGTAGGACAAGTAAAGACACGAGAAAGATATGATAGGCTCGTAAAATATCATATACAGGGGTCGAGTGAAGGTCTTGACTAGCATGCCTTCACCGGTCTTCCGGGGTTGGCGAGTGAGAGCTGACTGGCATGTCTCGGGGAGAAATAGCACCGGCACCAAAGTGACACCGGCGAGGATGAATGGAATCCAAAAGATCCATCTCCATCCAACTGAACCGACAAATCCTGCAACCAGCGGCGCAAACTGCGGACCAGCGGCGGTGATTGCCATCGACAACGCCATGGTTCGTCCCCGGGCAAGAGGAGATTGATAGATATCTGCGAAGATTCCTCCGGTGACTGCGATTGGGCAGGATGCGCAGATGCCACAGAGCGCTCGGAAGATGATCAATGCTGTCCAGTTGCTAGCAACAACACAGGCAAGCGTGAATATTGTGAAGAGAATGAATGTCCCTACCATTACCGGCCGTCGGCCATACAGCTCGCTCATGGGCCCGAAGGCCAGAGGTCCTGTCACATACCCGATCAAATAGACGGATGTGGGTAGCACTTTTTGGGTCTCGCTATGGATATTCAGGGCATTGGAGATATAATAAATCCCGCCACTTGGGATGGTTGAATCGAAGACGCTATTGAATAGAGTGAGGAGGCCGACAAAGACAACAAAGAACTTCTTCCGCTGTGATCATCCGTTAGAACTGTTGGACTGTTATTTTGCATTGAGCTTACACTTCTCCATGTCGCTGGATCTAATGAATTCTCCTTGTTTTTCCTTTGTACCTCCGGATCCCATGTCGTTTGATCGCCGGGGACATCTGTACTTAGGCCGCTCTTTGTCGAAAATGCCATGTTTGTGCACATTGACATCTGTGGCCTAGGAAGAAAAGAATGTATTCGCAGTTTCTCGCCATTTTGATTTGATTTATGTTGTACTTCCCTTTCTCAATTGTCAAATGGCTTGGACGTGGGGCGAATACCGCACTCCACAGGGCAGAGAGTAGTAGAGCAACTCATACCGAGATAAAGCCTGTCGCCAAGCCTCTTTAGCGTACATTATTTGCACGAGTCTAGGCTACAATCTCAGAACTAAGTAAAATCAAGAATATTAGTGCTTTACAGCCCCCAAAGGATGATAAATGCCATTACCTAAAATCGCTATCACTAAGCGTCACGCTAAATGGAACACGACCGCCACCAGAATCCTTTAAACCCTTTCTCAATCTCTCGCCATGACTTGCCTACCTGTTTTCAATAATGGAGGCTGTCCGTGCCCGACGCCGGAGAGAATTTACGGTGGGTACGTTTGCTCTCGCTTGAGGCCCGAAACTAACTGTGCGAGCAGGGATGTTGGCGCTGTCGAGAACGCAAGGTGAAATGCGACGAAGGCTCCCCGTGTTCGGCGTGCCAACGACTAGGCCTGCAGTGTGATGGCTCCAGTACCCGGCTCGTTTGGCTGAATGGGAAACAGTCTTATCGCTCCACAGGTAGGCGATACATGCACTGTGAGCGGACATGGGACAATTACCCTCCTCTCGACTCCGACGTGGTTGATCTCTTGATCGCGCAATGCGATAGCATGGAGACCAACGTGAACGAGTGCCCATGGCCCATGCCGGTTAATTACACCCCGTTTTTCGCGTTCCACTCTATTCCTCCGACCTCATTAGGATCAACAGTCAATCTAGTTCTGGCGAACGGCGGTACAGACTCCACTCATGCCAACCGCGATGATAAATTCCTCTTCCAACACTATGTCAATTATGTAGCATTGGTCATGATGCCGTTCGAACATCCCTGCAATCCCTGGAAGAGGTACTATCCGTCTGTGTCGCTGGAGTACTCTGCCCCGGGGAAACGGGCCTTGTATCATGCCATCTTAGCCCATGCTGCCTTCAATCTAGCGCATCTGGGTGCCGACAGCCCAAAGATGATACGCTTGGCGGCGAAACACTATAACACATCTATTCAACATATCAATGATAGCATCCAGACATCGGCGGATCAAGGCTCTGGAGGTACCCTGGCAGCGATAATGACGCTAATGATGGCGGAGGTAATAGTCAGTTATAACCAATGGATTGAGAGCGGACTAACTCCATTTTTATAGGTATACAGCGGCCAATCTAGGAAATGGAAGCACCACCTGCAGGGTGCATGGGCCCTTCTCCTCAACTCCAGCAGCAAAGAGCCCTGGAAGGAGTCCCAGTTCGCATGCTTCTCGACCCAGAGCTTATTGATTGTCAAGATAATTGGCAACACCACATTAACGGACAGGATTCATTCCCCCTTGACGCTAACGCCGGGTCTTCTTCCGGCAACTGATCGCATAGCCCCGGCCGTTATAATGCCCTCTCCTTCTTCAGTGCTTGTCAATGCCGAGATTGCATATGCTTCCTCCATCTCATCCACGCCCCAATTTGGATTCACGATTGGAACACAGAGATCCCTCCTCGAATGCATCTCAAGCATCACCAGCATCAGCCAGCAGATGCGAGCGACCCCGCCCACCAAGACCTATTCTGATGCCGACCGCACTGTTTCCCAAGTACTTGCCTGTCTAGATCATCTCCAGACCCAGGCCAACGAGGATCCGCACCCGCAACATGAAACTGACTCAGCCCCGGCTTCCGACTTGGATCGGCCAAGCCCTCAAGTGCAAAATCTGGCAAGCTATCAGCTCAATGCATTTATCTATGCCACATACATCTACCTATACCGCGCCTTGATGGATGCCCCGCCGAAGCGCGTCGAACCGTATGTCTCGTTGGCTTTCCAAAATATCTCGGCGTTCTGTGAGCAAAGCAGTGGGAACTTCTCACTGTGGCCAGCGTTCATTGCTGCTGTTGAAACGTACACGGAAGATGGTATGAAATCAGCGCAAAAGTGGCTTGAACAATCTATTCAATTCGGGCTTGGGAATAGGCTCCCCACCAAAAGAATTATCGAGGAGGTTTGGCGGAGAAGAGAAGATGCGCACTTTGAAAGAGCGATGGACAAAGGTCTCATTGCTGTAGATTGGAGAGATGTTGTGAAGGATCTTGGAATTGATATTTTGCTGGTTTAGCCAGGTTCTTTACACAAAAGCGCAGTTCGATTGATGCTGAAAGAGCTATATCATTTACCTCCTGACAACATCTACTTCTCTCTTACAGTCTGGTCAAAGGTCTGGTAAACCTCTTTCCACCCTCTGGTGTCAACGAGCTCTTGTCAAATTTCCCAGTCGGCGTTTGTTTCAGCTCCTCCACAATCTCAATGGCAGTAGGCACTTGCTGTCGCGCCATATGCTCCTGCGACCATTGCCACAAAGCATCTTCATCCAGCGTACTACCACTGCGCAACCTCACCGCAACCTTAAGATCATCTTCTGTTCCCACTCCCAACGCGCTAGGAATTGCAAATGCAGCAGCAATGACAACATCCGGATGCTGTAGAAACTCCTCTTCCACCTCCGAGGCATTGATATTCTCTCCACGTCGCCGAATGATATCCTTGATACGGCCGAGGAAGAAAACATTTCCGCGCTCATCCACCTTCGCGATGTCCCCCGTATGGAGCCACATATTGGCATAGGTCTTGACCGTATTGACCGGGTCATTGAAATAGCCCTGGAAAAACGCATTGGGATTCTCACTGCGCAGCAGTAACTGGCCCGGTGTATTGAGAGGCAGAGGCTCGTCTTCCCGGTCCGCAATGCGTAGCTGGTATCCCGGGCGCAGGACGCCGCAGGATCCTAGAGGCAGAGGGCCTTCTCCTTGCACTATTGGAACACTGGCCTCAACACTCCCATATAGTGTACGGAGCGGGTGACCGAATCGCTTTTCGTAGTCCTCTGCAAAAGTTGGGATCGGAACGCCCCAGGCAAGTCGAACTAGATGATCCCGGTCCCGCGGGCTTGGTGGCTGCTTGTAGATTAGGGCTAATGTTGCGCCCATGAAATCGTACACCGTCGCCTGCATCTCCCTTATCTCGTCCCAGAACCGACTTGCCGTGAATCGGGGAGAGAGAGCAGCGGTTGCGCCAAGTAAAATTGCCGGGATGACAGTGAGTGCTGTCGCATCTGCGTGGAATAGCGGGAACGGACAGTAGAGCACGTCATCTGTTCGCAACTTGCAACTTTCTATCAGGAGCGTAGCCTGAATGATAAAGTACTCGTGCGATAGGATGCATGGCTTGGATTTGCCTGTCGTCCCGCTAGTATACAAGAAGGCAGAGATAGTGGCCGGTGTCGCGGTAAAGACTTCCTCTAGGGGTGCTTCGTTGAGATAGAGCTTGGACAAGTCTTGGGAATTGCCGCTCCCGAGAATCCAGATTGAATCGCGCTTGAATGTACCCGTTCCTTCGATCAGGTTGACATACTGCCTATCCACAACCGCAAGTGTTGCTTCCGCTGCAGCGACCGCGCTCTTCAATGTCAACGACCGCCAATCTGTGTTTACCGGGACCCACACTGCACCAAGCCGGTTGGTGGCCATCCAGGTATGAACCATCTCGAGGCTATTTTTCATCATGACGAGCACCCGGTTGCCTGCTTGGACTCCCGACCTGCGAAGCCCGCTGGCGAGAGCCGCCACACTGCAATCAAAGTCCTGGAATGTGACATCTTGGCCCTGACATCGAATGAAGACCTTGGTGGGATATTTCTGGGCAGCTGTATTGAGTGCAGTATTGATATCCCGAACTTTGGGCTGTATCTGCTTTCTGTCGGCGAACTTCTTGAAGGCATCTGCAGCCTCCGTTCGAGCGAAGCAGTAACTAGCTGCGTTCACCTCGTCATGTAGCGCCGATTCCATGTTAGGGAAAACACCTCGTTCCAGTGACATTTTGAGGCTGGATGCTGCAGCTGTCGGCAGTCTCGCCAGCTCCAATGCCAGCTCCTCGGCCCGTGCTTTCGGATCCTCCGCGGTCTCGCTGAGTAGACCAATGCCCAGTGCCTCTTGGGCCCCGATGGTTCGACCACAGATTAGAAGCTCTTTGGCCTTCAGCAAACCCACCATGTGAGACAATCGCAGCGAGATTCCCCCGGTGACAGCATGGCCGAGCGTCACTTCAGGGAATCGGAACTTCGCATTCGGGCCGCCAACGACGAAGTCTGCTGCCAGGGCAATCTCTGCTCCGCCACCAACTGCATATCCCTGTACGGCGGCCACCACGATCGCAGAGGACGAAGAAGTCAGCCGGGTAATGTCTTGCAGAAGACCAAACGCGATGCGAAGTTCCTCTGCAGATCCCGTGCGCGGAGCGAGAGTTTCTTTGAGGTCTTCGCCGGCACAGAAGGCCCTGTCCCCTGCACCTTCGAGGATTATTACATGTGCATCTCCGTGGGTACGTAAAGCATTGGTAAGGTCACACAGAAGCCTGGTGTTGAGCGCATTTAAGCGGTCGGGTCGATTCAGCGTAATTTTGACCACAGTTGGGGCCGGGTGAGAGATGATCACCGTGTTAGAAGGCATCGTCTAGTCAGTATCTTGCTTTGTAGAAGATAGTATGCGTGGGAAAACATATTTCGCTTCCAGGTTGAAGGGGTATATATGAACATGTTCAATGATAGATGCGGGTCGATGTGGAGATAGGATCATGGCAACTCATACCGAGATGCATAATTTTCTTTGCTATGGTATTCTCTTATTGGATGGGAACTGTTACTTACCACCTGCGTTTCTTAGTGCCTTGAATCCCTGTTCCGACCAAATTAAGTGTTGCAACGTGAGATGACATATATCGGTTACAATCAGTAGAGCGATTCAAACCTAGTCTTTTGGCAACAGGGTCGGTTTCAGTTCTTTATCGACCAGTTCTTTATCTACCTACTACAGAAGATCCCTTGAATCTTTGAGATCGAACAGGGTGAGGTTGGATCTTTTATGTCGGAGCGACAGAGGGGGTTATGTGACGGGTATTGGGGCGCCAAACCAGAACGGGCAAAACAAACCCGAATAGGCAATCCACAGGCCCTCACCTTACAGACCGATCGAAGTGAGAGCAAACTAGGATTAAGGCAGCGAATATCAGGTTTTTGGATGGAAATGGAGATAATTTCTTTTTTTTAATATTCAAGGTAACTTGCTTAAACGAGCATATTCTTGCTCTCTCTGTCTTTATCTAACATGGTTGAGATCAAGATTCTCCCATATATTCTTCTTTCCACCCTTCAAAGCTAGGTCAAGCATAGCTCCAGCTAAATCATCCACCTTCACCGATGGGCCAAGACTAAACGCAAGACTACGTAGACTCATATCCCGCGCTAACACCATAGCCGGCCGCACGATATGAGCCTCGAAACCAGGGTGATCATCCACAAATCCTAGAAGTTCATTCTCGACTTGGCCCTACTACTGGTCAGTAAAATTTGCTGCTTCTATCGAGGTTCTCGTACCCGAATGCGCCGATACTCCTGCATAAACCAGAGCGGTTTAGTCTGATCCCTCTCAGCGGCAGCACCGCTACAATATATGAACCGGAATGGTTTCTGGCACGTCTCTTGAAACACTTGCGCTGCTGCAAGAGTATAGTCCACACTCACTTGTCGAGCGATGTCATTATTAGGAATGTAAGCCTTGCCTAGTGTCCTACATAGAAGAGAAGTCAAAGTCAATATCGCCTCATGCAGCATCTTGGCAGAGGATCGTACCAGATACATGCCTCGGCATCTCGAATGTCATCCCAAATGGAGTCAGGGTAGATCATGAAATCCTCAATTATTGCGACTTTGAGCTTTTCGTGTGCTGGTAGTTCTCGTCGGCTGAGCGCTACGATCGAGGTAATCGCAGGATGTGCAAGACATTGGGATAAGACTTCGCGGCCGACGAAGCCTGTTGAACCTGTGAGGATGACCTTCATCATTCATGCAATAATTTTTGGGAGTTGACGGTGAGTGATACGCGAAACAAGGTTATGGGGGCAGCCGGGGATAGCATGTTATCTCCGTCTGCCTCGGTTTTATGAATGTGAGATTATAGGAGATAATTATTTGCTCCGCCTAAACATAATCAAAGAGTAAATTCCAAATCAAGGTCGCTAATTCGACATTCAACATTTCAAAATAAATCAACTAAAGCATGGCTACTGGGGTTGGTGCTTGTGCCAGCTCGCCCGGTTGGACGGTGCGTGGCCCGTCAAACGATCCATCGCCATTATCTTCCAGTCCACGAGCCACCAAGTCTGTGAAATCCACACCCACTTCAACCAAGAGAGCGGCATGATCGTGCACGATGTCGAGGCATTTCTGCCAAACCGATGTACCACGTTGCACGCTGCTAAGCTGTCGGCTGAGCAGAGCATTGAACCCGTCGAGGTGATGCTTAGCCCAGCGAATGCAGGAGCTGCTCATCACGCTAGGGAAGCATTGTTGATAGATACCGATAGTGTTCTTGATCAGGTTAAAGTAAACGTAGGAGATCTGGAATATGTAAAGAGGTAGATCACCTTCGAAGATACAGGCCCTAAGAAAATCAGTCAGCATGCAAACATAAGCTTGTGTGATAGAGGATGAAGAACATACCGGATGCGTTGGCCGATCACGTCCGAACGTGCCTTCAGGTAAGTCTCACGTGCCTGATCCTCAAACCCTAACCGAGTCAACCAGCTAACGTGAGTCTTGGTAGCCGCCGGGAATGAGTGTTTGTCGACCAGTGCTCGCGAAAGAATCCCAGCAAGCCGAGTCGCTCGCCCGTCGACCTTAAAATTGATGACGTCTTGTGCAATGGTGTTGCCTTTGAGTCCCTTGGCCAACTTGCGTAGTCGCTCGATGCTGAACACGGACGCCTCGAATCGCTGAAGCGCAATATCGATGTCAAGTTCGTCCACCTGCCCTTCAACCCAACGGAGGTTCTGTTGTTTCCCATCCACATCAATGCGCAGATCGGACTTGTCTCTTGGGGTATCAGAGAGGTCGAAAGACTCTGGCTTTTTGGAATGGTCAAGGTGCCGACCAGCTAGATATCCATATGCTTCAAAGGGCTTGCTGGCTGCTTCGGTCTCCGAGCGCATGGTTCGACGCAGGTCCTCAACTGTCTTGCGGAAAGTCGCTAGAAGTTCCTGTTTCGCTGAAACGTCCTCATGGCGATATGTAAAGGGCTTGGATCCCACGCGGATGCTGATCGATCTCCCAATGCCCCGATCCAAAGCCTCTTCGCGCGCTTGCCCGGTTCCCAAATTGGCTCCAAGATCAATCATATCAACATCGTTAAGAAGCCAGCAATCTTCTGCCACTAGCCTCGTTGGAACAGGTCCTCGGTGGTTGGGGTGACTTTGGTCGACCCGCTTACGCTTCTTCGCAGCCACGAGCAAGTAATCGTTCAATAACACAATGTGAACGGGCCGTCTTGGTTTCCAGGTGGCTGAGTCCAGCTCAACCCAATTACCAGTTTCTAGGACAATGTGCCGTCCTGGTGCAGCTGGAAGCCACTTTTGCGATCCTTCCACTGTTTTCCACAACGTTTGTAGCTGTACGCTCCACATGCTCTCGAGGTTGGCGACCGAGCTGCGATTCGCATTGCGTTTGGGGAAAGAGTCCTCCATCGGTGACATGGGATTAGGTGAATTTCCTACGCTTGTTTGTCCGAGCGCTGTTGTTAGTTCCGCCATGAGGGTACGGAGGGTCCGCATTTCATCCTTGAGCTTCTCCGCTTCTTTACTGATCTTGATGAATTGAGTGCGATTCTGATAGACATTTTGCTGTAGATCGGTGGATGTTCGGTTCTTGACTTTGCGTAGGCTTTCTTGGTACTTTTGGATATCTTCCTCGGACGCGTTGGCGAGAAGACTGGCCACATCTAGCATCAGAAACCCCTGGTTAGCTTTAACAAACACACAGCGGCGGGCGAGGGAGCTCTAACATCGATCAACTGGAAGACTGGGATCTCGTAGAGCATTGAGGTCGACTTTCGGTGCTGGTGAGTTCGGGTCCGCTGGTGATGGTAGTCTCGGAATAGCTGCCGGTGCTAATCCGCCACGTCCCCCGGGAACCTGATTTGGAAGTGCCGGAACAGGAGGAGCATTGCTATCAAATTCAGGTGCGCTATTGAATCGAGTCGAGTATCGCCGTTTTACCAAATCCGAGGTCGCATCGTTCTGGGGTGCCCGCTCACGTGTGGGGATTGCGGCTGGGCCTGATTCGGGAGACCTGGTATTGGGAGGTAGAGGACCGGAGATGGGTTTGGGAGCGCTGATCTGAGGGCGCTGTCGACGAGACTTGCTCCTCAGAGTCAATCCTCGGCCTTCCATGGTGATTTCACTTGGCAATGCAGCAATAATCAGGGAATGGAAACGTTTCGGGAGGTCAAGGGGATGACGCTCGGGCTGCGGGCATGATTATATAATCCAAAACAGGCTCCGGACATCTGGACATCCTTGAAACATTTTTATCACTCAACCACCTATCAACCACTATCGCCTCTCCAAGTCTCCATACACTTCTTGGCTGGGACAAATCTGATACTTTTAATTCAATCTCATCCCACATCTTCACCATGGCTTTCCGAAACACTGCCATCGTCGCCGGCACGATTCTGACGGGAGTTCTCGGTATCTAGCATTTGTCTCACCGCGTTCTTCAATTATTAATCGTTTGTACTAGCCTACGCCGTTTATTTCGATCACAAGCGTCAAAGCGACCCTACCTTCCGCAAGTCGTTGAAGAAGAACAACAAGAAGGTCGAACAAACCGCGAAACAGGAGGCAGAGGCCGGCGCCGCAGCCAGGGTCGCAGAGCTCAAGAATGCGCTCGAACAAGTGAAGAGGAACGGTGAACTTCCAACAGATCTCGAAGAGAAGGAAAGCTTCTTTATGAGCCAAGTCGCGTTGGGAGAATCTCTTTGCGCTTCGGAAGGTAAATTGAATCCATTGTCCCATCCTATTTCGATTCCGAAGGGTGGGAGCGAGATATCAGTTACACGTCGCAACGGGAATAAACAGGTCGCTAACTGAATCTCCAGGCTCCCAAGTCGAGGCAGCAATTGCCTTTTGGAAAGCATTGAAGGTCTACCCCCAGCCCCAGGTAAGTACAAACCATTCCTGATGTCACCTATTGCCTTCTTCATCATCTTCATCATCATTCTAACTGCTATAATTACATAGGATTTGATCGGAATTTACGACAAGACTGTTCCCAAGGAAACCCTCGAAATCCTCGCCGAACTTATCGCACTTGATGGTGGTCAATCCGCCGGCGCCAAGGCTGGCACCGACGATAACATCGAATAGAAAACTGGACCTGACCCCTCAACAACTTGTATTTTACACAGATGGAACTCTCAAATTTGTATCACATAATTTATATCGCGGAGAACTAGTATGTTCATTGCCCAAGAGCCGTGGGGGAGGCGGAAACAAAAGGGGTGTGGATGAAGGTCACCATGTAAGTTGGATGGATTGATGGCAATTCATTGCCAAATATTCCAATTATATGGAGCACAAGAGATACCACCAATCTAAAGCTACTTCTCTCTTTTTTTGGCTTTTTTCCTATGAGGTATATGTATACACCTTTCCATCTTCTGCCAGGAAGACGTCTATAGACTGGTACATGGTTAGAAGAAACTACATGTTTCTATCAAACCCTCTTTCATCCGGATCCTAACTACCAAACCTTCGAGCATCAATCATAGAAAGATAATTTGGTAGTAATATGGCCAGTGAGTACTCTACGTTCAAGGAGAAGAGGGTACTTGTGATTCTTCCATTTTGTGCACGCACACCACGGCGGTTATGTAAGACGCGAGGAATTTCCGCAGTTATTAATATCGAGTGTACTTTCTAATCCCCTGTTGCTATTCATATGTGGATTGGGAAGATGGGATGAGGAATAAGAAGAAGCCAAGTGAATGGATGAGAGTACGAGTGGGAGAGGCAAGAGAGATAGGTAGCAGTTAGAAAGGAGTTCCAACTTGATTCTATAGCGCCAAGATCAGTTATTCTAGACGGGGATTGGTCCGCTACTCTGTAAAGCTACCTCCTGAGGTCCGCCGTGCTACAATCTATTGCCAAGACATGCCTTGATTCCAAGACCTTTTAGGTTCTATAGGTCAGATTTATTCCAGTCCACTGGAAATAGTCATAGTAGGAGAGATACATATATATAGAACGAGAGTAGAAGCACCAGATGCCATGCAGAGAGATTCAGTCCAACATAACTACACGATCACTGGGGCATCTTTAAAGGTTGACTTGTTCTTGAGAGATCCAGCGGGCAAAAATGCCAGACAGAGAGATACTATAGATATCTATGCGGGGATTTGAGCTAGTCTTGGACGAGAAAAGCAGAAATCGAAAGAAAGTGGAGATATCCGAATTGAATGCCGAATTTAAATTGCACAGCTAGCTGCATACTGAGTAGTAGTAAGGCAGTCATCTTTTTAGCCCTAAGATTGCAAAACATCAACGGTTCAGGCCAAATTTGAGGCCTGCGTGGTAGGTAACCATGGCACCGGTAGATTGCAATACCAGAGTCTGGTGAGAAGACAATGAACACAGCGAATTGTAACATCATATCTGTATGATCAGCTGAGGGTCTCAATACCACCTAGGCTATTAAATACTATTGGAATACGGCAGGTTCCCCTAAGATCTATTACACATACATTCCTAAGCATAATCAAGTCGGAATCAAGCAAACATCATGCCCATTTTCATCCACCATGCAGTTCGGACAATAGCCTTTGAATGTGGCTCTTCCTCGGTCACGGATAAAGAGGCACTAAGCAAGTCCCTTAATGTCTTCTTATGTTGTTCACGTCATATGTAATTCTGCTGTCTAGAGTCGATTCATTAAGGCGCTTTTCCAGATCTTGTGTCTTCTGCTTTGACTCATTAAGCTCCGACACGAGCCTCCGGACCTTCGCCTGTTGTTGCACTTTTTCAATGTTCTACCTCCGCGTTATATCTGGGGCCTCCATAAGTTATGATGTGAGCTGGTGATTATCTTAGTCGGCCTTCTTGAATATGGTGTTACAGTTGGCGTAGACAAGGTCGGACTCTTCATCCTGCGGATGCTTTTCCGGTCCACGCGCGGGGAGTACCTGACAATGTCGAGCCCGAAGATTAGCACGACTCCGAATTAACATTATAAGGTTAGTATCTAGCATAAAATGTAATACTGATTGGCTGATCAAATAACAAGCTCCATTGTGGCTCGATTAACTACAGTTAATTTACCAAGATGAATAGATAGTCACATTTATGATGCCCATTTTTCGATGGCACAATCGGGGCAGCTTAGAGGTCGTTTCTGTGGGCTGCTCACCCCAACGCGCAGGTTCTGCTCAGAGAGCGGATTAGACTGCTCAGCTGAGGATCAGTAAGTGAGACTGCTCCCGAGGTCAGAGATGCTCAGGAACCTGCGAAGATCAGATCGCTTATGTAATAACTAGTGAACCAAACCTTAGGAATCCATCAGGCCGTTTAGGGCCGTGCTCAGTTTTACTTATCTACTCCGTACATGAAGCTAGTGAGCAAAAAGCGGCGAGGCGTAAGCACTCAAACGGTACCGGTAAAGATAAGATAAAGCATAATCAATCACGTGGCTTAATGGGTCCGCTGAACTTAGGGGACTCCCGAGGTCGTCCTGGCCCTAACCACACTTGGGCATAATATCAATATCACCAACTTTCTAATAATAACAGCTACTAAGAGCATCAAGAGACTTGGAGATTTCTGTTGCCTATACCCCTGAATGTAGCATTTCAACACAGCCCAAATAGCCCAGCTTGCCCAGAAGTGGCGTCCGAGCAATCACTATTTGAAGGGTATCTTGGCCCTGAGTGGGATTCTTGGCCGGACTTGGCCCGCGGTTCGTCTTCGGAGGGAAATAAAGGCAGGTGGGAAACACAAAAGATATGGACTTTTATACTTTTTGATTTAATGAAAGTAATTTAGTATAGTATGTCTATTAAATTGTATACTACATAAGCTACCACCCTACCGAGTCCTGCCATTATATTAGATAGTGAAACGAAGATGTGAAACCTCCAAGAACTCCCAAGACCCTCCAAGACCCCTATTATTTGTTCAGAGACTGCCGTTCTCCACAAAATTGAGACCGCTGATCCATTGAGTTTCTCTAGATTGAAATTATTTCAAAGTCATTTAACCCATTTAAGGCCTTTAATCCCTTTGATTCCCTTTCTTCTTCTTTTCTTTGGTTTCAGTCGTTCCTTCCCATTTCCGCGCCGCTGCGCTGTCTCTCGTTAATCTCGTATTATCTTATCTCGTTTTATTATATCTCCCACCTCTCTACATATTTTGTTGCTCTTCTATACCCACTTGATTTTACAATGATCGTATGTACTGTCGCATCTCTATTATTATGACCGAAAGCTGACCATTTAGTCATACACTCAACTCTTAGCATCCGTGTGTGCGCTTGCCAGCACCGCGGCCGCTTTGACCCCACTGGAAGTCAGCGGCAAAGACTTTGTTGACTCCAAGACCAAGGATCGTTTCCAGATTATCGGTGTTGAGTAAGACTTCCTTGCCTGTTTCTTACCCCAAAAATTCTACGGTGCCTGACCACTCCATAGTTACCAGCCCGGTGGTGAAGCCGGCTTCACCACGAAGCTAGACCCTTTGAGCGATGCAGATGTCTGCCTGCGCGATGCTGCCCTCATGCAGCGCCTGGGTGTAGGTCCAGACCCTGTCCTCATTACTATACAGCAACTCATTTTCATAGGTCAACACCATCCGTGTGTACAACTTGGAACCCTCTCTCAACCACGACAAGTGCGCGTCGATCTTCAACGCCGCAGGAATCTACATGATTCTCGATGTCAGTAACCCTCTGGCTGGTGGCTATCTGGACCGCAGCGCCCCCTGGACCACCTACAGCGCCATCTATTACAAGCAGGTGTTCGGTGTTATCGAGGGCTTCAAGAACTACGACAACGTCCTGGGCTTCTTCGCTGGAAATGAGGTGATTAACGAGGATGCCCATTACATGGCTCCCAAGTACGTCCGTGCCGTCGTTCGTGATATGAAGGATTACATCGCCAAGAACTCTAAGCGCGCTATTCCCGTTGGATACTCCGCTGCCGATATCCGTAACATCTTGATGGACACTACACACTACTTCGAGTGTGAGCTCAAGAACTCGACCTCTTCCCGCGCTGACTTCTTCGGCCTCAACTCGTACTCTTGGTGCGGTGACTCCTCCTACAAGGCCAGCGGCTTCGATGTCCTAACCGAGGACTTCACCAACGCCACTATTCCCGTTTTCTTCTCCGAGTACGGCTGTAACGATGTCAAGCCCCGTATCTTCACCGAGGTGCAGGCCCTCTACGGCGTGGAGATGACCCAGGCTTTCTCTGGTGGTCTCGTTTACGAATGGACCCAGGAGAAGAATCTGTACGGCCTGGTCAAGGTCAACGACTCCAAGACCGTGACCACTCTTATCGACTATGATAACTTCCAGAAGCAGCTCAACAAGCTCGATATTGACCGCATCATGTCGAGCAACGCCACACAGGCCAATGTCAAGCCCGAGGCGTGCAGTACCTCACTCATCAAGCGCAAGTCCTTCTACAACGCCTGGGATCTGCCCGAGGTTCCTTCCAAGGTCTCGGACTACATTAAGAACGGTCTGCCCGATGCCCCCACCGGCAAGTTGGTCTCTGTCTCTTCCACCACTATCCCCCAGAAGGTGTATGACTACACCGGCAAGGAGATTACCGATGTCAAGTTTGAGGTCAAGAGCGGTGCCAACACCCCCTCTTCTTCCTCCGGATCCTCTGGATCGGGTACCTCCGGTTCTTCCTCCAGCTCCGGTACTTCGACCTCCACCAACAATGCCGCCGCTCCTAATGGCGCTCCCTCACTTGCCCTCGGTGGTGCAGGAGGTTTCTTCATGCTGCTTGCATCCCTTATGTAATTTCCTTGATGATTTGTGATTATCTCATTCTTGGGTTTCACAGTTCGAACTGAGGCTGATATCGGTCTCGGTCTCGAGTATCCTTTTCTGTATGGGTTACTCGTATCTTCTTCTTTGTCCCGCTTTCTTGTGATTCGGTTGTTAATTTGTACATGACTCCTTTGGAACAATTCACGTACTTTATTCTTCTCGCGTTTTCCACGCTTCCAGCAACAAATATCGCATATACATTGGGAAGGAGTTAGTAGACAAAATGTATCGTTGGAAGAGATCCTTTTCCTTTCTGCTAGTGTATTTGTCACTAACATTCTTATTTCTTCTCTTGTAAAAATCACAGCTTGGAAGAACGACCATCATAGCTTGTAGCTCCAATAGCCTTCCCTTGATCGACGACTTCAGTCCTAGTCTTCAAGACCCGCTTCAGAATCTTACCAGAGAAACTCTTAGGAATCTCATCGATCGGTATAATCCCACCCCAAAGCTTCTTATGGGGAGTCAGTTTCCCATCAACATAGGCTAACAATTCCTGCGCAATCTGCTCCGTTGGATTACTCGTCTTTTCAAGAACCACATAAGCAACGGGTATCTCGGATGCAATCTTTTGGACAAGAAGTCCAATCACAGCAACATCATGGACAAGCGGATGTTCATGCAGCACGCTCTCTACCTCTGCCGGGGGAATTTGGAAACCCTTGAATTTAATAAGGTCCTTTAAGCGATCTGTGATGAACAGATTCCCCTCCTCATCTTGGAATCCAATATCACCGGTTTTGAACCACCCATCCGGTGTGATAGACTGCGCAGTGGCTTCGGCGTTGTTGTGATACCCTTGGAAGATGGTCGGTCCTCGAAGACACAGTTCGCCTTCGCCTTTGTTTACTGTGTTGCCTTGCTCATCAATGAACTTTGTGTCGACTTGGGGATATGGAGGACCGTTTGACCCCGTTGCCTGATCCCATCGGTCCCATCTCTGTTGGGATAAGTTAGTTAAGTCTCCGACCCATTGGATAGATAAGATAGAAGATACATGAGTATGGGAGCCACCTGTCGACTCGGTCAATCCAAATGCCTGGCGGACGGGAACCTTCACACGATCGTACACCGCACGGATTAGATCTGGTGCCAGGGGTGCACCGCCTGAGGTTACCATTCTCAATGGTGATAGTTGTTTGCGCGTCATTGCGGGATCTTTGGCAAGGTATAGAACAACAGGCGGGACAACGTAGGCATGGGTAATTGATTCAGTTTGGACGTTATGTAAAAAGCCTTCGACGGAGAAATTCTCCATTATTTTTTTCTTTATTCCCATCAAAAGAGGGAAATGTACTAGACATACGAGACCTTGGGATAGATTGGTTAGCCTACAAATGAAGATATCTCCGTTTGAAGTGTACATACCAAATATGTGATATGTTGGTAAGAATGCGAGGTACCGATCCTTTCTCCAGTTTATGTGTTCTTCTTCAACTCGTCCCTGCAGGATGATGTTCGCCACGAGATTGGTATGGGTAATCCTTGCCCCCTTGGGCCGCCCAATAGTCCCCGGAGAGTATACCAAGAAGGCTGTATCGACGGCAGGGTCTATCCTCTGGCGTATTGCCCCAGGCGCTCCACCTCTTAACATAGATCCGACATGCTGTAGCTCTGCTTCTGGGGAGTCGGGGCCAACAACCAACATATGAGGAACGGGAAAGTCGACGCGCTTTGCAGCTGCGATTACAGTGTCCAAGAGCGAGGTGTTTACAACCAGTGCTTTTGCTCCAGTATCACTGAGTTGGTGTTTCAACTCATCGGCAGTGTATGTCGGGTTAGCCGGTGAGACTACCCCTCCGGCCCAAAGGCATCCCCAAAGCAACGTGGGGACATCGATATCATTTGGCGCAAAGAGTAGGAGAACATCGCCTTTTCGCCATACCCACTGGCTTTGAAGATTACCACCAAAACCCACGGCTTGGGATCGGATGTCGCTGTAGGTCCGGATTTCGCCCGATGGAGACTTGAAGATGGCTATACCTGTTAGTGGCCGGCTTTGATACGGGGATATGTACGTACTGTGGTCGTCTGGGAAGGGTTTCTCTTCTCTTTCGAAGAGACAATCCCAAATATCAATTGGATGAATTTCTATGTGTTGCATAGTTGTGGAGAGTACGGGGAGTTCAAGTTAGCTATGTAGGTAGTCCTAGGTCATGACGCAACATGTTCCTCATATCCGACTCTGGGGGTCTATACACAATTTGTATTTGATATTTTGATATTTTGATGTTTTGATATTTATTTTCCCTGAGAAATCACAATTATATATGGCCAAGTCGGTTATCACATTTTACACCCTTTTGACAATATTATATATTTTCAACACTGACAGCACTTGTTGAGAATTCCACTTAATTCTGTGTAATTAACATGGAATTGGGATTTCAACGCTAACCCCAATTCAATGTACTTTATGCACTATGAATTACTACGCTTGCATGCAAGAATTACATGCAAAGAATCTCGAATTCGTACGGAATTGAGATTAGCGCCGTTGATGCAGTTTGACATCTACACCACCCGTGGACAAATTCCTGTATATACTAGTAAACAAAACTCACCTGACAACCTGACAACCTGATGACCACCCTACTCCGACAGTATTCATTTGGTAGATTGATATCCAAGGTAGATATTATCCTAAGATCTTCCATGGATAATCAATATGAGGCCGGATTTGTTCCTGGGGCCGCAAGCTTTGAGTGTCATTGCTCTATCTAGGCTGAGTTGCACTGACCACGGATAGGAAAGCCAGAAAAGAAACAGGCCAACAATTTGGAGGGTGATGATAATTCTTTTTCTTCTCCTCTCATATCAGAGTAATAGCCCTGGGCGGAGTTCAAAATATGAAGGACTTGGTGAACCGAGCACCCAACCATTATGCCGTGCAGCTTATGTATAGTAGTCGGGTAATTGTTGCCCCAAGTTCCCGGGGGTATTATATCGTGCTATTGAATAATGTAAGCTACTCACGAGGCTAAGCAAGTACGATGCGCTGGCGCATTGCTTGAGGCTAGTAGTAATCAGTTCTTTCTCCTTCTCATATAAAGAGAGTGGACACTCGACCCTCAATGTCACATCAGCCTGAAGTGTCAAATTGTATTTCAATAGAACAGATGTTACCTTTCACTTCCCGACAAATGATGTTGGGAAAACTTAAATTACAGTACATTGCTCAATATATTTGTTAGTCACAAGGAGAGTTAGAAGCCGTCAATATGCGTGATTAATGATATGTTCCAATTTGAGGTAAATAGCATAGAAGGCGATAACAGGAAATTTAACAATTGACCAAAAGGATTAAAGCTTCAAGTATCAGAATAAGACCGCCAACACCCCCAATCTGTACAGTAGAGTTGTAGTAAGAGACAGATATGGGTTCCGTTCATTTTTTCCCCCTGCTTTTCTTTTGGTTTCTGGTCGGAATGACCTAACAAATCAACGAGGGAGCATTTTAATCTTCACAGGAGGTAGCGCCAACAGCAGAAAAAGCATGACATTGAAATGAAAGACAGCCAAGTGAAGACTTAGCTCAACTCGGACCAGTTCGCAGTGTTCCGCGCCGCACCAATCTCAGCCAATATTGAGGCGCAACTCTGGAGACAGGGCGCTGAGGGATTGAATGATGGGATAAATCGATCAAAAAATAAAATATACATCAGTTAGCAGTCGACGGAGTTGTGCGTGGCCGTTCGGCATTACCCCGGGGATGTTTTCAATCAGAACCCCTACCGCTCAAAGTGCCGCAATGCCAGGTTGTTATCAAACGGAACGAGATTGTCGATATCCGTGGGCCCAACTGCACAGGCCAACCCTCCGGTTGTATCGACATTGGAGAGATCACCGTTGGCACTGACAGCGGCGATTAGGCAGTACCTATCAAATGAGGGGTCCTGGCTGGGAGTCCATTGGAAAGGCCCCGCAATAGCACTCTGCTGTCGGTTTCCGAGAACAGGGGTGTTGATATTATACACACCCGCAGACTGGAAGTTCCCCGGCCAAACCCTAGGCTCTGGGACATTGGATTGGTGAACGTTGACTTGGACGCCCTGTGCGCTTCCAGTTCCACGATTCTTAATCGCGACATAACAGTAATTCACGGCACCAGCGATAGGAGCCTCGTTGACCAGACCACCGTCCGCAGCCCGGCGATTCCAAATACCGGGTGCATTGCCAAAGGAGGGGGTATAGTCGTACTCGCCATCTCTACCATCATCGATATATGTGTCAACGGCTGGAGGTGGCCCTGTTGTCATCACAGGCGTTGGGCCGTTGACAGGATGATAAAGCCCTTGTTTCTCAAATGACCAGCGAATAATTTTCCGAGCAGCGCCACCAGGGTAGCCAAGCACTCTGCCATTGTCGGCAGAGATCATCGCAGAGACATATTGGAGTGGCATATTTGCCCGAGTCGTGATTGTTGCAATTCCGCCGATGATCAGATACAAAGTGTATCGCGACGCCCAGACCTGCCTGTCATAATCACCGATGGCGTCCCCACCAAGGGTGCGGTAGAGTAGGAAAAGCGTGGTTGATAAAATCTGCTCACATTTGTATTGCCTCCCCAAGTCTGCCCGGAATTCGGGTCCATCCCATGCCCAACCGTCGGTGACTTTCCTGTCATGGCGGCGACGAACAACACTCCAAGGAAATGTATCAAATCGATCTGTGGCATTACTTCCCGGGTCGCAGTATATAGCGGCGAGGGAGTCGCCGGCGCTGTGGGCAAAACCAAAATTTGGGGAGCTTACGGCGTCCCAAAGGAGCGCATGGCCAAATTCATGAGCGGCGACACGGAAATCTGCCGCAATACCGACTTGTGAAGTGGGATCAGCGCGACCGAAGAGGAATCCTCCAGATCCATTACCAAGCGTGTTCCCTGGCGCTTGCGCATTCACTCCATTGTTTAAAGCACGGTGATCAACAGGAACAGGGAATTGTGTGTTGTCGAACAACCTCCGAACAGAGAAGCCGAGTTCAACAAGGAGCCTAAAGAGCTTGGCAATATGACGATATGCACTGGCGGCTGCGAAGTTGTCGGTGTCAACGCTGTCGTCGAATTCGCCATTGGAAGTCGCTGGGGGTAGACTCGGGGGCGGTTGAATATCTTTAATCTCAGCGTATCTGCCCTTTAGAATTTGAGGGCTTGTGGGGACAGTATCAGGGAGGAATACTCTTTCACGGAGACGATTCAATTCAGCTGTGTCTCCCGTTGTCTTCGGGGCCTTATCTGCAAGCCGTGTCGCGGGATCTCTGGAAAACACCCAACCATGTAAACCGGATGTGAGTGCTCGCAAGTAGATGATAGAGCTCGTTTCGACTTCGATTAAGGCTCTCCAATTAAGGGCGCCAAATCCAGAGACCGGGAGAGTGAACAAAACCTCCCTCACCACATAGTATTGCCCATCTCTGATTGTGTCAGGCACCTCAGGCAAAATTAATGTAGGCGGAGCACCATCAGTCATCTCTTGTCTATCATCCTTCTTGTAACGATAGACAACAAGGCGCTGTTGCCCTTGGCGTTGTTGCTCTGGGTCTTTTCGAAAGGAGAGTTCACCTGCGCCTATATGAGACGCTAGCAATTGGCGAAGATCATCCTCAGTCAGATCTTTGTATTTAGCAACATCGGGGAACTTATCCAGTTTAGGCCCTTTTGGATCGATGCTGCTAGTAGAGTTGACCACCCGATTGCCCTCATCCACAATAATGCTGACTTTGGCATCCCACACAGGCAATTCACCCAGCGTCTGTTGGTAAGTTATCGCTGTGCTCTTAAAGCGAGGTCTTTCTTGGGCCAACTTGAGGCCAAACGAAGTGTTTGACACAGAAGTTGGTTCGGATAGCCCCGTGGGAGCACCTTGGAGAACTCCCTTGGGAATATGGTAATCGTCTGCCACCTTAAGGAGGTAACGATGAGCGGCGCCTGCAGGTCCGGGTAATTCATGTAGCTCAGTGCCAGGGGACCATGGCTGTTGCGCATGATCCAGGCTTTGGATTCTGCCATCATAGTTCCATACAACTTCAACATTTGGATCTTGGTCAAAATACATTATGATAAGGTTGAAAGAGATGTGACTTGGCTTGGGTGGACCCGTACTATTAAATCGAGTTGCGATTAAATACTCGCGGACAGAGATGGGGCAGGATAATCATCCTGAATTTATATGTTTTTCTGGGTGGTGATAATAATGACGGCGAAATTGATATTAATCCTCCACGGCATGAAGAGAATAATCCAAAGAGTCTAGACTTTTAGCCACTATCACCTAAGCAATAATAAAATAAAACACTTTGGCTATTAGCACCTAGGCATTGATAATCGCAGGTTGGGTTGCGTAGAAGAGAAGCCGCACGGAGTTTAATTGACAGATGTATTAGATTATCTTACGTAGCTACAATGAGGCAGAATCGGCTCTATACAACAAATACATGTTCTAGATCTACCCTTGGCAATCTAAATAGAAGCGCAGGTGATGACATACTCTAAGGATTCTATGGTTGAAAGAAAGTCTCAGTTTTTGACGGTTACTTGATTCACAGATTAGTTAGTCACGCGACAAAGGTAATTTAGATGAAAGTAACCAAGGGTTCAGTATTCATGCCCGCATACGGTAAATAACTTGACAAACTACTGATTTATCATAAAATTATTTGGGCAAATAGGATTGCGGGGTCCATTAAATTCCAGAGTCTACAGAGAGTAACTCACTAGGGCAATCAGTGAATATGTTTTCAATTGATATTAGTCACATCTGGTCGCTAAAACAGAAGGCCAAAGAACTTGACTTCAAACTGGTCCAGATTATTGCGATCAGCACCGTAGTGATACGTGCCAAGCAATCAAAGTCTCTTTCAGTTGTACAATTGCAAATAACGTCTGCACTCATAGTGATGATTTCGACTATTATATCGAGTTTATCCCAACTGCCATGGTCTAGACCCAGATCGGATAGCACAGTCGCCGTTTGCGGGTAATAAATGGGGGTAAATCAAAGTACTATTGAATTTAGATTCTAGATTCTATTCTCGATTTCTGGTGGCACGCTAATGTGGTGTGGTGCTTCGACACCTGTCATATGCGCGGAGAAAGGAAATACTTAAATATCTGTGATCACGAACACCTCCGATGCGCTGTAATTGCCTAACTGAATAGTCTTCTAAACACAATCTTACTAAGGCATTTTTGAAGAGCTATATTACTCTGTCAAAAAAAAATGCCTGGCAGAATTCACCTAGTTCGCCATGCGGAAGGCCTTCACAACCTACGCAACGATCATACTATCCTTGACGCTCCTTTATGTCAACGGGGTTTTGATTCCGCCGAAGACTTAGGACGCCGCTTTGTCTGCGAGCACTCTAACAGAGTCGGCGCAATCACGTCCAGTCCATTGCGCAGAACTATCCAGACGTCTTTGACAGCATTCAAAAGGATCCTAGATACCACCCAGTATCCTGAAAATTCTGGGTCGGGTGTCAACAACGGAGTGATGCTATCCTTAGACGCGAACCTACAGGAAATCACCGACCTGCCGTGCAACAGTGGCTCTCCCAAAGACAGGCTAGTACCGGAATTCCCCAGGCTATCGTCAGAAATCCACAAACTCGATTTGAATTGGCATATCAAGACAGGCAATCGCTCGCCGTTGCCTCAGTCTCTCCCCCAAAGAATGGCTAGGATTCTGGAAAAACTCCAAGAGACTTTGGCAAATATTCAAGACAGACCAGGGGACAACGATATTATCGTTGTGACTCATCAGGGCGTTATTGCTCTTCTTGCACCCACCGCAAACATTCCAGTCGGACAATGGCAGACCTTTGACTTGAAGACGGATGGGAATGGACAGCTTTCGTTGCAGTCAGTGGTGTAAAATTCAATTATGCGGGAAAGTCGCGCTCCATGTTGTCAGATACATATTGTCCGTGATGGGTAAATTTTTCAGGTAGTTTGTGTATTTTCTCTGAAACCTACCGTTGATGAATTAATGTGGATGTGGTATATTGCATACTCCTATTTGAAGTTCTATACCATTCAATTCACTTGAGGCCAGATACACGTAGAAATTTTATAAATGTTGCGGTTTCGAAAATTGTCATCTCCGGTCTCAGGAAGTCGACCGTGCGCTCGCGTAGCCATTGTATTTATCATATATGGCGTATCGTGATTTAGACAAACTGACCATACGATCGCTTTAAAGCTGCAGGACAGCCGATATCGAGCGGCTGTAAAAATGCGACCGATGGGCAGGCGGAATAATATTTTATTGGCTGCAAATTCCGTTGAATTTGCTGTCAAATGACTACCGTGGCCATCAAGAATCAAAAATTGAAGTTGCCAATCTCTTGGAAGATCGGCAAACTCATAATTAAGTTTGCCTCCAACCGTCTACCACTAGGGAGGGTAACCAAAGACACTGAACTGTCAAGTACGTTATTGTAACATTAATTCAAAGTCCTTGTGTAGGATGATTATGGTGCATCTTCCCGGCAGTCCTACACAGTTATGCCATCCTCTAACCTAGCGTCTTCATTAGTCCAATATGTCAACGGAGAGCCTAGCAAAATGCTTTTCTGGGTATCCATTGTCGAGCTTTGCCCCGTCTTCCATTTTGTAGTCTTGAACATACCAAACTGCAGGCCCTGAACCTCGTTCATATTTCCAGATGCTATGGGTCATCTTTTGGTCGCGTACCGGCAAATGTTTTGGTATATCGACTTGCAAGGATTGTCCATAAAAGGAGAAAGAATTAATGAGTGAGTACATAGAGCTCTGACAGGATGTCAAGCAAACCTAACGAAAAACAATACTGTCGTTTCCAGGCTGATTAAAAGACATCACTGTTATTCAATATTAATAGTTGACTGTAGGGAAATCCGCCTTTCAGACCAACTCTAGACCATAAATTTATGCTTCCAGCTACCCATGTGTTTATAATATTGCCTGTTCTTTACACGCCTTTCCCCAACTAAATTCTTGCTTTCACTCAACTTAATTTAAGATTTAACGTCCGAAGCGGATGACCGCCGCCATTTTCCGGTGCGCCACATAACAAACGTTGGATCACCCGAGCCCGCAATCTTGTGCTAGAATCGTCCGTGGTTCGCCCATCCACGGTTCCTGATCACTGTTCAAAGTCACACTGCGCTTGCACGTAGCCAATTGGATTCACTGCCAAAATGTTGTCGCACAGCCCATATGTTGTAGTTGTTCCTTCCGCCTAGTCGGGGTTCCAGCCATATTGTGCGCGAATATCGACGAACTGCCGCAACAATATTATGGAAATCGCCGTGCATGTGGTTCCAGATCCATTTTATTGCCTTTTCTCGAGCTTGTCGGTAGTATTTGACACTTTGCGTACAGGTGGTGATTTCACCTGGTCGAGTTGTGGTGGGGGTCTCGGGAACAGGCTCGGTGCCTTCGACGATGCCTAGCGCTCCGATGCCGGTGAGTTGAACTTCCAGCGTACAATCTCCAAGAGGGATAGTTCGTTCCAATGAGGTTTGGATATCCTGATTCGCTATCCATGATGAGAAAATACGGTCCATAACCTCTTGTAGCATGTGTATAATAGTTGTATCGTTGTGGAGTTGGGTGGGTCACAATCCAGCAATATACATAGATACAGGTCTAAACTTGATTCAGTGAGCAAGGCCGATTCACGCTCAACTGTCCTACAGGCAGTGATCGAGAAGGCTACAGCTAAAACCACCATCGAACAAGAGATAATGAGTAAGCAACTCGGCATTTTTTCACTGAAACCCATAGTAGCTGAGCTGACCAGTATAGCTCTTTCTACGGGAATCAATAAATCGGATCCTTTTGCTGCGATTAGAGCACTGCGGTCACTGAACCACGAACGTCTTCGAAAACGTCTCTTTATTTTGGAAAAGGATTCTCGACTCCGAAGTGGCATCCGGGGTATGCAAGTAAGAAAAGCGCTTGTAACATTTGAGAAGATCGTCACTAAAACTAGAGAACTGTTCATGTTCTGAACCCTATCGCGTATCTGGCCGACATGTTTTTATCTGACTAGGAAGTTTAATAATGTCGACTAACCAAGTGAAGATATTTCAGCTGAAGTTCTTCAATAAGAGACGTATAAGGCCATAGATATACTCGCACACCTCTAAGCGCAGGTTAAGCCATCACTCGTCGCTAATGTCAAAGCTAAGGCACGAAATATTTTAATAGGACTCGAGTTTTCATCTTCTTATAAGGCAAAACCAATATGATGTCCGCAGACTTCGCCGCTAGGGGCTCGGATATCCCAGACAAAACCCATCCCAGTGAGGGTTCCAACAGTCGTCCCCGAGAGGGAAGCCCTTTACCCTTTCGAAAACTATCTAGGTGATCCATCCTTCTAGGACCGGCCTAGATGTATCCTAGGTTCCCCGCTGCCATATAACGTATGCATTCTTCTTGTTAGTAGGGTCACTGGCGGTATGATAGAGGAATTTGGCGGAGGCAAGAGAGTGGTTTAGCTTGGGGTCTTCAAACTGCTCAACGTGCTCGTTGACTCTAACGGTTTTCCAGCTTGATGGGACAGGTTCTGTCAATTTGACGATCTCCTTGAGGGACTTTGGAAATTTGTTGTCGACCACCAGGTTTCTAAAGTCCCTCGTAGAGTGATCAGAGAGAGAATGTTGAAAATGCTAGAAAGATCCTTGACTACTGCAATTGTAGGGAAACTCCAGAGAAAATGGAAGGTACGAAGGTATAGCCTTGTGTACTATATATGATTACAGAACGACACCCACTATAACTAGGACGCGGAAGTTTGGCACTAATGCGAGTTCGACGATGACTGGTATGAGGGTCCAATCCCGTACATGCGTGGCTGCACCTATCTTCTACAAATTGATAATTGCGTTGGGAAGATGACCTAGCTTTTGTAGACAGCTAGAACTGTCCTCTGACACTACAGTTCATACCCTGGATATTTGAGGGCGCTTAACTTATTCATTCTTCACATGTTTGAGTGATGGTTGATAACAGAGGAAGTGGAATTGAATTTGAAAACCCAGGAAGATAAAATAGCGACGCTCTAGATAATGAAACATAATAACAATCAACACACAGCTCACGCCCTTTGCGGGAACCGAGCTTGAGACCAGGACGGCTTCGGAGATTTGGGTACCGGCCTTCAAACAGCAGCCTCAGACCTAGGGGGCCACTTGACACGCTTATGAGCACGAACATACAAGTTGTTGGGGCGGATAAGCTGAAACATCGGATCGTATTCGATGGGTCCGTCACCCTCGCGAACGAACTTATAGTTGTAGATCAGCTTGGGGAGGAAGACCTTGATCTCCTGGAGTGCAAAGTTGAAGCCGATGCACATACGCGGACCAGCACCGAATGGTACGTAAGAGGCCTTGTGTCTGTTCTTGACCTCCGGGGTGTCCCAACGGTCTGGGTCGAACTTGTAGGGGTTGTCCCAGAGCTCGGGGTTGTTGTGAATATGGTGAAGAGCAGGGATAATAACTGCGTCCTTAGGAATCTTATAACCTCCAGGAAGGATAAGGTCGGTCTTTGCGGTACGTCCAGGTTGAAAAGATGGGTTGTGTCTGCGCTGCATCTCCTTGATATACTTATCTTGGAAGACCAGACGCTCAGTGAAATCAGCAGTGATCTCTGTCTCGTCGTTGAAATCGTTGTCAATAAGTTCCTGAAGAAGTCTCTCCTGCATACCCGGGTAGGTGACCAGGCCGTAGATGAGCCACGAAAGTAGAGAGCTCGTTGTTGTGAAGCCAGCGGCAGTCGCTACGACAAGAGCCCATACGAGACTTTCCTTCGGCAATTTCTCGCCCTTATTGTCAGTGGCACGGATGGCATAGTCTAGATTAAAGTATTGTTAGTTGTCAATCATAAGGAATAGAGAAATATAGAAATACTGACCTACCATGTTTGACGCCTTCAATGCGGCATCTTGTAGAGGGAGGTCATCTGCACCACCCCTAGCAGCATTCTGGATAGACTGCTCGACCATGCCTTGAATACGGTTCTTAACTTCTTTCAGGCGCCTAGGTTCACCAAAGGGCAGACTGCTATACCAGTCACCCTTAGAAGTGACCTTCTTATTCAAAGAGAGCATCTCAGCAATCAGGTGAACCATCTCGTGAACAGGTGCGTCAGGCGAAGTAAAGTGCTCGAAGTCCAAGCCAAGAGTGAGCTTGCCGACGGCCTGAGCACCGAGCTTTAGCATATACTGGTAGACATTCCAGGCTTCACCCTGCTCATCCAGCTTATCGAAGACTTCGCAGGCATCCTCGACGGTCTTTTGCATAGTAGGTGCGTAATGACGAACTGCCTTAGGACCCAGTGCGGGTGGCAAGAATTTGTGAGCCACTCTCCATTCAGGAGTATCAGTATCACCCAGGAAGATACCGGCAGAGGGGGTCTTCAGGGCGTGAAGTGGATGGGCTTTATTGATCTCCTTGGTGAAAAAGTCGGACTCGGCGAAGGCAATGGCTGCGATGTTGGGGTCGTTGGTTTGGTAGGTCACGCGACCCATGTTATTGGTCATAATAACTGGACCGAATCGCTCAAAAAGGCGCTGGTGATTTCCAAGGTGATCGGGGTAGATCTCCAAGTAGTTGCCCAACACAGGCAAGCCCTTGGGACCCGCGGGATCGCGGACGGCATGGCCATCAATGGTAATCGCCACTAATCCCTGAGCAGACATGACGTCTTGAACTTCGGTGAGTTCAGCATCCTCGAACTGTAATGCAATTCCTACTTCAATGTCAGAGACTGTAATTGGAAGTGATACAATGGTAAATGCTGCCTCCTGTTACATACCATTTGGCTCGACGATAGCGAAGTGCGCGGCAATCAAATGCTTGAGTCCGTCAAGGTCAGTGTTCGACTCGATCTCGATTTTTATAGCGGACGTGACGGGATTTCCAAGGAGATAAAACGTCTGTACAGGCATGATGATGTCTTAGCGTTCGAGGAATGAACTTTGAATGTTTGGCTTGTATGGATATCAGCTTGCGCGGTTTCCGGTTTATATATATACCTTAGTGACAGGAGATATTCCCTCTTACAAGTCCATTCCCTGGCCATATCAGAGTGCCGAACCCTCGGGTAGGTCGGTCATTGCTATTACCATTGGTTGACTCGCGCTTGAACTTAGTTCAACCTTTCCCTTCTGATCTCGGCATATGTTGACTAAGCAGTCATTGGGCACAAAGTTCGGGTTGCCGAATATTTACCTCGCTCCTTCGGTTAGGATCAACTTGATTCGGTTTCTCGGTAATTTCTTATTTATAACTCGCCCTACTTGGGGTCGGGATCTCTCGGCATCGAAGATCCTCGGAGTATGATATGGTCGGTAATGGAGTCACGACCGCGAGAGTTCCATATATTTATATTAGGTGGTCATCTTTTCTATGCCAATGTTTTGATTATGTCGAACAATGAATCGTCTACAGTCTTTAACTTCTCTGTCTGATCATTTCCAAATCGAAGAACGCTTTTTGCCATACCCTCTCCCAAAAGGACGACCTTTACCGTCTCCTGCAAGAAAATATCCGTTCTTTCCACAACGGGATATCATAGAACTTCATTAATGGCAGCCGAGATGGCGTTCAGTGTGGCCGATGTCGCCGCCCACAAAGACAGAACTGACTTGTGGGTCATAATCCATAGAAAAGGTAATATGCGCCAGTCATTATAAACATTGGAAGGTTGACACCTAACGGAATCTTATAGTCTATGACCTTACTAGATACGTGCGAGACCACCCTGGTGGCATGGATGTCCTGTACGATGTTGCTGGATCTGATGCGACCGAGGCATATGATGAAGTCGGCCATTCAGAGGATGCGGATGATATCTTGAAGACGTTTTTGATTGGCACAGTTAAGGATGCCCAAGAGATAAAAGCCCCTAAGAAGGTTGTTCGCCTTGTCCAGCCAACTGCACCGAAGAAGGAGACTACTGGAGCATCGGGTTCGTCTGCTGGCGCAGTTACCTTGGTGGTCAGCTCGCTTGCCAGTGTCTCGATGCTCTACTTTGCTTCCCAGCATCATCTCAAACTACAAGACCTGTTGTCAAATCTTCCTCTGCCATCTTCGCCGTCGCTACTACCCGCGCCGACCCTTGCCCTGCCACAGGGAGGCTTCTCCGCCGGATTTGCTGCTGCTACCTCCGTGTGTATCACTATTGGCGCCGTTCTTGCAGCCAAGCTTTCGACCATCATTCAGATCGAGTCTGGATTCACGAAATACCCTTCTCATTTGAAGGGCCGGCCTGTAGTGAAGGCGGATCCTGGGGTTGCCCGGGGTTTCCTACAGCCTAAGGAATACCAGGCTCTTCCCCTAGTCAAGAAAGAGCAGCTTTCGCCGAGCGTCTTCCGCTTTGTGTACCAGCTGCCCCACGAAACAGATGTCATTGGTATTCCAATCGGCCAGCATTGTGCTATCAAGGCTGATATCGACGGAAAAGATGTCGCTCGATCATACACCCCAATCTCTAATAATACAGACCTAGGCAGGCTGGAGCTGGTTATCAAGTGCTACCCCGACGGCGCCCTCACTGGAAAGTACCTCGCCAACCTGAAGGTCGGCGATAAGACTCTCTTCCGCGGCCCTAAGGGTGCAATGAAGTACAAGAGGGGTCTCTGCAAGAAGATTGGAATGGTTGCTGGCGGCACTGGAATCACCCCTATGTACCAGCTTATTCGCGCTATCTGTGAAGACGAAAACGACACAACGGAGATTAGCCTAATCCTCGCCAACCGCACCGAAGAGGACATTCTCCTCCGAAAGGAACTCGAAGCATTCGCGAAGAATTATCCTAAGAACTTCAAGCTGTGGTACATGCTCGACCAGCCTCCGCAAAAGTGGGCCTATGGCAAGGGCTTCGTTACCCAGGCCGTTTTGGCTGCCAAGCTCTGGGAGCCTTCTCCCGACACCAAGGTTATGCTCTGCGGGCCTCCTGGAATGGTGAAGGCTGCCCAGACTGCTTTGGTATCCTTGGGCTTCCAGGCTCCCGGATCTATTGCGAAAATGACCGATCAAATATTCCTCTTCTAGACTCATTTATGTTTCTATTTCTTTGTGCGCTTCTGTCATTGTGTTTTTTATTTTGTCACTCTTTGTCTTCTCATCCTTCTGATAGATGTATTCTCTATTTCATTTTCATATTTCATTTCAGACGAAAGAAAGCCCCACGCTTGTCTCAAATGAACCTCAAATCCTCTTATCTCAAAAGATAATTTCAACGTGTATTTGGGTGAAATCTTAAAATAATTAGCTAGATAGTCTTGACTCACTTAGAATATCCAGTCCAGGTAGCGATTTGGAATGTAAGGTTGATTTATCACCAGATGCCCTGCTGTATGACATGTATTTAAGATATAAACCGTTCGAACGGACTAGGTCCTTGGCACATTTTAAAGCCATTTAAAGTTGCTACATAAATCTTGTGTTCCATAACCCTGACATCCCTATTAACAATGCACTGCGAATAATAGGAACTCTGAGCTTACCTTAGCGCTTCCTGCCGGCCCGAATCACGTTATTGAGCCGAGAGGCAACAGTTTCATAACGGATCGGCGTGTGGAGAACTTCGGTAATAACTTTATTTAAAACCTTTAAGCTCTCCGCGGGTGCCTTTCCGGCATTGCTGCCGAGCCGAAGCCGAATTCTTCCTCGCTTACAAGTCCACGTTCCGAACTGAGTGAGTGCCCAGATAGTGTAAACGATGGCGAAATGGAGCATTTCATATATAAGTTTGGCACTTCAGTCATATAATACGGAATTCAATCAAACTCTGACATCAATCAACTGATCCAAAACAATTTCATTTCTCCATTCATTATCTACAAAAATGACTGTCTCTTGGCAAGCACCCACGGATTACGCCAACCGGCCCGTTGCCATCCTTGGCGCCGGTGTCCTTGGTCGCCGAATTGGTATGCGACTCCATTCCTACGCGAGTGCTTTGAAGTGTAAGACTAATAGCTGGTTATAGCATGCATCTGGGCCTCCGCCGGATATAACGTGCGAGTACGCGACCCTAGCCCCCAACAACGTGCCGACTGTGTTACCTACGTCGAGAAAAATGTTGCCTCATACGCCGAGAACACCGGAATTGCTCCCGGCAAGGCGGAGGCATTTGACGACATGAAGTCTGTTGTCGGAAATGCTTGGCTCGTTATCGAAGCGGTCCCGGAGAATATCCAGTTGAAGATCGATACCTTTGCTGAGCTTGACGCACTCTCTCCTGCTGACTGTATCTTGGCCTCCAACTCGTCCTCTTATAGGACTTCCGAAATGCTCGAGAAGGTCTCTGCGACTAGAAAGCGTCAGATTCTAAACATGCATTATTATATGCCCCCGGCCTGCATGATTGTTGAACTCATGACCGACGGCTTTACGGCTCCCGAGATTTTCCCTTTCTTGGTCGAACGAACTAAAGAGGCCGCAACTTCACCATATGTTGCCAGAAAGGAGTCCACCGGCTTCATCTTCAACCGTCTTTGGGCTGCTGTGAAGCGCGAGGCCTTGACTATTCTGTCAGAAGGAGTCTCCGTTCCGGAGGAGATTGACGCCATGTGGGAGGAGATGTTCATCAAGGGCCGCAGCCTCCCTTGCAAGATGATGGACAGTGAGTACAGCTCTAATTCTTCAAATTGCGACTAAAAGCTAAAAATTCATGTGTCTAGATGTCGGCCTTGATACCGTTGCCTATATTGAGGGCCACTACATTCACGAGCGCGGCCTGTCTTCTGAACATACCGTCGACTTCTTGAAGAAGAACTATCTGGACAACGACAAGCTGGGTAATAAGTGTGCTAATGGTGGACTTTACCCTTCCGTCGATACCACAGCCACCCCAAGTGGACCCCGCATTGTTGTCCTGGATATTGGCCTCGCTTCTGATGCACCCGGTCCCACGGCGGGTGAAATTCTTGAAATCACTTTGGACGGAAAGCTTAAGCAGGTTCTGGTTTCCGACCAACACTATCCGGATGGAATTGATGTCGACTATGAGAGTGACCGGATGTTCTGGACTACTATGGGTACTCCAGGAAAGGATGATGGCTCCGTCTACTCTGCCAAGACAGATGGAACTGATATTCGTCAAATTGTTCCTTCTGGTGCGGTAAATACCCCTAAGCAACTTGTTGTTGTGGCGGAACATAAGAAGATTTACTTCTGCGACCGTGAAGGACTCCGCGTTTACCAATGCAACTATGACGGTTCTTGCCTGGACTTGTTAATAGATAACCGTGGATCTGAGGCTTCCCAGGCAGACCCCGATCATTCTAAGTGGTGTGTAGGCATCGCCGTGTCCCCCAAGCTGGGCAAGTTCTTCTGGACGCAGAAGGGGGTTTCCAAGGGCGGCAAAGGCCGTATCTTCACTGCCAATATTGAGATGCCTAGTGGCCAGTCACCCAAGACAAGAGACGATATCAAGTGTCTTATGGCGGGTCTTCCCGAGCCGATTGATCTTGAGCTGCATGAAGAGACTCTCCAGCTTTACTGGACTGACCGCGGCGAGCTTCCCTTAGGCAACACGTTGAACCGGGTTCAGTTGACTAAATCTGGCCTATTGACGGAGACTTCTCCGCAGAAGCATGAGATTCTCACCAAGAATCTTCACGAGGCAATTGGCTTGAAGCTAGATACTAAGAACGGTCACATTTACATGACCGATCTTGGTGGCAGCATCTACCAGTGCGATCTGGAGGGCAAGAAGAAGAAGGTAATTTACTCTGGTGAGACTCGCGCTTTCACTGGGATCTGCCTCCTATAATTGGCATTTTTCTAGCCTTGTCTTTGTTTCTTCTTTTTATGAGAGAGTCGGTTATTTTCTTTCCCTACATTGGATTATAGAGATTGCATTGAGAAATGGTGTGTGCCTTAGCTTGTTCTATGAATTATACACTTCTTCGTCTCATTTGTTGTCATGGCCCATTAAGAAGCCGCGCTTTCTCTGACCACTCATAAGGTGGTTTGTATATAATTATCTTCCGATCTCAAAGCTAGTTGTTTTGTATTGACTTTGATCCGATGCTCAAAAGTCACTTTTGGGAGTCTTAAATTTGTATTCAGATCAGGGCTTTAACTCTCGGATTGAATGGCAATGTGGTAGAAGTCTGTAATATAACGATGATGCTGGTGATTTGATCGGGAAAACTAGAACCTATCACCAGCTAAGCTTCCTTTTCTGTCGACCCGAGGGGTGGTGATTCACCACTAGGAGTCATACAGTTCAGCGCATACCCGCTGTTCCATTTGCTTTGTACAGTAAATCGGGTCTCAGGGACAGAAAAGCTCCAGTGTTCGACTAGAAAAAGATTATTCAACAGCGGTCTTGTAACACATCATCTTCAATGAACACACTCTTTAGAACTTCTGACCAATTACTAACATGTTCGCCCTTCCACCGAATCCGCCATTTCCAACATCTTGATATTCACGAAGTTCTCAGGTTATAAGGAATCATGCGAAGTCATGGAGGGAGATGTTTTCATCTTGCTTGACCAGAACAGGACCGGTTCCAAATCTTAGCTGTAACACCCTGCGATTGCTCAAAACAAGCCCTAGCCACGTCGGAGTGTTGACCTTCAAATTGATGCTAGTGGTCGCGGGTTGATTGGACAGGAAGTTACAGTGATACAGCCAATAGTCTCAACACCTCTAGCATACCCACTCTTATACCACCCTAACTAGTATGTTTAATACTTCGCGTTAGTGTATTACCTCCCTAAATCATCATTCGGCCTTTATTGAGACTGTACCGTACCTGTACCGAGTTGAAGTAATTCTCGAAATCCAGGGCAGGTATACACTATACTAAGTAGATGAGCTCGGAAGATATGCAGTTTTTAAACCGGCAGAATATTGGAAGATGGAGTGTGGGGCGTTTGAAATGTCATCATTGTACGCTAAATTACCGCGGCACATTCCACGTGACCCTGATCCGGGATCCTCGGGCTTAATACTTTATTCAGCTACCCGAGGAAACGTGACGCTCGCCCAAATTCAATGTTCTGATGCACCTTCGCAATGACACCACAACCCCACCGTCGATCAGCTGTTGCATGCCAAAATTGTCGTGAACGCAAAGTACGCTGCAGCGTTTCTGTCACTGGCATCCCGTGCGCTGGCTGTACTCAAGACAGAGCCCAGTGCATCGTCCGGGAGAGAGTGCGGCGAAGGTTAACAAAACAACACCTGCACGCTCGAAATGAGCGGTATTGCTTCACAGGGGCTGATATTTATTCAATGACATAGAAAACAACAGACTGGATCGCTTGTCGCTCGTCGTCCACCTCAAGAGACTGTCCAGGTTGACCAGTTCAGAGCCGAGCCAGGCAGTATACCTTTATCGAAACCTTCAGCTTCTAGGGAACAAGAATCCCTCGATCCGATTCCACAAGCCATTAAGACGAAACGATTGGACTTTACTGGGAATGATGGAATGCCTCGTTCTATCACTGAGCGACGTGACGATGTAGCCGAGCATACTGGTGTCGAGATATCCTCCACGGTCTTGGGGCAGGGTAACAGAACTGGCCAGGTTCCTTTCTATACTGGTATTACAGCTACTCAGCATCTTCCTGCTTTGCTATTTGGGTATTAATGGAGCTGATTTTCAACACAGGCGAGGCTCCAGGATATACATCCATTCTCGATGTCTGCACACAACCAAACCAGACTATGCCAAGGCATATTTTACTTTCACCAGACATATCTGCCTCGCTATCTACCCAGGATCGTGAATTTCTTCAACATAAGGGCGTATTTACCATGCCGCAGAAGAACACTTGTACCGAACTTCTCCGCGTGTATTTTCATCATATACATCCTATCATGCCGATAGTTGATGTTAAAGTACTCATTGGTCTCAACCAAAGTTTCCAAACCAACGAGCCGAATTTACTGTTATTATGGAGCATGTTCTTTGCCGCAACAAATGTAGGTCAGTCCTTCATACAGTTGGCTACGTTTGTCTAATGTCTGCTCATAGTTTGTCGATGACAGTATTTGGTCGCTCGAGGGCTACTCATCCCGCAATGAGATGAGACTTGCTATGTATTCTCGCGCGAAGGTAAGTGGTTTTGATCAATCTACTTTGTGGTAGACGATTAATGAAATACTAGTGCCTATACGATAATTGCGGTGAGACAGACAAGGTAGCCCTACTACAATCGGCCCTTCTCATGGGATTCTGGCACTCAAAAGGAGACGGCCATACGCAGCCATGGTACTGGATAGGGGTTGCGATCAGCCTCTGTCAAATCTTGGGCTTACACCGAGATCCGGATTCAGCCAAGGTCAATTCGGCCTTTCCTGATCGCCGGCGTCCTATCTGGCGTCGTCTTTGGTGGAGTTGTTTCTTCCGAGACCGCTGGTTGAGTTTGACATTAGGACGGCCCCTGAGGATCAGTCTCGACGATTGCGACCAGCCGATGCCTTCAGCCGCTGACTTGCTCGGTGACGTGGCTGAACTACCAGCGTCAATTACCAGCGCTTATATCCCGAACGACTTACCTCAGTTGGCTGATTATTGGATCGTTTTGATCAAATTGAGTAAGCTTTTAGGTGAAATTATCGCACTTAGTTATAAGCCTTCGGGCGCAAGCCCGACACTCGAACAATTTGATTCGCTCAAAACGAAACTCTTGGAATTCCGGATACCAGGTAGACCTGGACATGAACAAAGTCGTTTGGCAGCCTTCTATCTATACCACTTACAGCTGCATTACCAGTGAGTGCCAGTTTTTGTTTCTTTATCATGATTCACTTTGTTTCTTACAATGACAGAGTGTCTTTGATCACTTTCTATCGTCCATATATCACCAGGATCCCGGAACACCTTCCACCTGCCCATGTGGAGTCATGGCAACGCGAGATACGAAGCCAGCTGGACTCAGCGGCATTGCAATCTAACTCTATTATTAATGAACTTGTACGAGAAAGACTTCTCGGCTTTGCTGGTCCGATGACGTGAGTTCAGTCTTCATATCCACGCCATACCGCTGGTAGTTGTATTTATGTGTCAATTGCTAACCGGCATTTCTAATTGAATATAGTCCTACACTGTTAGTACCGGCTATGCATATCCACCTCCTTAATTGCAAATCTGCGGACGCTCTTACGCGTCGTGTAGGCTTCAACAGGTTGGAGCTATGCATGATGGTCATGGAAGAGTTGCAGGAGACGTACGCAGCGGCTGCTTTGTACCGAGGTGTTTTCTTGGGGGCCATAAACCAACTACTCCCCCACTTGTCCGGTGGCCCAACCTTGCAAAATTCAGATGTATCTGATCCGTCTACCTCATGCATGGAACCCCCTGAAGCATCGGCCACAGTCAGCGATGATGTCCTCGACGCACTTTTGGATGAAACATCGTTCCTTGACTTTTGGGATTCTTTTAACGACCCTTCTAATGATATGCTATATTAATTGCCATCGCTGCGAACGCATTATGAGTTCCGTTATCTTTTTCTCACAAGATAGCGTGTCTGAATTTGGATTTGGCACCCTTTCATGCGCTGAAATGAGTAGACTAAAATCAAAGGCTTTAAACCAAGACCATTGTTACTGACCTGTTAAAGGCCAATTTAGCACGAACCGATTGCCTATGTTTTCCTCCAGTGCAAGGAGCAATGCCTTTGACGCTTCCATCCTTTGGCCCCGTTCGGCTGTTCACGAGACACCATGTTTTCCCAAGTCGCAGCTTTGTATATGTTCCTGTACTATGACTGTTTTTCCATGACTAATTTTCTGGAAGAAAAAAAAATTGTGTCTTTGTTGGATAGATGAGATAAAAATTTATTTACCTGAATGAGATTACTGGGTCTATTGGGAGGAATTTCAAGCCCTTCTCTCAATTTAATATCCTCTCGGAATGTTGTGAAGCTACAAAAGGAAGCTACAGTGCTTTTAGTGCCTGGCAAATAAAAGGTTAAATATATGACATTATAGTCTCTGCATTTGCACGAGGATATGGGAAACCTATCAAATAGGGGGAAAAAAAACCCATACCAAGACCTATTCAAATGAAACTTCCCCACTTCGTATTCATAGCGATATCCGTATTCATCCCCCAACCAGCTGAGCGTAGAATGAACATCGTATTGGGACATATTGACACCCAGTTTCTATCATCATCACATCTGTCAGCCGCCTATATTGAAATAGCCATATATTTTCATCTCAAGGGGAGATACATACAAGCTGTGCCCGCCTCATACCTCAGTCACTCACAGAGAATAAGCAGACTTAAAGCCTCCTCAATATCCAGATCGTTCCAGTTCCTGGTCGATACAGAGAAAGATAATCAAGCTTTCCACTATGGTCATAATCAAACGCGAATACTCGGTCGGCGCTCGATTTTAGGTCGTAACCTCCAATGCCTTTTCCGGGATCTCCTTCCCGATAGATAGGATGGAATCCACCGTTTCCGTTTTTAAGGATCCAGATTGTGCCGGTTCCTGGTCGATACAGAGCAAGGTGATCAAGCTTTCCACTATGGTCATAATCAAACGCGAATACTCGGTCGGCGCTCGATTTTAGGTCGTAACCTCCAATGCCTTTTCCGGGATCTCCTTCCTGATAGATAGGATGGAATACACCGTCTCTGTTTCTGAGAATCCAGATTGTTCCGGTTCCTGGTCGATATAGAGCAAGGTGATCAAGCTTTCCACTATGGTCATAATCAAACGCGAATACTCGGTCGGCGCTCGATTTTAGGTCGTAACCTCCAATGCCTTTTCCGGGATCTCCTTCCTGATAGATAGGATGGAATACACCGTCTCTGTTTCTGAGAATCCAGATCGTTCCAGTCCCTGGTCGATACAGAGCAAGATGATCAAGCTTTCCACTATGGTCATAATCAAACGCGAATACTTGGTCGGCGCTCGACTTTAGGTCGTAACCTCCAATGCCTTTTCCAGGATCTCCTTGGTGGTAGACGGAATGAAATACACCGTCTGTGTTTTTAAGGATCCAGATCGTGCCAGTCCCTGGCCGGTATAGGACGAGGTGATCAAGCTTTCCACTATGATCATAATCAAACGCGAATGCTCTATCGGCGCTTGACTTTAGGTCGTAGCCCCCGATACCGTCTCCAGGATCTCCTTGATGATAGACGGGATAGAATACACCATCTATATTCTTCTTAAGGATCCAGATTGTTCCAGTTCCTGGCCGATATAGGGCAAGATGATCAAGCTTTCCGCTATGGTTATAATCAAATGCGAATACCTGATCTGCTCTTGACCTAAGGTCATAATCTCCAATACCATTCCCGGGATCCCCTTGTTGGTAGACAGGCTGAAACGAAGTGGAAGCCATACTTTGCTTGGAGAAAATCCGTAACATTTGGTATAATTTGTAAAACAGTGATGGAGGATTTCAGGCTTTTCAAAACGAATATAATAATTTCAGGGACCGCAGATACATCCAGATGACTCGGGTTCATTCAAACACTTAAATAATGAAACTGTCTTGTCCAATACCCCGTTATAGTGACGTCTAGATATCGACAAGTGAACGGTAACTCGTCCATCCATTACGTTCTCTTGACGTAAAATAGAAATTATTTCTTCTCGTTAGATCTAGGCCTAGTATAGCAGCATCATGTCTAGCTGATAAAATCAATCATTTGCTGAAGTGCGACCAAGCATGTGCGTCAATGAAAACACTATCCACATCATGTGGTATCGAACTAGCTCTAGAATCTAGTGGGGTATTGAGTAGGCTGAACAAGTAAGGCTTGACCTGCATTCCGAAGTTATTATACAAAATAATGAGATGAAATTGTGTTCATTTACTCTATTTTGGAGAAAATATATTGGATTTCGAATCTTTTTGCCAAGGAATTCTTTATTCTATCGTTGATTAGTGATAATTGCGAAATTGCCAGAACACTATAGAAAAAGAGTACTGTGAACTTTTTAGTAAATATGTGGTTATGATATCGAGCAGCAAAGAAATTCTTTTTACACAGTAAGCATTGTTAAACTTCCAGTTCCTGGTCGGTATAAGACAATGTGATCAAGCTTTCCTCTATGGTCGTAATCAAATGCGAATGCCTGATCGTCTTTTGAATTTAGGTCGTAGCCTCCGATACTATTTCCGGGGTCTCCTTGGAAGATCTACGCCTCCAACTGATCCTATCTATAAAGCAGTGGTTTTCCCATGTTTGCTTGGTTAGTGTCTTCGTGTGGCCAATGTACTCTAGACCTTTTGGTCACTAGACAGATCTAAAGTGATGACAGTTATATCTTGGGTATTAAGAAAGCAGGTAACTTTATTCTAACCAAAGATTCAGAAGTTACACAATGCTGAACTATGGCTCTAAGGGCTGGTCGGAGCTGCACGGTGCCCCACATTCTTATATTGCTAAATATCAATCTGCTTGGTGGATAGCTTTACCGACCCCACACGGCTTGAAGAGCCCGCAACCTTGTGGTAAATTCGTCCGTGTTTCGGCCATCCGCGGTTTCTCACTGTCAAAGTCACACTCCGCTTGTGTGTAACCAATCGTTAACTGGGTATGAGCTTAGAGTTAATTTATACTGCTAGGATAATGGAAAGAGTACGCAACCAAGGAAAGATAAAGAAGTACCATGTCCACTGTTAAATCCATTGCTGGGCAAGGCTATTTATGGCTGATTCTAACCAAGGTTGAATAATATAAAACGACTGCAACCGTCACTCAGAAGCCCTGCGACAAGCCTAGAATTGACTAGATCTGAGCTTGGACTGACATACTGTGGTCGGTGTGCAATGTTCTAGTACAACCTGACCGTCCTTTATATTTCGCGCGCTCATATTTATACCGTTTGGAGAATCGGGAGGAAAGAAAAGGTTGCCGTTTAATGAATTTTATAACCTAATTTTGGCCGTCCGAAATAACTAGGGTGGTTCCACGTCGTTAAAGAAGAAGATCCGCTATTTCTCGAACGGAGGAAGGCCCCGGGGGAGAAGGCTCCACGAGAATCTATAGAGAGTATCCATTTTTAAAGAGATTCCTCTTCAATTTCTGTTAATTTATAACAATTGGCGCGAGAAATCGCGCGGTGTTGGTGGCCGCGTAGTGGGTCTCGGAGGGTGAACGTGGTATGTTAAAACGGCGTGCCACTTCACGAATTGAAGATATTTCTAGATTTTTAAAAGCCTTGATGCTAATAAGAGCCTACCCTCTTGCTCTATTAAATTTCTAGAGCTTCGGGAGCGAATTGGTGGCATGGTGGGTGGTTAAATTGACTAAGTGCTAATTCATGGACGCGTTTTGGGTGGGGTGGCCGGCTCGGTAGTTGAAATACGTTATAACGTTTTTCATATATATAGTCAAATCAGGGTTCTCTCGTTCCATATTGCGCTATCCGGGCCTTCGTTAACAGGGAATACTCCGATTTTTGTAGCGACACTATCATGAGTTAGCTTCATTCTTGTAGAGCCCTGGAAGGAATTTACTTAAATTCATCGAGGAGCACCCTACGAATCGTCCTTTAGGTATCTAACGGTAGCTCCCAGAAAGCACCAGCCTCGTACCAGCCTACACAAGCCGACGGCGGGCCTGGGTCGAAAACTAGGAGTTGATCGTCCGGATTGGCTTGGCAGACGATGCTAGCGGATCCTAGGCTTGGACGAGGCTATCATTACCGCCATAAACAAAGTACAAGGACGTGAGGGCCAAGGAAGACACCTGGGGCCCGAGTCTGGTTGGATGGTGCGTAATAAGGAGATAAAATTGATGATGTCCGCAGACTTCGCCGCTAGGGCTCAGATATCCCAGACAAACACCATCCCAGTGAGGGTTCCAACAGTCGGCCCCGAGAGTGAAGCCCTTTATCCTTCCGAAAACTATCCAGGTGATCCATCCTCCTGGGACCGGCCCAGATGTGTCCTGGGTTCCCTGCTGCCATGTAACGTATGCATTCTTCTTGTTAGTAGGGTCACTGACGGTATGATAGGAATTTGGCGGAGGCAAGAGAGTGGTTTAGCTTGGGGTCTTCAAACTGCTCAACGTGCTCGTTGACTCTTTCAACGGTTTTCCAGCTTGATGGGACAGGTTCTGTCAATTTGACGATCTCCTTGAGGGACTTTGGAAACAGGTTTTGTTGTCGACCACCAGGTTTCTAAAGTCCCTCGTAGAGTGATTAGAGAGAGAATGTTGAAAATGCTAGAAAGATCCTTGACTACTGCAATTTTAGGGAAACTCCAGAGAAAATGGAAGGTACGAAGGTATAGCCTTATGTACTATATATGATTACAGAATGACACCCACTATATTTAAGCTATCCAGCCTGTCATTTCTTTTTTTGGTAGTCTTTTCAAGTGTCTTTTCAAGTGTCTTTTCACATTGTTTTTTAGATATACTTTTTTATACATATTTCTCCCCTTGTTGGCGATAGCCTCAAAATATAGAATCTGGTGGAAACGTTTCAGATTGTCCAAACCGACCCTTCCATGTATAATATGCGAAGAGACAGCATTCGGTTTCACTGGCTGAAAATGTTTAATTTGGAAACTCGGCTTGGTCATTCATACATATCTATCATGACGAGGCACGTTTCGATTGATAAGATGCAAACGAATGGAAATATTAAACAATAACACAACACGAAATCAAAATGCAAAATGCAACATAACTCAACATTGATTCTAAACAGCTCTCGCTTTCCCCTTGCCCTTGCCTGACGGAGAGGCAGGTATAGGCCCCGGGGTGAGGTATGGGAATTCCTCCCACTCATCCTCACCATCCTCTCGACTCTTGCCCTCAGCCAAGCTGAGCTGAATCGCAAACTCCAGATCATCCATTTCTTGCTGTCTACTGCTCCCAGCTCCCTCGGCTCCAGGGGATGGCTGGCGAGGCGAGTGTACTCCCTTGGCGTACTTGATAGGGATAGACGACGTTTGGCCAGCACCTTGCTCGTCAAGCAAGCTAAGGCGAATTGCCTCGGCAAGTTCGTCGTCATCGTCCGCGGGATCTTGATAGGGAGATGAAGATGACGAGATATCGCCAGGGCCAACCGAGCCAGGACCAACAGTGTCGAATGAAGTGCTTGTGGCCGAGCTGGAGATTGCGGCACTGTCCGCGGGTTTCGCCGCATCGCCAGAGCAGGCCTCTTCGCTCAGGAGTTGGGCATACAGCAAAAGCTGCTCCTCGTCGATATCCGGACCTAGAAGATCAATTCCGAAACGCGCGCTCAAATGTGCTCGTTCTTTCTCATCGGCAATCTTTTGACGCTCCATGTCCACGCGTTCATCTTCGATGAAGTCCTCGATCGCACCTCGACCACTATTGTTGAAACGTTGGCCTTCGCCAGCCCCGTTGCCACCACGCATTAAGTGGCGAAGGCGGCGCTTGCTGCTCTTGTACTGATCAGCCTCGGAAGAACTATAGGACCAGTATCGCAAGTGGGTGCCAAGTGAGACCATTCCACGCAGAACAGTTGGATCTGTATCAAGGCAGATGGCGCCCGTGGCATAGTAATTGTTTCCAACACCTAGAATGGATGCCTCAGCTTGCACAAGCCGACGGCGGGCCCGGGTCGAGAACCGGGAGTTGATCGTCCGGATTGGCTTGGTAGACGATGCTAGCGGATCCCAGGCTTGCACGAGGCCATCATTACCGCCATGAACAAGGTACAACGACGTGATGGCCAAGGAAGACACCTGGGGCGAGTCTGTTTGGATGGTGCGCAATGAGGAGATGGAGTTGATGATCTCCGCAGACTTTGCCGCCGGGGCTCGGATATCCCAGACAAACACCATCCCAGTGAGGGTGCCAACAGCTAGGTATCGAGCGCGTTGCCCAGGAACTTCCAGGCCCGACCGCGGCTGATCCATATGTGGTAACATTGGAGAGGATGTTGCAGAAGATGTGGAGCTCCCAGACATAGCCAGAAGAGGATCCTCTTCAGCTGTGAGAGTCGTGAACGTGGATGTATCTAACGCACTAGCGCTCACTTCCGTAGATTTGCGATCACCAAAAACAAAATCCGATAGACGCCATCCAAAGTTGGTCGAAGGTGAACCCGTCCGTCCGGAGGATCGAGAAGGTGGAAGACTGCTGTTGACAGTCGGACTTGGTAGTATGTTCACTGGGCCGCCGAAGAGTGATGGCGGAGCTTCCGGTGTTTGCAATAAGGGCTCTGGTGTGGCTGACGAGCTGAAACCAGACCTAGAAGCAGTGCGCATGAACCGCCGGATCGATGCCGTTGCATCTTCACCTGAGCCGCGAGCGATGACAATGACCGACTCGCCTGCCCCGCACCCGTCATCGCCAGCAAAGTCCACCTTAAGGTCGCGCTGCATGTCCCAGCTTTCACAGACCTTGCGGAAGTGTTTGGGCTTGAAAGAGATGAAATTTTCAATCTCCTTCGTTTCAGCGGCAACCTGGTGCTCATTGAGCCCCATGGAATCCGACGATGATCGCGGACTGTGGCTACCATCAACCAATTCACGATTAAAGGGGTCTGGGCGTGCCACACGTCTGCTCGCTTCGACCACCTCCCAATGCACACTTCTGCCAGTCTTCCAAGCCATCTCGTCAAGCTGCTCGGTGCTGAGTTTGGCCGTGAGTGGGATCTCAGGTGTCCGAGGAAGTTCAGTGAGGTAGAAGATTTCCCCTAGGGCATTGAGAGCAACAGCCCAAATTCGTTTACCAGACTGGCGCTGGACTGAATAGTGATCATCCACCGCAATGCCAATAATAGGAACACCAGGACACAGGACCCATCTAGCAGTCACTTGACCCGGCTCGTATCGCCTTTCGTAAGTCGGATGAGGGCCCAGAGAATACGCGGTCAACACGCCCGAAGACGACCCAGACATCATTCCTACCAGCCCCTGGCTCATCTTGAGGATGTGAGGGGACTTGGCAATCCACACCGAACAGACGGCATGTGTGATCATGTTCACGGCGGGAATGCCCAGTGGTGGGTGAGAACCCAAATCCGAAGCTCCCAAGAAACGACCACGCTGCTCCGTCGCCGAGATGAAGTAGCTGCGGCCCTGGGGACAGCCTTCACCGTAAATCATGCCATATGGTTGACTGACGTCCATCAAGTTGGGCACACCGACCATATCACCCGATCCGAGGCCGTATTGTGCTTCACCAGGAAACAGATCTGCAAAGTGACGGAACATTTGGTGGTCGGAGACACCCCAGGTGCCGACTTTTACGCTCGATGGGTCACTTGCAGATGCAATCCCTTGCTCTGCGGCTCCATGGATGAAGAGAGGGTTCTTGTCGGGCCTAAAAGAGGCATGTATGTGACTAACCGGAAAGAGGAGCTGCGATGTATACGTAGCTATGGCAGTACCATGACGAGCACTCGCCGCGCGTACAGTTCCATGCTTCTTGGAGGGGTTGAACTGCGCCGGTTTGCCCCTGGCTAACGATTGCATCAAGCGAGTGCGCAAGATGTATTCGCTGCGCCAGGAGGCTAGGGCGGTCAGCCTCGCGAAGAATCGTCTGTCCGACTGTAGATCTGCCGCATCGATATTGGTACGCTGACCATCCTCAACCGCATGGGGCCCTGGGAAGAATCGCGAGAAGGCGATTCTCCATGCATGCGGAGTAGTCACCAGCGCATGAAATCGACGGGACACCAAGGTTATGGCGGACAAGGATTGCGGTGTTAGATGCGATAGGATATGGGTGAGAACCTCTGGAAATTACGGTTGTCAGGAATAATTGCGGCGCGGGGGTTGCAGGACACCTACCGTTTGGAAGTGTCTCAAGATATTGCGGCTGTCCAATAGAAGCCACCAAGAAAGATCCGGCTTTTGCTGCTTGTCCGGAGGAAGTCGAAACATTTTCATGCTGGCTCAATCGATCGGCCGAGGGCGGGGAATGGCGACCGTCGACCTCGTTCAAGGACGCATCAGATTCGTCTTGTGTCGACATGCTCGGGACGTCTGCAGAGTCTCCGATCTCCTCTCGCTCGAGGAAATCAGAGACTTGAGCGTCGTCGAGGTCATGTCCATGCTGGGTGGGACTGATAATGACTGGGTATGAGTCAACGGGGGGCGTATGTTGAGACACGGTAGTAGGCTCTGGTTGCATAAAAAGGTATGGAGGGGAAAGAGAAGGTGGTAGCGACTGAGCCAGCGAGTAAGCCTGGGTCAGTCGAGTTAAGAAATACGAGATGAAAAGGAGTATGAAAGCGAAGCGATGTTGAAGAGAAAGGAATGGGAGACAGCAAGATGCCGAAGGCGAGGCAAAGTGGCCATCCCGCACATTAACTGCGGGCTATCGCGGTGGACAGCGACCGTCGAGGATTTGTGTCCTATTGGCTGCCCATGTGGGAGGATTCACCGCTTATGTCTCCGCCTTTTTCGATGTAATTTCTATACTTCAATTGATGATGACTATTAAGTTGTTTTAAGATATCTCTTTTTAGCTGTCTCTTTAGCTGTCTGTTTAGTTGTCTGTCTAGATATATTTTCTAATCTCTTTTCTAGTGTCTTTTGTAGTGTCTTTTGTAGTGTCTTTTTAATATCCTCTGATGTTTCGCTTTAGATGTCTGTTTAGGACAAGCAGTCGCAAATTAGTCGCAAATTGCTGTATAGTGAAGAGCGCAAATTCCTATAAATGGACTTTTCATATTTATCATACATGATCTCTACTACAACATACACGGCTGGGCTTAGAAAATCCGGAGAGCCGATTTTCTGCTGGCAATAAAAGCCAATAGGTAAACTCCCCAGTGGTCGCTATGCACTGATATGCGGCTCTGTTCTACTCCGTACTTTGGATATTACCGGGGCTTTATACGATATGAAAAAAAGGATCATTTCATTTTCATTGCAAAACTATCTTATTACTCAATATCACACCCTTTTTTTTTAAATTTCCCGGCTTTTACTTTCTTCTATACCCAGGTTTACACCAGATGGCCGCTATTCGAAACGCGTTCAGCACGTGACAGCGCGACGGAAGCCAAATCAGCGAGGCCTGGAGTATCACCAACTCTCTGAGTACGACTTGGTTGCGAGTTTGATGTGATTATCCTAGAATGGCTCATTGATACACGGTATTCTTCGATTTATTTCTCCCCGGTGCTTCACCAACCCCAACACCCCGCATAAACGCCAGAGCTGGATGAGACACGTGAGTTCGGTCGACCAACATGCCTGGAGCGAATGGTGAGACACTCTCCATACCGAATCGCTATTCAGCTTACTGATATCTCTATAGAGGCAGAAACCATTCGCATTCTCATCTCCACCGATAATCATGTCGGCTACAACGAGCGAGATCCCATCCGTGGGGACGATAGCTGGAAGAGCTTCCACGAAATAATGTGCCTGGCCAAGGAACGGGATGTCGATATGGTTCTCCTGGCCGGAGACTTGTTCCATGAGAATAAGCCGTCACGAAAATCCATGTACCAGGTCATGCGGTCGATTCGTATGAACTGTTTCGGGGACAAGCCGTGTGAGCTGGAGATGCTCAGCGATGCGAGTGAGAACTTCCAGGGCGCGTTCAATCATGTCAACTATGAGGACCTAGATATGAACGTGGCGATTCCTATCTTCTCCATCCACGGAAATCACGACGATCCCTCGGGAGAGGGTCATCTGGCCGCACTAGATCTACTGCAAGTTTCCGGCCTTCTCAACTACTACGGCCGGACTCCAGAGTCAGACAACATTCAAATCAAGCCTGTCTTGCTACAGAAAGGCCGGACTAAGCTTGCGCTGTACGGCATGAGCAACGTTCGAGATGAGCGACTGTTCCGCACCTTTCGCGATGGCAAGGTTAAATTCTTCCAACCGTCTGTCCAGAAAAGTGACTGGTTCAATTTGATGTCTGTGCATCAGAATCATCATGCCCATACAGAAACCAGTTACCTCCCGGAGAACTTTCTTCCTGAATTTCTCGATTTGGTCGTCTGGGGCCACGAACATGAATGCCTGATTAATCCTAAGCTCAACCCAGAGACCAAGTTCCATGTTATGCAACCGGGATCCTCTGTCGCAACATCTTTGGTACCTGGGGAGGCTGTTGCAAAACAGGTCTCGATTTTGAGCGTAACAGGCCGAGAATTTAAAAACGAACCTATTCGATTGAAGACGGTGCGACCATTTGTGATGCGGGAAATTGTATTATCCGAAGAAAAGGGAGCCCAAAAGCTTGCACGCAAGGAGAACAACCGGACGGAAGTAACTCGGTTCCTCATGTCCATTGTCGAAGAACTGATCGAAGAAGCCAATGCAGAATGGCTAGAGATGCAAGGTGACCGCATTGATGAGGACGAGGATGACACACCGGAGGCTCCGCTTCCTCTCGTTCGCCTCCGTGTGGAGACTTCTACACCTGAAGGAGGTAGCTACGATTGTGAAAACCCACAGCGATTCTCCAACCGCTTCATTGGTAAGGTCGCTAACGTGAACGATGTGGTGCAATTCTACCGCAAGAAAAAAACCGCCTCTACTGGGCGCAAGGACGATAAATCTGTCGATGAAGCTACTGTTTCTCATCTATCAGCCCTTGACACCGTGAAAGTCGAACAGCTAGTGCGCGAGTTCCTCTCATCACAGTCATTAAGCATTCTACCGCAGAATTCTTTCGGAGATGCTGTTGCCCAGTTCATTGACAAGGATGACAAGCATGCAATGGAAATGTTCGTCAATGAATCCCTCGAGAGCCAGGTCAAACACTTGTTGACATTGGATCGTGACGAGGACGAGATGGATGACGAGGAGAGAGAACAAAGCTCGCTGGTCACTGCTATGGAGAAATATCGCGGTCAGATGGAAAACATGTTTTCAAAGGGCGTGAAGAAGCGAACTCGCGGAAAGAAGCGCTTCAAGCCCAAGCCAGATGGCTGGGATTCCGAGTTTGATGGCGTGTGGGAAGACCAGCCTGGTGCACTTATTCTTTCTGACAATGAAGGCGGGGATCCAGCAGAGGAAGAAGCTGCAGAAGATGGGACAGTGCCTGCTCGCGGTCGTGCCGCAGCCTCAACTCGGGGTCGTGGTAGGGGTCGTGGTCGAGGCGCAGCGGCCAGTGCGCGAACCACCAAGGCCAAAGCTACCCCGGAAAAAAAGACGACGAAGGGTCGCAAAAAGCAAGCAGTTTCAGACGAAGAATCAGACGTGATTATGCTGGATGATGATGACGATGATGTTATAGCTAACGTCATTTCCGACGATGACGACGATGATTCGCAGGCACTGTTCGTCAAGCAGCCTCGCTCTACTACTACTGCGAAGCCACGAAAAGCTGCTCCTTCGACAACGACGACTCAGCGCCGCGGTGGACGTGCTGCTGCCTCGCCAGCCCCGTCATCAGTGACTGTTGGTGGGACTGCTTCTCGGCGAGCCCCTGCGCGCGGTAAGCCAGCTCAGTCTACGCTCAACTTCTCCGCTTCACAGGCCAGCGCGCCTCAGTCATCACGGCCTAGCCGCTCCACCCGTAACATGAGTGTTATCAGCGATGGTATTGATGACGACGATGATGACGATGATGCCTTTGAAGAAATGCCGACCACCTCGAGGCGCCGTAGGTAATTTGCGATTCACATCCATGGATGTTTATGCTTATGCCTTTATGCTTGTATGGAGTTACCGAAAACCACTCGGGCGTTTAACATTAGCGTTGTTGGCTTGAATCCTTCAATGATATCTTCAAGATATGATTCTCAAATATAAGATGATATATTATAATAATAAATAATAATGAATCAACAGGAGGCAGAACTTGGAGTTGTGACATTGTGAGATGCCCAGGTGAAGTATACCAAACACGCTAGTCCCAACACGGTAATTAGCTTATATCAATGCAGGGCATCTGGGCAGTTTGCCTTTACTACTCAGACCCAGAGGCTTCAATAAAGCAATGCCCGAATGATATCCCTTTCGAGTGGCGAATTGTGACCTCACAAATCTCCCGGTACTTCGTCACAAAAACCCGAGACTAGATCTCTCCTCGTTTCAACCCCGCATTCTCAGCCGAGGAACACAACCACCTCGGCCGTGCAACGGAAGCGACGTGGGAAAGACATGAGGAAAAACCCGGGTTCAATCCTCTATTGTCTGACCTTTCTTTACTTCTGTGTAAAAGGATACAAGACAATACTGGTTAAAGCACAATGACATACAAAGGCCGACCCATTCGCATTGCAGGTTAGTATACTTGCATTCATGATATACTCCAACTAACCTGTTAGGTGCCTCTGGCTCTGCCTCCGACCGGCGTCATGCTATCGCTGACTTTGCGCGTCACCATCCGACCGATCCTATCGATGTCATCATTGCTGATTTCATGAGCGAGTTTAACATGGCCACTGCCGCGGGTCGGCGTGTGGACCAGGCGACCTCCAAAGAACCAACTGCTCCAGCCTACGACCTCTCCTTCCTAGAAGCACTTGAGCCAGCTCTGGATGATTTGGCCAAGTATGGAATCAAGCTCGCAGTCAATGCTGGAGTGACTGACACAAAGGGTCTCTACGAGGTGGTGAGGCGTATGGTTGAGGCAAAGAAGTTGGATTTGAAGGTTAGTTAGCGTCTTGCCCAAAACTAATCAACAATTGCTGATTTGACCCCCAGGTTGCATGGGTTGCCGGGGATGAAGTGCTATCCACCGTCCAAGAGGGATTGACATCCGGATCTGAATTTCGCAACGTCTACACAGGCGAGCGATTAGCAGATTGGCCATTCGAGCCCATCTATGCCCAGTGCTATCTCGGTGGCCTCGGTATCGCGGCTGCGCTCGCAGACGGTGCGGACATTGTATTGTGTGGGCGGGTCTCGGATGCTTCACCTGTCATCGGGGCTGCTTACTGGTACCATGGCTGGCAGCGAGATGAGCTTGACAAACTGGCGAATGCGTTTGTGGCAGGCCATCTAATCGAGTGCAGTAGCTATGTTTGCGGGGGCAATTTCACAGGCTTCAAAGCCCTAGAGCACGCAGATGGAGATGGCTGGACTAATATCGGATATCCCATCGCCGAGATATCTGCCGAAGGCGACGTCGTGATCACCAAGCAGGCCCATTCCACCGGTGGTGCGGTAACTGTTGATACTTGCACGTCCCAACTGCTCTATGAAATACAAGGGCCTTGGTACTACAACTCCGATGTCACTGCGGTCCTCGATGGGATACACTTCTCGCAGCGCGGCGTCAATCGTGTCGCTGTTCATGGTGTTCGATCCGGGCCTCCTCCGCCCACCACCAAGGTTGGTATCACCGCGCGAGGTGGGTTCCAGGTAGAGGCATGGTGGTTCTTGACCGGTCTGGATATCGAGGCCAAAGCTCGCATGCTGGAGGCACAAGTCCGCCAATTGTTGTCACCCTATTCGGACAAATATACAGCGCTCAATTTCGATTTACTGGGCTCTTCCCTCTCTGACCCGCCCGACCAGAACCGCGCTACCGTGCCACTGCGCATCGTCGTACAGGCACGACATGCAGAAGACCTTGCACCGACACGGTTCCTCAAACCCATCACCGATAACATCATGCAGGGATACCCTGGCGCTACTTTTCACTTGGATATGCGCCAGGGATTCCCACGTGCCATCTTCGAGTATTATGTCACTTTGCTGCCCCAATCTGCAGTCCAGCACCGCGTCCATATGCCCTGGAAACCGACAGCATCCACACAGACTCTCGATATCTCGCCTCCGGTAAACACCAGGACCTATCCATCACGCCAGCCCTCGCAGCCCGTCACCCACACTGACAGGCCTGTTGACCTTGCCCGCGACTTTGGGCCGACAACTCGTGGCCCGCTAGGCTGGATCGTTCATGCACGCTCTGGGGACAAGGGTGCTGACGCTAACTGCGGCTTCTGGGTCCGTCACCGTGACGAGTATCAATGGCTGCGGGCGTTGCTGTCTGTTAAAAAGGCGCAAGAGCTTCTGGGAGAGTCCGCTCGGGAGAATACGAAATTGGCGATTGAGCGCTTTGAGTTGCCTAGCCTTCATGCGGTGCACTTCCTGTTTCGCAATCTACTGGACCGGGGCGTCGGTGTGACCACCACGGTCGATTTCCTTGGGAAGAATGTGGCGGAATATCTGCGGGCGCGCCATGTTGATCTCCCTGTGCGATTCTTGAACCGTGGGAAGCTGTAGTACGGTGTTCGCTGCCCCGTTTTTATAGGTATTTAGAGAATGACAGCAATATCACCCGACCCAGAAGTTATATGATCCATAGTTTCTTTTATTTGGAATGAACTTTAGCCTCAACAATAATCTCAATCCAAAATCAATACAGACCGCTTTATTCTCGGTCGAGTTAAACAAAGGCATAGAAGCTTCGAAGCTCGTACTCTATGCAACATATCGTATCTGTGAACAGAGGTGTACTTAGAGGGAGACGTCAAAGTGCGTTGTTGTTCACAAACAAGATGAATTTTCCAGGAACATAAACTTGAAAGCTTTGATGCTTACGATATAATACTAAATGCTCTCTGCTATGACAAGGGATATATCGACAGTGGCCATTTGAAAATTAAGCTGTCACCCCGAGCTAGGTACAGATACGGGGAATTTTAGGGCCATCACGATGGAGGCGGGCTTGATTCACCCTAATTCTTTGGATGGAAGATGACAGTCACAGTATTAGCTTTTGCTTTGCGTCTTTTACTTCCTCACTGGCAAAAGACGAAATAGGATATGGAAAAGGTCGCCAGAAAATACTCCCAAAAATGCTGTGAAAGACTAATCCTAGGCTCAATTTTTAATTCAATTGTACTTGTTTCATTTCCAGGTGGCGGGCGGTCCAAGGCATAGATGATTCCAAGGAGCACCTTCCAAATTGGAAAGTGCTGGTGGTCATTTCCCTTCTCCTCTGAGTTTCCCTCTCTTCCTCTCTCTTTTCCCTCATCAACGCACCCCTGACTTTACTGCAGTTATCTCCTGTCTTCTCTGTCTTCTTTTCAATTCAAGCTTGCAAGACTCAAAACAAATGCATCGTTGTCGTCCTCACTATGGCTGGAGATAAAGACCGCGCTGCAGTAAGTGTCTTCTTTGCATCATTCCCAGCCGTCCGACCGTCAGTCCACCACATTCAATCCTTTGCTTCCCATAGTTGGAGTTGTTTGTGCCGAAAAGACCTCGTCCTGCTACCTCGTGTGAGACCTGTCCTTTTCTTACCCTTCCATTCCTGGTGTCTCAAGGGCTGTCTCACTGGTCTATCCGTGAGGCGCCCCGCATCTTTTCCTTTGCACGCTTTGCATACCTCCCGATTTTATCATGTACCCAAAAGAATGCAAAGCATGATCAACAAAGGATACGGGTACTAACTGGAATATTAGAAATGGTGCTCCTACTGCGATGTCGGTGGCCACACTGTCGAAGAATGCAGATATTCGCCCATTACACCCGGGGTATTGCCTTTGGTATGCAGGATCGCAACGTGAGCAGTACCTTTGACGCACTATGAGTCTGGAGCGACATACTAACTAATATATTTATGAAGCAAAGGAGGAAGACAAAGACTCATCGGGGGACCAGAGGAGGTCGAAAGTCCAAACACCAGAGTAAGTCTTCCGGCCTACATCTTGAGATGTCCAATGATGATATCTTCACTTAAATTCCTGATAAATGGTGCTTGCACTACAGATTGGATTAAATCAACTCGATTGTTGTTCACTACTCAAGTGTGAATCGCACAGAGAGCTAATCCGTGGAACAAGAGCAGAATGAGAAACCCACTGAAAGCCAACCGATCTATTCGCGCTCCGAAAGTTTTCAATCATATGGTATGTCCATTTTTGGCTAGCCATATTGGCGAAATCGATCTATCGTCCCAGGTTGTGGGAGCATCCATGCAATGTGATCCATTGCTGTATCTGATGCAGAATCTCGGGATATGTGCTAATGAAGTGTACCTAGACAATAGCACGTCTACCGCGTCTGACAGCCCTGTCCTCTCCTACACCAACAGTGCCAACACTGTCAACATTGCGAACACTACCAACGCTGACAAAACTACCAGCACTGCCAAGGCTACCCACACCGGCAACACTACCAACACTGCCGCCCAGAACGCAAGCGGTGCCAATAGTAGCACAGTCAAATTTGGTGAGTCATTTCTTCCAATCTCCTTTCCGAGGTTGGCAGATTGGTCTTCTTCATTGTTCCTCAATGGACCAATGCTAATGGATCTCAAGTTTGATTTTGCGGACAGGTGACCGCGGAAAATAGTCGGCAATGAAGCAAAAGTCCACACAGCATGGAATAATATCCTCGAGTATAGATATACTTTCATCACACCTGTTATTGATGGATCATGTATCTATCCTTCCTAATCAATGTCTTTGATCACATTCCTACTCAATTATAATAAATACTCAAAGTGAACCGACCTTGCGGGCATTCGGGTCAAAATTCCACGCGGTATGATTTCTTCCAAACACATTCAAACAATATCGCCATATGTTCAATAGCGCGCTCTAAGAATCTCTGAATCTGGCCTACAGTAATTAAAAATGTCGCATTTCGCTGGCAACCTCTGTCAAACAGCACCGCTCAGTGGGTGCTCCGGGACCGATCCCGGCACTAAGACAAATATGGCATGGAACTCGCTGTTTTGCCTTAGCTCACTATCTGACTCACTTGTGCTCGTATCAAATACAGACTAAAATGTACTGTTCCTTGGACCACAATTAGAGTAGAGATGGCTTAATTATTAGTACTCACTTTCGTAGAAAGCATTGCGTTGAAATGTGACTCATTTGTCGCGGGGAATGATCTCAGCACTACAACCTAGAGTGGAAGGTATTATTTCAGCAGGTGGGTAGACATATATAATTGCTGATCACATCAATATTTCGCACAACCAACAGCCATGTGTCCAGACGTGATCAACATCGCGAAGCTTTCCGATGGCGGGTCATCCGAACATCAAATCCAACATAGGATCGACCTTTTGAATAAATGGAATATTCCCCTAGGCTCAAAGATCCTCGAAATTGGCTGCGGACAAGGAGATTGCACCTTGGTGACAGCCTACATGGTGGGGGACCATGGCCACGTCACGGCGATTGACCCGGCACCATTAGATTACGGTTTGTTTGATTTGAACCAATAGCATAAGAGCCCAGCTGATAATCCCACTAGGCGCACCTATGACTCTAGGAGAAGTACAAGACAAACTAAAACAGAGTTCCATCGGCGACCGAATGACATTCTATCAATCAAACCTTCAAGAGTTTCTCGATTCAAGCGCTTCAGAGCAAGTCTACGACTATGCCATGTTTGTGCATTCAGTGTGGTACCTACCATCTGCCAACGTGTTGCTGCCAATGCTAGCAGCTCTCCGCGGAAGAACGAAACAGCTTCTCATTGCAGAGTACTCCCTCGATATCCGCGGTGATATTGCTGTTCTACCGCATCTGCTGGCGGCAATCTCGCAAGCCGAATTCAACTCTAGAGGCAATGCCTTAGACCGGGATGACAATATTCAATCCATCATATCCCCACAAATGATTTGTGCGTTGGCGCAAAAGGCAGGGTGGGAGCTTCAGAAAGAAGACATCGTTGAGTCCTCTGAGGGACAAGAGGATGCAAGATGGGAGGTTCATCGAGTCTTATCGGAAGATTATAGTCTCAGATCGGAGTCATCTGGGGACGCTAGTCGCCAAGGCTTTGCAGGTTCGTTGGTCCATGCTGTTGCAGAGAGCACCCGGGCAATTGGACCCAGTCCAAAGCTCAGGACATTGCCTACGTGGATGGGCTCTTGGGTGTGAATACTACGATAGGGATCAGCAAGCCACCTCTTCATTCTAGCCTGTTGCTCTCATTTTCAAAACCGAGTCGTATATTGAGTTCATCAGTCTGAAATATTGATCAATTCACCCTCATTTGTGACCCTTCTTACTTTCTTGCCACAATATTCCGTGATCTATATCGGTAAGATATTTGAATTTTTCGTTGCTATATCAAATCAGTCTGGCCAACCTTGATCCGCCTGCCTCAAGGCCAGACCCACCGCGAGGAGGTCAAATCACTCCACCGCTCGGTTTTGGACAAGACTCTGGGATTATAGACGCAGCCACCCCTAGAAAGACAAAACAAAAACATACAATAGCGATTCTAAGGTGGTGCTCACCTAGCGCCTACAGTTCGGGCATGAGCGGCTCGCCGCTATATTCAGGGCACTCAGGGCGGATATTCACCCACCTGTGTATATGGCTAATAATATTATGGATTTCGAGGAACATAGTAATAATGAAATCCAGCGGGTAGTGCTACCACGAACAGAATCTGGTTACAAAGAAACGTTACTTAATTTCGACAGGTAAGTCCCAGCCCTAGGAGTAGAGAAGCAAATCCCTAATTGCGCCTCTATCGCGAGTTTTGTGCCGTCATTCTGCCGGACATCAGAACATGTAGGGCTTTTCTCAAGTGGGTTATAAAAGGAAAGGACGGGCGGATCGAAGAAAGGCCAATAGTCGAGATTATTTAGGGAATCTTTTAGGAAATTCGCTACTAGCATGAAGAGAAAAAGAAACTTCGAATGCCTACGTTCCTAATTTTCCATCTAAGGCCGACCTGATCCAATACTACTGCTTCCATGCCTTTTCTGCTTCTAGTAAACTCCGAATCACTCTGTGCTTTTTTTTTTGTAAGTTTAGCATCAAAGAGTTTCATACAGTTGTCAGCATGGAGAGGAGAATCGGTGGATGTATGGTTTGTATGGTGGGAATGGCTTCAATTCTGGGGAAGATCATTTACAACATAAAGTATAGGGCGGTGTCGGAAACGGTCTAAAACCAAGCCCAATTAAGATGTAAAAACGCTAATATCAATGCATTTGACCCTGGCCGCTATAAACCTTTGCATGAGGCACCATATTGGAACTTTAACAGGGAGAAATTTGCTCGAAAACAATACAACGAAGAGAGGGAGAGAAGCGACTGTTTTGCTCCCCAGGTGAGCCACGAAAGTTTTTCTTGGCTCAGAAGGTACCTTGAACCCACCACCTAAGAATTTGAATTATCATGACAGATCAGGCACACTTGGCCAATGTCTCTCTTGGTGCTGCCTCTCATCTTCACTATCGCTGGCAAAGATATTATCCCAAAGTTTTTGCAAGGCTAAATCGGGCGGCCTCCCAGCCATCTCCTCATCCTTCAGCCATAACCTAACCATATGCCTCTGGCCCGCGTCACTGGCATCCGTAAACCCATCTCTCCCATGCAGAATCCTCCGATTGTTGAACAGCAATAAATCACCCTCCTGATACTGGATTTTATGGGCTGCCTCCGCCGCCGCAAAATGCACCGCGTCTAGCGCTTCACATTGAATCCTCGTTAGTTTGGGTATGTCGAGGGGCCGCTGACCTCGAGGGGATCGTATAAGCGCGCCGCGGCTGAAGACCATTTCAGGCTGGTTATTGTCATTCAGGAACAAGACTGGGCGTTTGTAGAATGTTGCTCCGGAGGATCTATCGGGAGGTCTTATTTATTTTCATTGATTTAGTTCATGAACAGGACAGAGTTGCAGTAGAGAAGATGCAAGAGGGAAGAATGAATAAGAAGGCAGACCTGTCAAATGGCCAGTCTGGCTGCATTAATATAGGGAGAAGATCGGGACTCGATCGTGTCAGTTTGTTGTATACTGTTGACACCGGGGCAAATGTGCCGTCGCCACCATTTGCTGCAGAACTAAACACAAACATGGCGACCACATCGCCTGCGTCAGTATGAAATGGCTATGAAAGGTTAGTGAAATATGTTAAATAATAATTGCTCGCAAATCCACGATAGGGCTTGTGTCGATGACTTACTAGCTCCTGGTTGCAATAGGGAGCCGCGTATTTCTTCGAATCATCGCCTCCAGTTAGATCTATGACATGCGCTTCCCAAAATATGCCCGTTAGTATGCATTTCTTTCATCAAGGGATTTTGTCGATATATATAAATAGCATGGATGCCCACCGAGATATTTGTTTCCGGGTTGCCTCCCCCTTTGTTCAGATAGATGACAAGTCAATCCGGCAAAGAGTACAAAATTCTCTCTCTGACTACGTTTTGTTGGTCGCAATCCTCGCAGGAGCAATATACCAGTCCCATTATGAAGATCGTATCGTCGCGCGGCAAGCTGATTTACAAGCGTGGAAGGCATTCGGAATATCTCCTTCTCAATTTCATGTAGAGTCTTGCCGGTGGCTTACCGAGAAGAACGAGAACGCGTCCACGGTAAGCGTTGAAATCCCGAACGAACGAAAAGCATAGGTCAACTATAGGTGAACTCACAGGTGTACTCAGCGCAACATTTATCAATTTCATCCAATTCCAAGCTTGATATCTCCCACGTATACGTGTTTGGATCGAGATCGGCGCCATCCCATCTCATTCCGAGATTGATGCTGAGCTGTAATTCTTCTGATAACACTGGCGCAGCTTTTATGGCCTCCAGTCGTTCTGATCGATTCCGTGTGAATTGCTGCAAGTCAGGGTAATATTCTGGGTCGAAGTCGGTTTCCGCGTAATCTTTGGAAGCCATGACTGGGTTATCTTGTTTGTTCAACCTGAAAATAGATGTGGTTGGGGTTGATTTGCTCTAATCTCGGATCAAAGGGATGGTTGAGTATCATCATATCTTTGTTTGACTGGTTTCATAAATCCTCGGGTGCTGGCTGGCGGATTGAGTGAGCAACTGACACCAAGGCAACATCAGCCGCACCGCCGCCAAGTTCCTCGCCCTCAAGCGGGGTAGGGCATATATCGGTTTATTCTGGTTTGCTTTGCTATTTTTCCGCCAACCATATGCAATCCCGGGAACAGAAGTTAGAAAAGGTCAGCAGGACTGTATTAGTATTTGAACTGCATCATGCAGTGCAACATAACTCGGCGTATCAAAACAGGCAGTAAAAGGTTACATATGTATCTACCGGTTAATCCTGTTGGCGATACACCCATGGACTCATTACCGCCAGATCCGAGGTCTGGAAAAGAGCCCGACAAATAGCTCTTTCTCTTTCTGCTTCTAGGTTGTTGGGCGGTGAGATCCTTCAGATGTCTTTCAGCTGAGGTACGAGGATGAGGCTCCGCCTTGAAATAATTCTTCTCTTCATAAAGTCTACTTAGGAAGACTCTTTGGGATCAACAAGATATCGTGGAGCCCGCTCCGGTGAAATGCCACCAGACCGTCACACTGTATTCCCGTTGGCAGTGGAGAAAATGGCGCACTGCCAGCCCCAAATAGCAACATTGCCGCCGAGTAGACGACGAGTCGATCTCCGTGCCGTTGAGCAGTCCTACATTGAAGAACAAGCCCAGGAGCTAAAAATTCCAATTCGAAGCGTGTCACTTGCTCTCAACGAAATCTATCTCGGAGTTCCGTTCCAAAATTGCCCGCAGGAGTCACCGAAACAGGGACTTGAAGTTGGATATGGGTTTCCCAAGTCAGCAATGTATCTATTTCACAGTTGCAGCAGTGGTCTGAACTGTAACACTGTCGCATCCTTCGCCAAACGGGGCCCGTCAATTCGTTGCGCACGCCAACAAGGTTATTTCTCACGTGCACCTGCCGTCTACTGGACCTCTACACTATCCTTTGCGATTGCTTGGGGTATCTTCTCCAAGTATGGCTCTTGGGACCTGAGGCATCGACCAGGAGAGCCCGAGTTCGAGTGTCTGGTCTATGTTGCGAAGGTGGAATGGTCGTCGCTGAATCTCTCAGGTGGCTACTACTGTATTCCAGTGTCTTCCAACGCAGACCAGTCCGAATTGGTTAGCGTATTTCCCCCCTCCCCTTTTGAAAATAACAGGTTTATGCCAGCCAGTCATAACTTACATATCTTTTGGTCCTTCCAGTGGTGCAACGCGAACATGGAAAGACCCAACCAGGGCATTCGACTCCCCCTCCTAAATCGAGTAACTCGAACTGGAGTGTGATAGCATCTAGGCTACCTCAGGTATGTGCCATGTCGGAATCAACTATAGGCTGGCCAGTTTGTAGCCTATAATTTTGAAGATCCTACGGCCGCCATATTGAATAATATACAATATTGACAAACTCCAACAAGCACACCAGAGATTCTATTCATTGGGATCAGAAGATCTTGGACGAGGTGTGGCTTTATGCGGCATGCGACGAGGAAAGCAGTGAGGCTATTGCCAGGGCTGGCGTAGAGGTCTGTAATTGGCTTGTCGTTGCTCTATTTAACAGTTGGTTAACCTTGTGCAGATTAAGCTCGTTAAGCTTATACCTGATGATCGTCTGTGATTACACTTTGCAAATTGACAGAATATATCACTGACAGCCCCTTGGCGTTGATCACCGAAGAGTATAGAAGCACAACACGCAAGCTACATAATCATGGTAGAGCTGAAAACTGGAAAGCACATAGTTTATTGTCAAAATCCTTCAACAGCACACTCAACCAACCACTGTTCAAGCAAAACAATATACATTTATCTAGCTTCGTATGGTTTGATGAGGTTCTTAGAATTGATTTCAATAGTCTTCTCTTTTAAGAAGCATTTTTAATCATATTCGTAAGTTCACAAATTATACGATACGTGCTCAGCGGCAGCTCAAAAACAGTATAAATTGAAAAGCTCACATACCAAATGAGGATCCAATATTGAAAGGTTTTCAGCCTTTTGGTTTTTGATATTAGTGTCGCTGGTGGTATGAAGTCCTTGAATGGGCAGCGAAAGTGATCACCATCTGCCGTTCAGTATCTAGCCCTAAATAAGCTGCGGCAACAAAGTGCAATTTTTTTTCGGGTTGCGTGAATATTTACATCCTTTTTCTTTTTCTGTTTTCTTTATCAGACACGATTATCTGATCATGGTTGAGAATAATCTTTTTATCGCTGGATAAATAGCCAAGAAATTCTTTTTTTTTCTCTGTACTCAATTAGCCACCGCTCTCTGGTCCAAGATAGTACATGTTTAAAAGCAACTTTGTAGGTGCAGGCGACTAAGCTCAAGTTGTTCTGTAGGCGTGGTCGGTTCATTTTATATTATTCCCCGGAAAGTCTTGATGCTCCAGTAACCAACTTGGTCAGAAGTTGGTCGAAGCGTTCGAACAGATTGAGGGCCATCTGATAGTGACAAGAAATACAAACTCCCACAACGCAATTAAATTTAGGGCTATATTTGAAGCTTCTTCTAGGATTGAGCAGATTTGGTGAACAACTTCTATTTCGTTTTTAAATATCAAATATGTTAAGATATCTCCATGTTCCATCATATCGATAGACTGCAAGAAGATCCGGTGAGCCGGCCCTATTTGTCCCACCCGTTCCGACCTGTGTGAGTACTGTTTGAGGCAGATTCTTGATCTTCCCGGAGAGCTTAGGCTACTAGGCACTGTACTTGGCCCAAAAAGTACGGTTGATGCTTTCAATTATTCCATGATCTAGCGGCTGGGGTAATGCTTTCAAACTTTACCCAGCCGAGTCTGTGTTTAGCCCAGTGCTGTTACTGCTGTAGGAAATTAGTAAATTAGTAATAATATTCATTCAAGTTACACGTCTGTAGGAACATTGCGCTGCACATGTAGATAGAATGGAATAATGATCATACCAATGAATCAAAACGACTACATTCCTAGGCCTGCAATTGTCTTACTGGTAATAATCTGAGCAGTCTTCATATGTGTCAGTGCCACTGTCATCTTCGCTTTGATATTGCTTAGTAGATTCTCTGCAAGGGGTTAATGAGCTTGCGTCAGCCTTCAAATTCTCTGCGCACAAGCATAAATGATTAATAACTAACCTCCTCATTTGTTTGGAATACTCCAGCTTGACGGTGGCAATCATCTCTCGGAAGGAAACTGCAGCCGTCGCTGTTTCACCATTTCCTCCCTCTTCAAGCTTCTCGTCCAGGATAGTCTCGGCCGTTTTCCCTGCGTGGTCGTGAGAGTCGGGGTCGACGATGGACATATTCACTTTCTCAAGAGCTTGGATCATTGATGTGTTTGCAAAATATGCAGCATAGTGTAGTACAGTCCAGCCCTTGCCATCCTTCTTTTCAACTCGTGCTCCTCTCGAGACCAATTCTCGGAAGGCGGCAGGGGAGTTGTAACGTATAGCTGTCATTATGGGTGTTTCACCAGATCTTCCTTCACAATTCAAGTCGGCCCCAAACTGTGCCAATTTTTCAATGATAAGCTCGATTGCTTGCTCATCCTTGGGGTGGGTATCTGGTTCAATAGCCCGCTGTATGACGGTGATGCCATCCGTCTCTTGTGCGTGGACATCGGCACCCTGGAAAAGTAAGAGGTGAACTAGGTCTGCTGCCCCCGATAATGCGGCCAGACAAAGTGCCGTTCGCTGATAAATATCACGGTAGTTTATTTTAGCACCGGCATCTAGAAGCATCTTGGACAAAACTACATTCCCAGATCTAGCCGCAATATGAAGTGCAGTGCGTCTCTCTCCTCTAGTAACAAGATCCACAGGGGCCTTCCACGTCAGAAGTATTTCAACAGCCGTGACATTATTCCGGTGGACTGCCCAGTGAAGAGGAGATAATCCAGCCGCATCGAGTTTGTCAATGGATTTTGGCTCAATATTAAGTGATTCCTGGAGACTTAATTGACTGCGACCGAATATGGCATCATGGATAATTGTATTGCAGTCGTGAAACTCATCACCACCGAGAGAGATCGCCCTCCTAGCGAGGCCATCAAGCTCGCAGGGGCGATCAGGCAAGGAAAGCATGAGAGCTATCTCACCAATCGGTGATCTGCTCAAGACTTACCGCATCAGCATTTGACACTGGTTGTGACGGCCATATGACAGGAACCAGAGAGAAACACTTTACCTTCCGATGTAGTCTTCGCGGTTGACTTCGGGATCAAGCTCCATTAATAGCGAGATTATCTCCCATATAGCACCCGGGGTCGAAGATGGCTTCCGCGCCATACGAATGGCAAACTTGTTGCATGTTAATTAGCGATCAAACAGGTTCAAAGATGAGCAGCCAGTATGCAGTATCATACCTGGAGAAGTCCTTGTCCATGGCCTTCCTCAATATCAGTTGGAAATATAGTTCTCTGCAACAGCATCCTCTGCAAGCCATTGAGGTCATGGTTTTCGATTGATGTCCATACGCCATCCCCAAACGGAATGGTGCGTCGCACTTTCAGGTGCAAGGACGCCCCGCTGTTGAGCCCGCTGTTCCAAAAGAGTTGCGCACAAATCGCTCGCTTGACGATCCAATTCGGGAAAGCAAGGGTGACTCGAACAGAGCTTCTAAGCCTCGTACAGGTCGGATGGCTGCAAGCGCTGCGAAGCCTGACTGTGATCCCAGTAATGTTAACTACGATTCGTCCCGCAACAGCGGAGAGAAACTGTGGCGTGCCCAGGTTTGATTTCGTGTGGCATCTGCATTTACAGTTGGGCCCGCAGCCGAACGAGAGATTCGTCACAACATTAAAAGGACGTTGTGGATCTTGGTCAGTAGGCTCCTCCTCATTTCCGGCCGTTGTATTGCCGCCTCGTTTCTCGCCAGAGTTGGATTCAACCGGCTCGACGTGGCTCACGTCGATAATCGTAGATTCCTGAGTATCGGGTCTCCTGGATGCTTCAGTTACCTGGGTACTGAGTTTTGCGAGCCCGGACGCGGTTTCATCTCTCATAAGAAGGAGCATGCTGGACTGCGAGAGCCTAGAGTGCCAAAGTTAGAAGATGGGCTTTTTGTATGCGCAGGCATCATAAGCACATGCCCTATGGATGACTGCAATAAGCCTACTGCATGCGCAAGATTCACTCGCTTTGACTGTAAGCTATCGCAGAGGCAAATGAGCTGGCCCCTTTGGTTCCGCCACGAGATCGCCCGTGTAACTCTTCGAGAAGCTGACTGAGAGGTTGCACAGTTGAATCCCTTTAGGAACATATCCAAGTTCTTCAACTCGTTCTGTAAATCCGAGACAGATACCTCGAGGTGGGTCGTGTTGAGTTCTGCGACAGGCTTGGAGTGATCCTTGTAAGCCTCTATAATTGGACTAAGGCAGTAGAGATATCCCTCAACAAGGTGCAGCTATCTCGCCATGAGTATTAGATTCATCGGCTTTTCTGGAGATCAGGAAAGAAGCCATACCTCATTCTGAAGACGATATATCTCCAGTGATGAGTTTCTGAGAGATGCGACATATTTCACTGCCTTTGTCGCTCCGTTCACTGCCTGGACAAGCGCTATCACGCTAGCAGCAATAGAGAGAGGATCCATCTTGATCTAAGAGGAGTCACTGCTAATAACCTATGTATGTTGAGCAATTCCGATATTCCAAAGAGGATGGTATGGAGGAGGAACTTGAAGTAGCGAAAGGGGGAAGAATGGCAGATAGATGCGACCGGGTGAGATGAGGCAGTGTCCTCGGCCTTTGGATATATCTGAGGCCACGCAGTGGCTATTGCAGCTACCCAGTCACATGGGTACATGTGTAGATGTACAGGTGTCTTGCCCCGCACTTACCTACGAGGGCATGGCCTCTCGAGACAAGGCTTCAGTCGCAACTTGTACCTACGCTGATTCTTCCTCTCTTAGCCTATTGTGATCAAAACAACATGCCTGCGAGAAAAGATCGGTATGGGAGGGGAAGGACACTTCAGCAGTTCAGAGGCGTGCAGGATATTCAGGTGTAAAATAGTGGTGTTCAGGGCATTCCGGTGAATGGGCTGAAGGGGCTGAATAGTAGGGCGGCAAGAGGAGTTTCCTAATGAATCAAAATCAAAAACAAAAACATACAACAGTGAGGATTCGCTGGTGGTCACCCACCCAACTACTAACTCACCGGCGTGTGGCTTAAGTACGGCTGAGCGGACGGGAAGCCCTGTTTTCCACACCCTATGGTCGTATGTATCATGTTATGTGTGGGACAGAATTATAGAATGTAATTCCTTGAGTGATGAGTGGGTGATGAGGGTGAGAATCGTCCAAGTCGAATCAAGAACATTTGATGCAGAGTCGAGGAATGGGAGGTGCAATTGCTTTTAGGAAGGAATTTTTCCAAGAAGAAACATAGCGAAAGAGTAACACTTTTCGAGGGTTTTTAAGCGCAATTATCTCAGAACTAGTAGTGCGGGGAGTTTTAAAGTAGGCCCATTTAGTAGAGAACACTGCAAAACCTTATAACAGCTACCTCACCGGTGTGTGGCAAAGGCAATATCGTTCGACATGAGACATGAGTGGAAAAATGAGCGTGGTGAAATAGGCAGGTCTAATTCAGAGACCAAGCTTTATCGTTCATCCTGTGCTATCTATAAGAACGGAATCAAGCTGGACTTCATGGTATATTTACATCTACCTATTATTGCAAATAACTATCTCAACTAATTATGCCAATGACGATACTTCAGGCTATATTCCCGTTCGTCATGTCTGTTACTGGGACTATTGGCATGAGATTAACTAGCACAATAGTCGGCCGTATATCTAAAGCATCTGTCCTTAATACTTAGCGACGTAGGACTTTAATAATCTGATTTGTCCGGCTTAACATGATATTCGTAAGGGACTTTATATGCAAGATAGCAGTCTGATGTCTCTTCTTTAGATGTCTCGTTTAGATATCCTTTCTTTGGCTATCTGTATGAAGGTCATGCTCCAGTAGATTAGATAATCGGTATATCATGAGGTATATTGGGTTTGAGTGTAAAGGTGTGCAAGAAAGCGATTATGCCATGAAAGACAAGCCCGTAGCGATATTTGTTCTCAGGTCCTTGAGAGCCACCTCCAGCAACTTAGTCTCATGTTCAGATATTTTGCCAATAGGCAAGGCTTTGGTAGCACCCGTCTTGCCAAGCTCGATCTTGACAGCGAAGTAGTCAACGCCAAGCTCGGCAGCAATCTCCTTGCCTCCAGGAATCCCCGGCAGGTAGACAAATGCTTCCTCGGTAATGGACTGTCCATTTTTACCTGAAAGAAGAGCCTTAACGAAGCGAAAACCGGCGTAGGCCATGCACGTCGTAGCGCTTCCAGCCCCCTGCTTGCTCTTGACGATTTCGTCGCCACCGAACTGAACACCTATTGGTATAGTAAGTGAAGCCATTTTTCGATGTTCTGAGCATGCAAAACTTACGGTTGATAACAGCCGCCAGAGTTTGATGATCCAAGTTGACCGGGGGTTGAGCCTGACTATAAAGGGGAAGGATGGTAGCACCACTGTGGCCACCAATGACCGGGACCTTGAAGTCCTTAGGATCGACATCGCCGCCCAAGGCGTGGGCAACGAATGTAGAGGCACGAACAACATCTAAAGTTGTAACACCGAAGATATGGGTGGGATCGAAAACACCGGCTTTCTTCAGGGCCTCAGCGGCAACAGGCAGAGTTGAGTTGACCGGATTTGTAACAACACAACACATCGCTTGTGGACATGTGGCCCCTATCTCAGTGAAGATGTCTCGAATGATGCTGGCGTTGGTCTGGGTTGTAATTAGCAGTTGGCTTCCCACACATGCTTTAAAACCCTTCGACTGTTGGTAGGTATATTCTCACCCTGAACAAATCTATGTAATACTGATCAGTAATCCATCTTGATCGTGCATTATATAAATGCATTGCTTACCGTCTCTGGTCATGCCAGGCTTGCGAGCGATACCAGCGGTTACTACGACAACATCTGCACCACTGAGTGCCTTCTTAAGACCAGAGTCCTCTGGAAGGTAACCACTTACCCTGGCCCTAGTGTCGATGTGGTTCAAATCGGTGGCAATGCCGGGTACATGAACAACATCATAAAGTGCGATATCATCAAATAGATCGCTCTTCAATTAATCAGCCACTTGGTCTCAGGCTTGATGGTTTAATATCTTAAGGGGGACTCACTGCTTTGCACAGGAGACTGAGTGGGGTGCCAATCTGGCCAGCGGCGCCAAGTAGAGCAATCTTGACCATTTTTAGGGCTGAGAGAAGATGATAAGGATTGATTTTCTTGACTCGTATTTGGAGTAGACTATATCAATAAACTAGCCTTGTATAATGAGGAGGATGGGGCTTTTTATGACAGCGGACCAAGCACTCATTGCGACGCTTCGATATTCACACCCTCGGAACGAGAGTGCGCTTCATGGTATCGGCTGATAGTTCAACCGAACGACCGACCCATTCTCATATAATCGCCCAGGGAATCGCAACGCATTTTTAGCATGTACAGTCTCGGCTCCGTGGTCATCCATTGCAAATGACTCGGTTAATATTCATCAAGTTTATCGTTGACGAATAAGATCCTCATTGGCCGATATGGGGGATAATGTGGGATTGACTCGCCAATCTTGCTTACATGGAATTCGTAGACTATCTTCTGTGATTTATAGTTAACCATTTATATTTTAATTTTGGTATCGCCAAAGGAGTAGAAGACAGCCCACTACAAGATATATTGTAATAATGACTTGAGTATTTTCACGACTTGAGTACATAACTTTCAAGTCGTTCAGCAATAAAATATACCTTGCTAATATGATTTCATTGTTTCTGACTGTGTGTATACTAAGAACAGCTATCTCCAGGCTCTAATTTGTCTTGCTATTGGCACAAGGCCTGGTGTTCCGGAACAGGCGACAGAAGCGGCTCCCCAACAATAGCACGCCGCACGTTCTCCATTGCCCACGTTTCCATCTTACCCAGCGTCTCCGTGGTATGAGTCCCCATGTGTGGAACCATCAGAGCACGCTCTTGCTTCATGAGCTTCTCATTGATTTCGGGCTCCCGCTCATAAACGTCCAGCCCTACGGCGGCAATATGGTTGCTTTCCAGAGCATCGGCCATGGCAGCTTCGTCAATGATGGCGCCTCGTGCGGTGTTGATGAGAACAACACCCGGCTTCATCTGAGCGATCTGCGCTGCACCAATCAAGTGCTTCGTGTGGGCGTTCAGAGGTACGTTAACACTGATGATATCGCTCTCCGCAAGCAGCTTCTCAAAGGAGACATACTCAGCCGCGGCATTCTGATCAGACGACAGAGGGTTGCGGTTGTGGTAGACGGTCTTGAGACCGAAAGGATCGCAGCGGTGTTTAATGGCACGGCCGATGCGCCCCATTCCAAGGATACCGAGGGTCTTGCCCTGAGGGTCGTGGCCGAATTCAACGCCCTTCTTGAAATTTCCCGCGCGCAGAGAGGAGATACATGGATTTAATTGCCGCAAAGCACCCAGCATTAGGAAGATGGCCAAATCGGCGGTCGCATCGGTGACCGGATCGGGAGCGTTAGTGACTATGATGCCCTTTTTGGCACACGCACTTGTGTCGATCGGGTCATATCCTATGTGATGATGAGGTAAGTGGAAGACTTTCGAGTGCGTAGGACTCGCAGGTTTATATACCGGCACCATTGTGGCATATATATTTGCAGCTTGGCGGCAAACGATCGATCAACTCAGCATCAAACTTGCCGGCTACCTGCATTAGATACCATGTTAATGTCGACTGTAATATCCTTCAGCCCGTATCTCAACCAAAGAGACAAGGCTTCTGGGGGATAAGGATTTAATACTCACAATACCGCTAGCAGATGTCCGGTAAATGGCGAAGATATTCTTGTACTTGTCTGTGATATCCTTGAAAAACTCCTCCCTGCTTTTGCTGGTGACAACCTCCGTGTGCGCGAGCTCTTGCAGCTTTTCGAAGAATGGCACGGCATGTCGTACGGGGTTGAAGAAGAGAACAAATGGCTTAGGTGACGACATGTCTCTGAACTGATTTTGATGATATGTGGCTTTTGCTGTTTGTTCTCCAGGTTCTATCTCAATGTGAGGCTTTGTGGGGTTTTTATCGCATGTGATTTTCTGATCTAAACATCGCACCGAATCCTTCTAATCTTCTGCTAAACTTTCAGGCCAAAATGGCCCTGAATATGCATTCGTCATGTTGGTGGATCAGAGGTGGGTAATCTTCTGCCTGAACCTCTGCCGGCCGAAGTTGGGTGAGAGATGAACGCTTCCCGCCTCTTCTCATATCCACACTATCCACCATCCAACACAAAGCGAATCCCACAGAGTGCGTTACTACAAGTCATTGCTTTGGGGATCCACATCCGCTGAAACGGGACTCTGAAACACTTTTTATCAACGCCGCGTTGGAGGGCTCCCCGGATCTTCTGATACAACCATCGTGGCTCGTCGACATCGAGCTTCCAGCAGCGGTGTGAGAGGCAAAACCTACGCCTGCGATTTTGGCATTGAATGCTTCTGATAGGTCACGGAAAACCCATTTACAGGAATATGGGTCAACACCCCTATGGGTTGTATTATCGACGAGATGAAACCACTGGAACTAGGATGAGGCAGTGTATTTTGCATCACTTATATCCAAAGAGAATTCGAAACTGTGAAATAGTATTGAGGTAACGTAATTGTCTTTCGGTATATCCACTAAACGGACTTGAGTATATCGGTGGTGGAGGTGGGGAAATTCAGAGCTTCGACAGTAAGATTGGTTGTTGATTTTGGTGACGACATTCAAAACGGCCTAAGTACAATCACGAACGAGATTAGAGTGCATTTGACCGTCAGAAATTTTAACCAGCTTCTCAACCCTGTTTTGGCCTAGCTATAGTTCATTCCTAATGCAACCTATGAGATGGGAGTATATGGAAGATGGATCTGTGTCTTCTCTCCATTTTTCTTCTTCCTTTCTTTCCCGTCCACTCTTTTTGGTAGGTGCGTAGCTGTACTTCGCCCCTGGGTCCCCACCACGTCCCCAACAAATTGGGATGCTTCTCCCAGATTGAAGTTAATTTCGCGTTACTGTGCGATGTACAACATGAACAGCCCGTGAGACTGACCTACCAAGTTGGGACATTCTCCACTCCTCCCGAGATCTTCCACCCCCGGACCCACATACTATCGTATGATGCACGAATTATTTACCCCACTATCCAGGTCGTTCTCGATGAAATCACCGCCAATCCACAGTCAGGTTTTTCTCTTGCTCATTGCAAGTGCTTGCGCAATGTCGACAACCCGATACATCGTACCGATCCCCGAATCAATGCGTGTGCTGGAAACTCGCCGAGCACTCAATGAAATGGCAGATCAATACCCGTTAGGCACCGTGGACGCGAGGAACGGCGGCTGGTATATGCTCGATCATGATGGCACCGTGCTGGCTGTTGCCTCTGATTCCGTGTGTGCAGAGTTGGATGCGTCCCAAGAGGAAGCAATGCGGCTGTACGGCCTTCTCCCGGAGCTTGACAACGAGGTCAGCGGGGATGTTGCACTCCAAAGCGGCGAGCAACCAGGCCCAGGACTGTCAAACAGCTGTTCTCACCCACGTTGTTTGGCATCGTCCACATGTCGGACACACAGTGATTGCTACGTGTGCGAATGGAGCCTTGGTGTTTGTATTTGACTAGCATTGGGCAGGGATGACTTGGGAGTTGCCTGGATGGGTGTATATCGGATATTCAACACTGATGGGATTGCCGTACGCTGCATCAACTGCACCTGTGCCTGAGGTTTCCTTTGTTTGACAGTGCAATGAGACATATTCACCCGATCATCTTATTTACTCCCTGCGGTTTACATGAGTAGTGTAGTGCAACCAAGAGAGCATCACATAACGTCCACCTCCATTGACGGTAACACTGGCTGGTTCCATGTCTATATCAGTAGCACTGTCGCCGCCTTTGGTCGCTATCCCAATAGTGGCCCACCATGACGTACGCGTTCTGTGGGGGGGGCTGTTCAATCCGTTTATATCATAACAAGATATGGTTTACTGTGGGTCTTGAAAGGGTGGACCTGTCACTGATAATAGATAAAAATCGCATTCAATCGTTATGTCATCGAAAAGGGGTCAAGCAAGAAAAGGAAATCACAGGTCACTCAGTAGCCATCTCGATACGAGCCTCAAAGTAAGATGCAGCTGATTTCCAGAACCCAGCAGTCAAAGATCCACCCCCCTTTATCCGGTTACAACAATCCATTAGATTGCAAGGCGGTCCACCTTGTCCCTAAGCCGCTCGATCAGTGGAGCCAGGTCACTAGTCTCGTTCGAGGTGATGGTGGCCGCGATAATCGGCCGGGTCACACCGCATGCTCGACCGATCGCGAGCTTGTTAGGCAAAAACACGTATGGGACGTTCTTGTCTTCACAAAGAAATGGAATATGCATCACTATCGCGAGAGGATCAGCGTCGGCAGCGAGAATGACCATCTCAGACGTGCATCGGCTCAGGGACTTCGTGACTAGGCAGATATTAGCCCCATGACTAACTCAAAGTATTATGAACAGACATACCTTCATTGGCACCTTTCTTGACCTGATTGTACTGGATGGCTTGCTGCAACAATTCCAAGAGCTCCTGTGTCAACACAGGATCCGCGTTCGGCCACGCTAGAGATTGTGTTGGATTAGAGAATCGAAATAGCAAATACGACGCTGACTTACCGACACATTGCGGAGAAGATGGCATTTCGCTTGAAAAGGGGAGTGTGAGACAGAGAAGATGATCTCGGTGGATAGTTTGGTTGGCGAAGTTGAGAACAGTATTGGGAAAGTAAGTCGTTTGCAGAACAAGCAGGTAGAGCACGGGGCAAGACTGTTAAGAGAAGAGATGAAAGAGAAGCGTGAGATAAAATGGAAAATGCCGAAAGTGGGAGGCGCCATCATCTCAAGATCACCAAGCCACAATAATGGCCCTATGCCATTCCCATGACGAGCACTTTCCTCGAATGGACAATTGCCGGTTATTCTAAATACATAATACGTGCCTTTCCTCTATCTCTGTCGGGGGTGATAGATACATCCATGGATGTATCCAGAGAGCCAGCCGTGGACATGCCCTTTATTACACATACGGCTACTACGTGAGACTTTCGGGATTATGAGCCTCGCAAACCGAGATGTAACAAAATGTCGATATCACAGTTAAACCGAGGATTCCTGATAGCTAGAACAACTCGCCACTGGAAGTCATACACCCCTCTATTATTGTATACGAAGGAGCAGCATCGGAGGTTTTATACTGTACCCTACTAGGGCCACTGCTTGCCACCCCCCAAAGGTCATGCCTGGTCATACTAGCACATAGCTCCAAGCTCCTATAGTGGCATATCTAGAAGGATATTTATCCTCAGTCCCAGAGACGTATCTGTATTATACAAGAATAGTAGGCCGCCTATACTGCCTCGTGATGTCTTATCTGGTGGTATTTTTGAGGGTCTTTTATTTAGATACATCTCCCCTTATTGGTGATGTAGCTAGAATATCGAGGGTAGAAACGGCTTAAAATATGCAAACCGATTGATGTGCTATTGCTATGTAGAGATCGAAAAACTAGTTAAGAGTTACCACCAAGGTTATATATAGATGGAAAACCATTGTTCAATCTAGAAATAGTTGCGGTATTTATTTGTTGTCTATTTGAACATGAAGCCAAATATATCTATGTGGATTCTTATAATCATAATAACAACGCTATGCAAACAAGGCTCCGGTTCCAACCTTAGGTGTTCTATACATTTACACTGGTCAATGGTAGCCGAAGACAAGGAAAGACAAGAAAGACTAATGCATCAAAGATCCACATTTCTATCCACTCACGAGAGGATCGGGCGTGAGATTGGTGGCAGTAATAGTAGCAGCCTCGGCCGGCGTGATGGTGCCCTCGGAAGGAGTATCAGTCTCCTTAGGCGTATCCTTCTCTTCGTTCTCATTCTTAGAGGGAGGCTTTGTGCCCTTTTCACGCATCGCTCCACTTTCAAATGCTTCTTCGGGCAGAGGACGGACATGAGGCTGGCAAATCCACCAAGGCCTTCCATATTCCGCAATCACTGCTTTGGATCCCTTCAAAGTCTCATCGGGTTGCGCTTCAAACTTCTCGGGAGAGGCCTCATACTCCTTCAGTCCACCTTTAATAGCCTCCTCGAGAAGAACCAGGGTGTGCTCAAAAGCGGCCATGTCACCTGGCTTCGATGTCGCAAGAGCATCTCGAACGTTGGTATGGGTTGCAACCATTGGCCGCAGGACTTGGAAGAGGTGGCCCTGCATGAAACTGAGGCTGGCAGAGTGACACTTCTTGCCCTTCTCGGCCTTGCTCCGCTTTTGCTTCTTCTTGAGCGGGCCATCCTCGTGGCCGCCGTTATCTTCGGCATCATCGGTTTCTGCAAACTCATCAACTGGGTCGGACGGAAGATAAAGTGGCTTCCTTTCTGGAACCGGCTGTTCAAGAACGTATTTATAGATAATATCAAGGTATCGTCGCAGGACGGCGTCGACTCGGTAACCGCCCTTTCCATCCCGCCCGCGCCAGTATTCTCTCCCTTCGGTACCGGGTGGAGGCGGCTTGCTGAATATGGACGGGTCTGATAGATTTCCTTCTGCGCTCATCACGGCGTCGGCTCCGGTCGCCTCGAGACAGGTATCGATGTCGCCGTAGTTAAGAATGTTTCCATTGGCAAAAATCACCGTATCCGCGGGGAGATTGTCTCGTAGATAGCGGATATAGCCCCAGTCGGCGACTCCAGTGTTGTGACCCTTCTGTTCCCGTCTGCGTCCATGGACTGTGATGATGCTGGCCCCAGCGGAGAGGATCATTTTAGCGTACTCCAATGTCTTCTCCTTGGTCTCCTGAATACGGAATTTCACCGTGACAGGGATTGAGAGCTCAGTGTGCAACCGGTGCACAAGCTTATAGATCAAGTCCCAGTCCTCTTGGAGGAAAGCTCCGTAGTGTCCCTTTTTCGCGATACCCTGCGGGCAGCCAAGGTTCAGGTCCACGGCGTCGCAGTGAGGTGCCACATGGCGGGCAGCCTCCAAGAACTCATCTGGGTTATTTGTGCAGAATTGAACGAAAAGCGGCCGGTCAATTGTAGGATTTCCATCAAGAAACAATTCGTCCTTGTTCCCTCCGACGGCTTTGCGGGTAGGTTGGAAATGTTTGGCCCGGACATTCTCTTGTTCGCCGAATAGACGTGCGTGGAACATTGGGGTGTATGCGAGTAAAGGCTTCGGCTCGTTTGGTGGCATGAAGGATCGAGTGAGCATGCGCCACGCCTTTGGAAAACATTAACATTGGTCTGCAGATGTTGCTACTTGAAGGGCGAACTCACGAATTCGGATCTGTCGACCATTGGGGCAACGACATATTTTGGGCTGCCAATGCTTTCATAAAACTTTCTTCCAAAGAGCTTCTCCTTAGGCTGAGGCGCAGCCGCGGAGGTCTGCTCGATGCTCTTCGGTGGGCTTGTTTCGGAGACCATTTTTGAGAGATGGGACTGGGAAAAGTGTCGAGAAAGTCGGCCCACAAAAGGGCTGAAGGGCTTTAAGATACCTATGTTGACGCCTGGAAGAAAAGAATGTGGTTGTGGTCAATGATCGCCTCCAGTCGCATCACAATGGAGAAACAACTTTTGCGAAAAGCGCCGTATCTCAGCCGGAATTACCATTTTCCGGCTTATCTTATCGTCGCGGGGATGGGGCATTACAGGTGGAAGCTGCGAACGCGTGGAACTGGTGGTGTCACTGGAGGAATTGACCTTGCATCTGATATTTGCAGAGTTACCTTGTCATACTCCTTTTCTCTTATACAATTCAAGAGCCACTTGATCAAACTCAACTGCCCAGGCGACCTATTCCAAATTGGATGCGCGTGTCGATTACATAATCTGATATGAAGCAGTTGCCGGCCAGAGACTAACCAAGTAAGTCCAGAAGCCTTTCAATCAGAATCGAGAGTCGAAAAAAAATAAAAATTTTCTGATCCATATACGCGATAGTGTGTGAGAATGTATTGATATTGTGAAGCTAACGTGTTGATATCTGGAATTTGACATAGTTCTTGAACGCCCACTGCTATCATCTCCCGACCGCCAACAATGGACGCGTCAACAGGACCAGGAGGTAAGTCCCCAGTCCGCAAACTTTTGCCTAAGCAATTCTGACTATGTGCTAGCCCCTTTAAATCTCTGCTTGTCTGAAGATGGGTTATATGCCGCCCACGTGAGTGGAAAGGGCCTGGTTGTTCACTCGAATGTAGCCTCGGAAAATAAAGAAGTACAGATCGCAAGGATCAAAGAGATTCCTCTCAAATCACTCAAATACTTCAACGTGGAAAGTGCTCCTGGTGCATCAGATCATGAGGTTGTCTGTCGGCGGCGACTCCTCTCCGCAAACGACAGCCGAATCTCGGTCTGGCAGCTCACTCCACTTGAAATATTCGCCGAGATTGAAAGCATTGAACCGGGGTCATTAGCTGTCGATTTTGGCGCCGATGAGACTGAGGTTCTTGTGTTTCATGCGTGGAACACTAAACTCAGTGTCCACTCATTAGAGACCGGGCGCAGCTCAGTCATCAAAACACCAAAGTTTGCCCATCATCTCGGCTTTGGGTATCGCCCAAAGACCAGGCAGCTTGCCATCCTGCTGAAGCCGGAGACTTCGGATTTACTGACCGTCCATGAGCCCCGGTCTTACGAGCTCGTCAACAGGACCGTGCTTCCAACAATTGATGCGCAAGGGTTGAAATGGAGCCCGGACGGGAAATGGATTGCCATCTGGGACATCGCAAGTGCAGGCACAAAAGTGCTGGTATTCACAGCGGACGGTCAACTTTTCAGGACGTATTCCGGGCCATCTGGGTTGGACGATTCCTTCGATCTCGGAGTGAAACAGATCGAATGGAGCCCTGCTCCCCACCAGGGCATCTCTGAAACGTTGGCCGTAGGAAAGGTCAACGGGAATATTGACCTGCTGCGAACTCGCACGGTGAGTTGTCTTCCAAATATGTACGGCATTATTTACTAATCCTATTATGGTAGTTCTCTTCCGCAACAACTCTCTCACATGTGTTCCAAACAGACCAGCAATGTCCCAATATTTGGCGCGAGCGATACACCAGTGCCGCAGGGGATTCCGAGTATGTCGAGGCATCCTGCTCATCTGCATTGAGCATGAGCCCCGAGTCGGCAGGGCCGCCACGGGGCGTCTTGACGATGACCTTCAGCTCAGACGGTCTCCTCCTTGCGACTGTTGACACTGCACGGCAGAACGTCGTTTGGATTTGGTCACTAGACGGCACCCCAACACTTACATCGGCTCTAGTTCACGAGCAACCCGTTCGACAAATTGTTTGGCATCCTTCAACGCCACAACTATTGATCAATACTATCACGAATACATTGCCTGCCATTCGATGTTGGTTCCCACAAGATCATCCATTGATTGCCCTAGTTCCTATTCAGAGGAATGAGAGTGGAAAATATGATGTCAGATGGGCTACAGGGTCAAATACAGACTCGCCGTTCTGGTTTAACTCACCAGAACAACATGTTATTGGATATTTGTCCTCCCGTGATGGTGCTGTTGAATTTGAGGTGTTGAACTCAGTGAGCAGCAAGAGTTTATCTTGATTGAGCTAATCTGCAAGTCGGTGGATATTCAAAATAAAAGTGCTGTAAATGAGTTAAATGTCTTCGATCACGGACGGAGTGAACTGGCTACATACTTATCGCATTTGATACTACGGAAATCACATTCGATTCCGTCACCTAGATGTGTTATTAAGCACAGAACAAGAGAATACTAAAGCCGTGACCTTATTCTCCCAAGACAGTAGCATAAAGATAATAGATAATCTCAGGCCATAAATAAACCCGGTCGGTCAATCGCTAGACAAATAGAGGACTTCGCGCGGTGCAAAGCCTTTCTTCGTATCTAGGTGATTGGCCACCTGCCGGTTTCGTTCTTGTCAGTGTTCGTATAGAGGTTGATACGCCCGAAAATCTTCAAGGGATGAATCAATTATCCTACACAGACCAGTGAGGATGTGACGATCTATACGTTGCTTTGAAAAAAAAAAAAAAAAAATTACCTGCTATTCCCCGGATATGTTTCAACACAGAGTTCCCTTCATTCACACCCGGTCATCTTAAGACCTTACCGTCTGAGCGTCAACAGCCGAAAAATGAGCCCTGGGATTTTGGATTGACATACACCAATAATTTCGCAAATTGCAGTACTATTGATGTGGAGTTTGGTTGTAAAACAAACATCAAAAAGAGAACTCCGATAGGGGGAATCGAACCCCCGGCTGCCGTGTGAGAGACGGCGATGTTAGCCACTACACCATATCGGAGGGGGACAACGAATTCCGCTTTGTAGTTTAGTTTGTCCACTTGTGGTTTAGTGCTCTTTGTCCCTGTGCGTGCCCGTGCGTGGTTCTATATAGTCCCCTGTTTCCCCCCCAAACCTATTACCTTACATTTTCTTTTTCGCCCTCCTCCTCCTCCCTGGTCTCTGCAGGTGAGGCATTTTTGCTATTGATTCGGATCACCGAGCTCCTGAGCTCTGCCACCCCCTTTTCCCTGTATGACTCGTCATCACATCTTTGCGACTTTCCCTCGCCCCTCGCTGCTTTCTTGGGCTCCCACCTCATTCCTGATCAGGTGCTTTCTCTGAGGCCCTGACGCTAGCCCCAGAATTTCCAGTCCTCATGTACTAACTGTCCGTCGGTCGCTCGTAATCCTGTTATTGACGTGCCTTCCGCTCTCTGGACAGTCGCCTACGCGAGAGGGTCTACGAACCGCAGCATACAAAGAATGGTTTGACACGGCCTTGTTGTACTTGAGTAATAGCGCTTGCTATGTTTACGCTATGACTAAAATCAGCGTGGCTTATCTGACCAATTGAACTGCCTCAGCCGTCGTTCCCCGCCTTAGACGGGAGACGAAATGAGTGTAGGGCACTAGGACAGACAGAGTCCGCCTTGTTATCTCCAGTATATGTCACGCCAATAATACAGCAGTAGCCTATATATAGATCCCTCCATCTCTTCTACACTAACTAATCATAATGCCGACCGAGGGTTGCCTTGATAAGGCGGGTTCGGTGAATAGAGGCCGGGTCTGCGCAGATCTCCTGAATGACCACGAGGGAAACAGATTTAATTGATATCTTCGCGCTGTCGGATTGATGGACGATGTCGCATTTTATGTAGTTTTGCAATCTGAGCCTAGGTGGACATCACGGCATTAGGGGCTGGCCGTTCGTACCGCAATGTTTATGGACTTAGCATCCGCTGGCTCGCGCACTAAATGTAGCATTACTCCAGATATCGCTCTTATGACGGGCCTTGTCTTCCTGATCTCCTAGTACGGCCTTATTGCTGTGGAGACCCGCGCACTCTGTCTTAGTATCCAATCATATGAGCTAAATACCCGCTGTCGTTAATGCGAAGGCTTCGAGGAATCCTAAAATGGCTGGACTGGTCTTGCACGTTTCGTATTCTGTCTCGAACCGTGGAATGAATGGCGAATAGAGATTCAATCTAGCGGTGATAACACTGGGCGCTTAAGATGCGAAGACTTGCAGTTATCCGAGAATGGCAGCATCATTGTGCTATGGATCACGGGTACGAATTCGCCCGCATTACACGAAATCATCGTTGGCGTCACCATTAATTGTCATGGAGGACAATATGAAAAAAGGAAGGGCTTGTGCCTCATGAGGCTGTAACTTCGACGAATGAGTCAGCCTCAGCCTGCAGGCTGAACATGACGTAATCGGTAATAGAAGGGATATCAAACCATGCATGTTATGCGTAGTCCCGATGAGAGCAGCAATAAGATTTTCAGTTAGATCTTCTCTTGTAAAATGTCTCGTCTTCAGATCATTGCATTATGAAGTCTTCCGAGCTCAAATTTTCAATAATAGCCAAGCGTACCGGAGAGACTTTACTGGACGCGCTTTGCCAGCCAGCCACTTCACTTCTAGCCTCAACCAATTCGCACAGAGCCTAAGGTGAACCCATGCCTAGCTGATCTGCTCCTACGGTGTCATTGGTGGGCGTGGAAACCCACACCACTCTGCACTAATATCCAATAATATGAAATACTCACGATCCTGGCATATGCACACAGCTACTAGCTGATTTGTTGAATTTTTCACTAGAGAACAACCAATATCAATTTCGTGCTAATCATGTTGTGTAAAGAATACGTAAGAGATTGATTGGGCATAGATAGATCAAACACGACTAAGCAACTTACAGCGCGAATGCCAAGGGTAAGCTTCGAGCCTTGGTTTAATTCGTTTTTTTCCAATGCTGCTCACATTGGAAGCAAAATGGTGGGTAATTCTACTATCGAATTCAAATATGAATATGGAATTGCTCTCCAAGATGCAGCAGAAATTGGAAAGCTGGATGATGTTAGGCTGCTCCTTAGCCAGGGGGCCGATGTGAACGGCTAAGGTGGTGAATATGGCACCGCTCTCCAAGCCGCAGCATGCCGTGGACACCTGTATGTCGTCAAGCTGCTCCTCGACTAGAGGGCCGATGTGAACGGCTAAGGTGGTGAATATGGCACTGCTCTCTAAGCCGCAGTATGGGGTGGAAACCTAGATGTTGTCAAGCTGCTCCTTAACCAGGGGGCCGATGTGAACAGCCAAGGTGATAAATATGGCACTGCTCTCCAAGTCGCAGCATGGGGTGGACACCTGGATGTTGTCAAGCTGCTCCTTGACCAGGGGGCCGATGTGAACGTCTGAGGTGGTAAATATGGAACTGCTCTCCAAGCCGCAGCATGGCTTGGACACCTGGATGTTATCAAGCTGCTCCTTAACCAGGGGGTCGATGTGAACGGCCAAGGTGGTACAATTGGAAGTGCTCTCTAAGCCGCAGCAAGCCGTGGACACCCGGATGTTGTCAAGCTGCTCCTTGACTAGGGGGCGACTTTTGGCATTCCTATAGTTGACTCCTAGGGCGCATCATTGCTACATTCTGCTATCGCTTGCGAGGACACAAAAAAACCGAATTTACTTCTTGAAACCGGCGCACATTTTTACATAGACAAAGCTGATGTTTTCAAGCAAACGCCACTTCATATCGCTGCTTCTCACTTCCTGGCGGCCTTTAAGATCCTGGAAAATTCGTTGAACCCAGCTGCCAAGAACGGAAATGTGGACGCATGGGCCCTCATGCACAATTCTATCAACAAAGAAGACATTGATGGATGTATCCCTTTACACCTTGCTGTTGAGAATCGCGATTTAGGGGCTGCAGAATGGCTTATCAATCATGGTGCTGATGTTGACATTGAAAATTTCAACAAAATCACTCCATTTCAGCGCGCCTCCCAGTTAAAAGATTTCAGAATGATGAGCTACCTTTTCCCTCATGTCACCTAAGGTTTTATAAATGCAACAGACTGGAGAGCTTGCGTCCCCTCTAGGACGAAAAGGAATATTATTCTAGCTCTAGTGCAAATCAAGGATGATCAGGAATTAACGCAACATTTTAATGCGATGTCATATTCCTTGGTTTTCTCCACACCAAGCGTATCAGCATAGGGTGATAAGTGTGTCGCTACTGCTATTTCAGAGAGGGCAGTCGTGTGAGTTTTTATCATTCTCATAATCAGAATGTTAGCTGAACCTTATAGGCTTCTTGAAAACGATAGTCTTCTCAGTCAATCTTATTCTATAGGGGTCTCCTAGCGATGGTGGCGTAAGGTTATGAGGAAACGGAAACCGGAGGAGCTGAGAAGGGAAACCTGATCTCTGGAATTGGAAAGTATAGCTAAATGAAATCCCAGGTGCAGTTGCTCTACGTCAGCCTTCTCGAACTGAATGTTAGTGCATGTCACCTTCACTCGTCTTAAGACCCTGATACTAATGACACGAAAGGTTTTCTCGAGTGCCGTATATCACTACCCTCATATCAACTACTCCCTCCATCTAATCAGCTGTCAGCTCTAAAGATAGAACGAAAGAATTATGCCATCATTTGGCTTTTAGCTAAGTCTAATCAGCCCAACCCGGGATCGACGTCCGGAAATCCAATACTTGAATCCAAAATCTTATTTACGACATTGGAGTATTGCGAAATTTCAAATTCGCCGACTAAGCTCTTTTATCCTTGCACCCGGCAGCTAGAGGATGAATGAAATGATATTTTTGAGGCTATAGAAGATCATCTTTCTAATATGGTATGGAATTTAACCACTTGTTTAGCTAGCCTAACTAATCATTTACTAGCGGAGGGAGACATTTCGTTCTAACGGAAGAAGCACAGATATCATCAAGATCCATTTAAGCGATGCAGAAATATGGACCGATTTCAAAAGGGTGCATATAATGCAAATGGAAACCCTTAGATCATTGTGCGATAAAAGAAACAGACAAATTCTCCAGGAAGACAACACTATAAAAACGAGCACCGAATTTATCACCAACTTTATGCGTGAAATCGAGAATACAGATAGAAAGGTCAAAGAAAAGATTTTGTCTTTAAACCTAGCCTCTCAAGAGCTGATTCAACTAGTCATCTTCACATCCTATTATATATTGAATATTACTGACATTATAATAGCAATTTAATCTGACCTCTATCGCAGAGGCACAGAAATCCATATCTATGAACAAGAGTATGAAACGTCTCAGTTGGATCACTGTAAGCTTTAGCTCAATTCCAATTCAATCAATTGCTGACTACGAGCAAAGTTCGTTTTCCTACCACTTATATTTATTGCGGTGAGAATCCCTCATGATAAACTTGCAGACTCGTGGAATTATCGTGACTCATGGTGGCTTTTAGAGTCTATTTGGAATGAACATCGACCTGCTCGAGTCGAACCCGTCTTGGTGGCTATACATCCCATTTGCTGTAGGCACTACCATTTTGACATTGTCTATATGGGTTTTATTCAAGAGCAAAAAGGGCGTAAGTGGTTTGGTTTCTATTTATTTCGTTTGCTGGCAAAAACCACGATTTTTGAACTAACTCCATGATCTAGTTAGAAGACACAATTGAACAGCGATTCAATGCCATTTTCAGACGCAAAAAACTCGGAGACGAGGAATCCCTGCTGCATGTGAATCACAGGAAAGGAAGAACCATGCAATTTGCAGAATCTGGGAAGAAGCGATCTTAAGTTAGCATTTGAACTCGTCTTTCTCGCCTTAGGGCCTTTAGTATGGCGTTTTCCTATCTCTTTCCATGACGTAATGCCAAATAACACGACTCTATGTGAACCCTTGCCTACAGCTTGGGCCACACTATTGAGGATTTTCCACCGCAAAAGAAGCAGCTGGTCTATACATACATGGCTAACATGTGATTAGGGATTTCAAATTTATTACGATAATTGATGTTGCGCCATGTCGCATTTCACTAGGCCCCAGCCAAAAGCGAGCAAGTTCTGCTCTGGTGCGAGTCCATGCACAATAACTGGTGTATTGTGACTATCGAGAGAGATAAGGAAGTTATCTACAGAACTGCAGAATTGACACCTAAGGCCTCAACACCCCTTCAGCACTGCCTAAGACCTGTCTATCAAATCCACAAATTCTCACAAAAATCCTCCAATTTGCTTTCTTTCAAAAGTGCCTCATATCAAACTTCCCATATCAAATTCATCCCCCCTCATCATCGCTTTGGTATGGAACCTCAGTTCCGGGGACCTGAAGTCCCAACAAACTGATTGCTCAAATTGCGGGTTTTCCAGTGCTTCGGTGAAACCGTCAGCTGCACTTTTTCTTGCCAAGATGCACTGAAATCTTGATGTGCAGACTTGCAGTTCTCCAGGAATAGCAGGGACGTGGTCTTACTCATTCCGGAGATCTACGCAGTCATGATCCTTGTAACCAAAGGCGCCTTGTGACCGAAATCCTTGTTGGCTTCATGATCGATTGGATACGGGGTTTGCTGCTACAGCATCTGCGTCGCGCGGACAGGATATCACGGGGGAGGGGGTCTCTTATCTCCGTGTTGGTCCCGGCCTGCACGTTTCGTCCTCTATCCTAGGTCATGGAACGACTGGCAAGCAGAGCTCAATCGAAACGGTGGCGATGTTACTGGGCGCGGACATTGAAGAGTTTGTTCGCGCTGCTCCTCAAAAAGAACAATATCTCCTACACCAGTCGCCGGCTTGCGCAAAGCGAGGATATACGAAATACCGAAGTTCCTGACTCTTGTTTTTATCTACTCCTAGCGGCTCATTAAATAGAATCATCGCTAATGATAAAGTACGATTTATGCGTATACGCAGAATGTTTGCAGCTGTAAGGCTTGGTCCTGCTAAGTTTGAGCAGGGACAGCAATTGCTGGATGATTTGTACCTCGGTCGTGCAAAACAACTCTGAGCAGAGTACAGAGAAACGCTAGCCGCTTTCAGCTCATCCTGCCCGTCCCTCTCATTCGCAATTAATAACATAGCTACACCCCATGGCTTTTGGCAGATATTCAATCATGCCGTCTCTTCAATTTACCCGCTTATCCACTACAATATATAGGCGTGTCCGACTGTAAGGGAGATATATTATAGGTATTATTGCCACGGGAACATGGATCTCGTAATGGTAAGTTGGTGATTAAGGAAAGCCAAAAGGGCAAGACAAGGACAGAGTATTTATAACAACGAAATTGAAATAACGCCGTTCGCGTTCGGGATCGGTAGACCTTTCTTCTTCAGTCTCTTGATCCTTTTGCTCCTCTTTACCGACGACAGAGTTTCCCAATCGTGATATAGAGCGACATCCGGCAGCAAGATCTTCGCCAGGCTGTCTTTGGGATCGGCCTGACCGGCAGCCGCAGCATCTGGCTCGTTTGGTCCAGCATGCCACTCAGCAGGACACTCTTCGGGGGCAGGACACTCTTCGGGGGCAGGACACTCTTCAGGAGCAGGACACTCTTCAGGAGCAGAACACTCTTCAGGAGCAGGACACTCTTCGGGAATTGGAAACTCTTCAGAGGTGATAGACCACTGTTCAATCACCACCAGGTGTTCAGTAGAGGTAAGAATCGTGAATTGCCTGACACAAATGAGCGCCGTAAGACTTTTTTCACGTAGCTTGGAAGCCAGACTTCGTCTTCAGGAAGCTTGGGAAATATTTCTCCAATCGAACGCAGAATTTCAAAGGTAGAGATCGCTTCGTCGAAGTGTTCAATATACTTCCTGGCAAGGATCTCGAGGTCGGTAATGTTGTACATCCTAGACGCATGGTAGACCAGAACACTTCTTCGATATTCTCGTTCGATGTAGGATATATTTTCATCAAGTGGCGAATTGATCGTCTCGTAAGTACCCGAGTATAAGAAATGAACTAAGGTGTGGCCGACATCTCCATGAATATCGGAAAGTGTGATATATGTATTTGGGGGGAAACTTCGACCTAATAGAGGGTACTTCCGAATATGAGACCCCAAAACACCATACTCCTTCTCTCCAATACATAGTGTGACCATTGGATGTTCGTATGATCTACAGAAATTGAGAAGTCAGTTAATTTCGAGTAAAATAGTTTGAAGCCCTCACGATGACCGTGGCTGATTGTACTCGATTTTCGGGAAATTCTGGCCAGAGTTCAGACATACCGAACTTGCTTGAATCTGACATGAGAGGCTTCCGGTCATTTTGAACGCCTTTGACAATGGCACAAGAGATGAATCAGAGCAGACTAATTAAAATGATTGAGTTGAAAATAGGTAGCATAGTAAAGTCTGTATTTGTAGACGAAGTTGGGAAAAGAGGGGATATGCAAGTATGAGCTGTTCTTCATGCACAATTCCCAAGTGGTAATGCAATAATTTGCTACTATACAATTTGGTTTTACCAAATGGCTGCCACTTTCGGCGTCAGTCGACGGCTGAGCGGACGGGAAGCCCTGTTTTCCACACCCTATGGTCGTATGTGCTTGTATCAACACCAAACAGATCTATATACAGTATTGTCTAGCCTTCGCATCACACTTCCCTTCATCCTGCCCCGATCGCACTTCGTCTGCTTGGGGGTATACTGCTCTTCCTAGGGGACACATTGCTCCACCCCCAGACCCATGATATAGAATCTCCTTTTACTTTAGGAAATTTTTCATGGTTATTATCCTATAGACAGGTGAACCCAGCATGAGATAATAATTTTCTAAAAACTGCCAAATATTGAGATTTCTATATGGTTATATATATGGCCTTGGAGATACAGAAAGATACGAAAAAAGACATGAAAGATGGGAGAAAAGCGCGTAGAAAACGCGTGGGAAGAAGACAACAAATTGATTCCGTTATGTACCCGCTCGGCTTGTTTTCCACGGTTATACCACTACAGCAGTCCTTGAATGGCGGGTATCTTTCTCGAGTAGTGGCAAGGTACTGTCACCTTTCACAGAGGCAGAGGTGCTCAGTTCAAAGGATGCGCCATATCGATACGTGATTTGCGTGCAAAAGGAAGGGTATCTCTCCGAATTTAAACATTTTTTTCACTTGAGGAGGTTATACCACCCACTAGTCTCACCCTAGAGGCAGAGAAGCGAATTGCTAAGTTGTGCCTCAAACATCTCAAGGCAGCTGCACATATCGAGAATCAGTTTTGAGGCCGCGAAGTATCTCGATAGGCGTAACATGATGGAATTTCTCCGCCAAACGAAGTGGAGTCCAGCCTTCATTGGTTCGGGCTTCAACATCCGCCTTAAATTCCAAGAGCGTCTTGATAACTTCAACATGATCAGAACTACCCGCATGATGAAGCAGAGTCCGTTTTTTCTTATCTTGGGCTTCAATATCCGCCCCAAGGGCCTCGAGCGCCTTGATAGCTTCAGGATTGCTATAATTAGCCGCCAGATGAAGAGGAGTTTGGCCATCCTTATCTTGGGCTTCAATATCCGCCCCAAGGGCCTCGAGCGCCTTGATAGCTTCAGGACGGTCATACTTAGCCGCCAGATGAAGAGGAGTCCGGCGGTCCTGATCTCGGGCTTCAATATCCGGCCCAAGGGCCTTGAGCGCCTTGATAGCTTCAGGATTGCTATAATTAGCCGCCAGATGAAGAGGAGTCCGGCGGTCCTGATCTCGGGCTTTAATATCCGCCCCAAGGGCCTCGAGCGCCTTGATAGCTTCAGGACGGTCATACTTAGCCGCCAGATGAAGAGGAGTTTGGCCATCCTTATCTTGGGCTTCAATATCCGCCCCAAGGGCCTCGAGCACCTTGATAGCTTCAGGAAAGTCAGCTAGATGAAGAGGAGTTTGGCCATCCTTATCTCGGGCTTCAATATCCGGCCCAAGGGCCTTGAGCGCCTTGATAGCTTCAGGATTGCTATAATTAGCCGCCAGATGAAGAGGAGTCCGGCGGTCCTGATCTCGGGCTTTAATATCCGCCCCAAGGGCCTCGAGCGCCTTGATAGCTTCAGGACGGTCATACTTAGCCGCCAGATGAAGAGGAGTTTGGCCATCCTTATCTTGGGCTTCAATATCCGCCCCAAGGGCCTCGAGCACCTTGATAGCTTCAGGAAAGTCAGCTAGATGAAGAGGAGTTTGGCCATCCTTATCTCGGGCTTCAATATCCGCCCCAAGGGCCTTGAGCGCCTTGATAGCTTCAGGACGATCATACTTAGCCGCCAGATGAAGAGGAGTCCGGCGGTCCTGATCTCGGGCTTCAATATCCGCCCCAAGGGCCTTGAGCGCCTTGATAGCTTTAGGATTGCTATAATTAGCCGCCAGATGAAGAGGAGTCCGGCGGTCCTGATCTCGGGCTTTAATATCCGCCCCAAGGGCCTCGAGCGCCTTGATAGCTTCAGGACGGTCATACTTAGCCGCCAGATGAAGAGGAGTTTGGCCATCCTTATCTTGGGCTTCAATATCCGCCCCAAGGGCCTCGAGCACCTTGATAGCTTCAGGAAAGTCAGCTAGATGAAGAGGAGTTTGGCCATCCTTATCTCGGGCTTCAATATCCGCCCCAAGGGCCTTGAGCGCCTTGATAGCTTCAGGATTGCTATAATTAGCCGCCAGATGAAGAGGAGTCCGGCGGTCCTGATCTCGGGCTTTAATATCTGCTTTCAGGTCCACGAGCGTCTCGATAACTTCAACATCCCCCAACATAGCTACTAGATGAAGAGGAGTCTGGCAGTCCTCACCTTGAGCTTCAATATCCGCCCCAAGGGCCACGAGCGTCTGAATAGCTTCAAGATGGCTATGATAAGCCGCCAGATGAAGAGGAGTCCGTCGGTCCTCATCTCGGGCGTCAATATCCGCCTTAAAGACCACGAGCGTCTTGATAGCTTCAACGAGGTCAGAACTAGCCGCCTGATGAAGAGGAGTCCTGTCATAATCATCACGAACCTCGAGATCCGCTTTCAGGTCGCAAAGAATCTTAATAGCCATAATTCTATTAGATTCTACTGCGAAATGAAGTAGAGAGGTGCAATGCTTATATTGGCCATTTAACTCCGCACTTGCTTCTATAAGTACCTTCGCAGTCTTTCCGTGGCCCTTGAAAACTGCAAAGGACAAAGCGGTTTCCCCACTGATGTCCTCGAGAGCATGATCAGCTCCATGCTTGGTTAAGACATGCACTAGATCTTCATTGCCGCAAAAGGATGCCATGTGTAGTGCCGTTTGTTGTCTATTATCGGTTGCGTTGACTGCCCAATTTCCCTGCAAAATTTTATCCACGATCCCAGCGAAGCCACTTATGGCCGCGAGGTGAAGGGCGTTCAATCCATCTTGTTTCCGCTTTAAGTCGAGAGTAGAACCTTCTAGCAACATGACCACCAGCTGTTCATTGCCACGAGCTGCTGCGAGGTGAAGTGGTTCCTCGCCACGATCAGTCCTTTGTCTGAGAGACAAACTTTTGACCAGTAGATTGACTACTTCCGGTTTGCCATTCCAAACAGCATGATGTAATGCGGACCATCCGGACGCATCAGTCTTGCTTGGGTTGTTCACCTTCTTGAGGAGAATTTCGACTTTTTCATAGACGCCAGCTCTGGCAGCCTTGATAAGCTCTTCCTCCAGTTTCGTTTGGTCATATTCACCGAGGCCAAAATCCCTTGACACTTTCGGTCGTTTTTCGGGTTGCGTTTTTGATGAACTGATCTTCATGCGCTCAATCATGCTCTGAACCTTCTCTTTCGCATTGGTGTTTTGGGTGCTGTTGTTGTGAATGTTCTCGTTGCGACCAATGTGAACGTTCTTGAACGAAAAAATCTGGCCAACGACTTCGACCTCTGAACTCATCAACGGTGGATGGAAATAAACCGGACCAACATAATCACAATAGCAATCGATAAGGTCCTTATCGCCCCTGACCGATGGTTTGACTAAAAGGCCCCTGCTTATCCCAGCCCCTTTAGGGCTGGACCCAGGCTCAATGAGCACAATATGCCAATCTTTCTCATATCGAGCGAGTTCAACCTTTGCTGCGATCATCGGATGGGCATGACCCAAGATAAACCTTTCATCTTTGATGTGATCGAGAGGCATAATATCCCACTCGCCAAACAAATTCCCATTCTTTTCAATCTGAAGGAACTTTTCTGGAAGTGTAACAGGCAGGTCATAGATGTTTGTAGGACACCAGTTGTATCCATTCGCCATGGTCGCTGAATTATGGAACAGATGCGCATGTGATATTTCCCCAAGTTCCTGTAGAATCTCTTGGTAGATCTTCTGATGTGCAAAGGTTTCTGGCAATTCAATTCCCATCATAAGTCCGGAGATGATTGCCATGTCCCTTGGCCAAGAAGTGTGGCGTGAACCGAGAATCGCGAGGAGATCATTCAATTGTCCAACTTTCTTCCCTCGAAGTCGTTGGAGCATTCGTCTCGCAACTCCATGAAAAGGGGAAGAAGAATCATTGCTCTTTGCTTCCAGTATGTCTTTATCTAGATCCTTCGTGATCGGACCATCGTCATCTCTGAAAATGACTTGGACATTGGGAGACATTATCAACTCCAATGCTGTCCAACCTCGGCTGAACCATGGAGACAGGACAATGTAAAAGCACGCTGAGTCTGCATCGATCCATTTGCAGTCTCTCAGAAAGCAGTCGTGCACTAGTGTAACTGCCGCGGTCTTGTAATTTTGGTGCATGTCTTTCAAAGCTTTTTCACGAAGGTCCTTTGTCATTGGAATGCAGATTGTATCCCACCATATACCCTCACAGTTGAACTTCTGAGCGAATCCGTGAAAGAACTCAAGCAGGCAGTTGTTCACGTGACCTGGGAGTTGGTTTCCGGCGCCAGTACCGTCCGACCATACATGGGAGATCGCCATATAGGGCTTGTTAAGTTTAAGAACTTCTGGGTTTGTTCCAAAATTCCACACAACGAGTCGCTCATTTCGGACAGCTTCCGCGACATCGTCTGGACGGAAAATTCGAGGATCGCAGCGTGCTTCTTCACAAGGTTTCTCGTGCCGCTGCTTCATCAGAGTGAAATTCACTCGAGATTGCTCGCAGAAGTCGAAAGTGCAAAGATCATGGTCTTCCCGGCTCACTTTGAAGGATAGTGTGTCTCGCCGAGGGAGTAATTTTGGGAATTCTTTGGCACCTCCTGGTAAGCTCTTGGCTATCGCCCAAACGCGGTTGCGACAAAAGCCCAGCTTTTCCGTAGCTGCATGTACTGCCTGCACTGTTTCCAAGGGCAACGACATGGCTTAATAGAGCGTATATGAATTGTGATCAATTGGGCCGATAGTGATAGTTTTCGAGAAAAGAAAAAAAATTTAGAAACACCAGTGGTATGTGGAATTTGGAAGCACTGATACAGTGTCAATGATTTGTATCATGGTGGCTCTCTGTTTGAATTTTGCAGACGGGCGGGAATGGCGCACGCCCGTATCTCCAGAGCATCGGGGGCCGATGGATAATTTCCGACTAAGTGCATATGGGCACCTAGGCACCCGCGGGCAGGGGTCTAGTGTTTGAGGGGCTATGGTGCGGACCAATTATTTGAGAGTGGGAATCAAGGGTTCGTGCGGCTGCCACGATTCACGCTTCGCCCGACTAGAAAGGAATTGAGTACTCCGTAATAACAAACCGATTGAATGTAAAAGGGCAACAAAATCTCAAGAGCAACACGCCTAAAAACCAATGTTGAGTTGTCGCGTCCTGCTATTATTATCATGCATAATAATATGCAATGTAGTGATGTTTGCGGCTTGGCGCTGGGCCTTTCCAGTGACGATGCAATCAAACTAGAGGCTGAATTATGAGACCGAATGAGCGCGCGCGTCGCTGCGGCTGAGCCTTGGAGGGGTACTATAGCTCAAACACAGGTGATTCTGCCCTGCCCAGTCATCAGCTTACATTCCCTAAATACCAATGGTTGGGTTAAATGGGACTCAACGCTAAACTATATTAGGCCATCACATGATATCCAGATGTACCCTGTTTTTTAAATGGTAATCCTGTGTTTCCATTTCTCAGTAATCCCCATAGTAATTGGAACATGCCCGCCCCACTGAATTAAATCTCCATTTTTTGAAGCTATTTACATGCATTTATCGGTCTGTCTCTGTCGTCTCGCCCTGGGACGTCTCGTCCGTTCTTCTTCTCTTTGGCCTAGGCGCCCGGCCTGATCTTCTTGGCCCTTCATCCTCTGAAGTATCCCACCCTGCCCCCGATGCCCCCGATGCCCCCGATGCCCCCGATGCCTGAGATGCCTGAGATGCCTGAGATGCCTGAGATGCCTGAGATGCCTGAGATGCCTGCGAGGCCGCCCGTGAGGCCGCCCGTGATGCCTCAAAAGCCTGGTTCCCAGCTATAATCTGCTGTTCGATGATCTCAAATTGAGATGGTGAGCGCTGGGCTGAGCGCTGGGTCTGGGAAATGGTCTGGGAAATGGTCTGTGAAATGGTCTGTGAAATGGTCTGGAAAATGGTCTGGGAAATGGCCTGCCGCGCGGATGAGGCCGGAGGGCGGCCTCGGGTGACGGCCTTAGCCGGGTTCTGCACCTGAGATGCCGGAATAGGCGGATTCCAGGTCGATGCCGGAATAGCTGCTGGAATAGCTGCTGGAAGATGCCAGTGGGGATGGAAATTAGCTACTGAGAGGCCTGGACCCCTCTCAGCGCTTAGTATAGTGTGGATGCATGGAATACCTGTTGTGTGAATAGCTAACCCGCTACATTCTTCACGAATCCGGGGTTTGTTGAGATCTGTATCAGGCATAAAGCGATTATATATGGTGGCGGCCATATATATCGCCTTTTCCGAGATCTGATGCTCAACGGGTCGGAGGAATTTATGAAAGATGCCTTGTTTTCTTGTCTTTTGAAGCTGAATTATATTCTTAATCGCTTGGGCATGCCGTTGAATAGTGATTGCGAATGAATTAGCTACTAAAAGTAGATCAGCATTTGATGCTTGGAGGGCTCGCTTCAATGCTGAATGGGCGCCTTCCACCCGGCATATTGATAGCTCATTTAAATGGAAATAAGCCTTTGTGTGGAACCGGAGAAAGGCCTCGGGGACCTGGTTTATCCATTCATCATGAATATATCGTAGGATATCTCCATAATGTGTGTCATAAAGGTCTCGGAAGCGCTGCCAGCGTTGTTCATGGTCCTCCTTTGTGTGTGCGAGGAAGACTTGGTCTAGCTGGATTTTCATAGTGTCCCACTGTTGATTAACCGCATCTCTATGGTCCTGAGATGTACGGGACCGGGCCGGCTGTTCAGCGGCAATAACCTTGTTAATTCGGGGGCGTAGACGGCCTTGGATGTTTTTGATAATATGCCAATAGCAAATTAGTGTCTTAGTTTCCGGGAAAACCTATTTATTATTAGTATAAATTAAGGGTAAAGAGATAAGGATATACCTTAGAAACTGCATTCCGTAAGGCCTTCTCTTTGTCGGTTATAATTGTCTTCGGGTAAGGGATTTGCTGCTGGTTTAATAGCCCCTTTAGCCACCGAAGCACTTGTTTGTAGGCTAGTTCTTTCTCATTGGCTATAAATGTAAGCCCGATATAGAAACTCTTACCAACCGAAGACTCGCCGATAATATCAAGTAGCGGGAAGTGATATCGGTTGGTTTTGTAGGTGTAGTCCATCTACAAAAAAAAGGGATTGCTCCGGAGTAATTCAATTGAACTACGGTGGATTAAGAATGCCGCGGTTAATCGGTCCTCTCTATCCACATCGTAGTGGATAATCCATTGATTGTTGTCTTGCTTTAGTAGGTTTTGAATCTGCGAATAACCTCCTAATTCTGATTGGCGATGTTCGAACATAAAACGCTTTATCCTTTTAGGATTAAGTGTGAATTCTTCGTTCGTTGCTTCACATTGAATCTTGATTCCTTGTGGTATTAGGGTTGGTGAGGAACCTTCATAAATTCCAGCAATGATTTGGGAGCTAAACCGATCGATCTGCCTTGTTTGGTGGATAGCGAAGGTATGTCCGGGTTGTCGATTATAGTTATAGCCACTTTCAACGACCTAGATATCCCAAAGTCCGTGATTGCTTATAGTATCGGTATCGGGACGTAGGTGGATGGTGGCACGGTATGGGCATTGGGTTGATTGGGTAGTCGATCGGCGTTGGGTGGTTTTTCGGGGATCGTAGACCCTACTTCGGGCGCATCGTAGTTGGATACGATTAGGCTGGGAGCCTCGCTTCGAAACTGCGAAGCCCTGGGGCTGGGCATGCATGTTGATAGCCTCAATAGCCTGCTCAGCTGAGCGATAGAAGGGCTCGCCGAATTCAGAGATAGGCGGTGGGAGAGGCAGGGCATTGAAGATGATAGACATGATGGATATAGAGATTGGATATAGAGGCTGGATTTGGTAGTGGAATTGGTAATGAAACGTAGGTGTAAATGACCATTTAAAAAACAGGGTACATCTGGATATCATGTGATGGCCTAATATAGTTTAGCGTTGAGTCCCATTTAACCCAACCATACCAATAACTCTGCGTATCCACGAGTGCTCTATGCTCTACCCTCTATCTAATTTCAATGAGCACTCAATGAATTGCTGATCCAGAAATTAACATACTCGACTCGACCGTTGCTACCCACAGCCTCGTTGATCTCTAAAATAATGTTTGAAAGTGTGCGGGCCACCATGGATGCCATATTGGCTAGCCATCCGTGGTCAGGAGAATTAGCGGGTATTCTACCTCTCTCTGCGGTCATCGACTTTCTTGACGTTCCGCGCACTCTTCACACATTCCAGCTCACCGGAAATCAACCGCTCTGGTGTTGGTCCATTACACCTTCTGCAAGCCGCTTGCTTCTCTCAAACAGAAAGGCGCAAAATAACTGCTACCTTGATGACTTTGGTGCCAGTCTGAGCCCTCTCTGTCTAGACGGTCGCTATGGGGATTTGTATCACATGGCGAGTCCTGAGACTTTGCGTCTGTACTTAGAAACCCTCAAGTCAAAACAAATACGCAACAATCACAAGAATATGAGCGAGCCGGACAGACGAATTCAAAAACTTGAAGTGATTCACATGCATCGGACTGAACAATCGTCCCGGTCTGGGTTCTCGCTCTATTTCCTTGTAGCCCATGTGATGGGTTGGGTCTTCTTCTTGGGTCTGTTCGCTCTAAGCGTTGCGCTGCATTGCTATATCACGCTCGGTTTTCTAGCCACTATAATACTTAGTGGCGCAGTGGTCTATTTTATCCACGGAAGCGAGCGACGAAATTTTCAACCAAGAGGTGGCAGCGAGTACAATCGAGTTATCATCACGGCAATGCATATGAACGAAACAAACTGGCAAGTCTTCTATGGCGAAAGTAGCGTCCTTAATTCTGTCCTCAACAATCCCCTTCTTTCCACGAAAGGTCCCACTGGCACACCTGGAGTACTTCGGTTTGTATTGCGACTGTGCATTATAAGCCAATGGGGCTTTGCTATTGGTGCTGCAACACTCAAGGGATGGGATTCGTATTTCATCACCTTCTGGATCATGTTCTGCATTTTCTGGCACACATACCCTTTTGCGCCAGAAAAGATCGTGAAGAATTGGATGGAAGGTTACGCAGGGGTGAGAATGGATCGTTATGAAGTTCAACTTGCCTCTCGAAGAGCTATGTTAAATACAATCATAGCTCTGAATCCAGACACATTCAAATTCGACGAAGCAATGGAAAAAGACACGACTGTATTCTGTGATGGCGCCTTCAGATGGATTGATCCAATTCTCAAAGAAAGCGAAGATCGAGCACAATGGGAGGAGTCTACACGCCTGGCCATGATTGAAGCCAGGCCGTCCTCTGGTGATAGGAGTGGTCATTCTTCTGAGATCATTAATGAGGGGCATGAGGAATCTTCTGCCGCAGGGACCTCCATCAAAATCAATAAACAGGCACATTGGTATACCAAAATACTCGAAGGCATCGAAGTGGCGGCGAAGATTCGTGACGAAGCGGGCACCTTTGGGAGACGTTTGATATAGAACAGAGATGCGCCCAAGTAGCGCTTCATTCGAATCTATCAGCGTATTTTATGTAGGGCTCAAGAGAAGTGATTCCCTGCAGACTAGAAAGAATGAGCATCATTTGAGCCGATCTATGTATCCTAGCAGCGCAGCAAGCCTGAGAGATATCAGTACGATGAGCCCAGACCAATTATCCCAGTCATTGGTACAGAGGTGCCCTGGGATAGGCCGCCTACGGCATGCGACAATATATCATATTGTGCTATCTACCTCCTGTAGTGGTAGCACTGTCTCATGAGTTCCCTTGTCGCATTCCTTCTATCATCTCTTTCTTTGAGCCAATCTTTACGTGTGTTGAACACTTGCTCGCAAAATGCTGAGAGCGCTCAGAAAGTCTACGACACATCGATATGGCAGACCTGGATCGTCTTTATCGATAACATGTCGAGGTAAGAAAAGGGGTGTAAAGGCAGCTGCTTTCAGTTTCTGATTATCCAAATAGGTGCATCCATTACATAGGAGGAGCTTTTCGCTTACACCAATGGCCATTTCCTTACCAATGAAGAACACCAGCTAAGCAGAAGATATGTCCGATTCGATGTGGATGAGCTTTGCAATACTACTGCAGCAGTCGGCGGAAATTCCAGTCAGGTCACAGCTATTGACAAAATGGAAGGAGGTTTCAGCAAGGTTTTCTTGATGAAAAAAGAAAATGGATCCGAAGTGATAGCAAAAATTCCATGCCACATTGCTGGCCCGCCTACCTTAACGACAGCTGGTGAAGTCGGCGCTCTCGAATACAGTACGTATATTGGTATAATTCTGCTTCCAATGGCTAATATCCTTTAAAATAGTCAGAAAACACACTAGCATTCCTGTCCCTCGTGTTCTTTCCTAGTCTTCGAACAACTCGAATGCTGTCGGCGCAGAATATATCATCATGGAGAAAGCCGCCAGTGTTCCACTATATCAAGTTTGGGGTGCCATGGCCGAATTTGATCAACTGCAGTTAATCAGAAACCTGACCCAGATCGAGGCTCAACTATCAGCTATTCATTTCCCTGCTTATGGAGGACTGTATCTTCGAACGGATATAGAGCAACCAAACAAGCCCCTTAATGATGATCCATCTTTCTGTATTGGACCTTCTTGTGACCGAGGATATAATCCTGATCCTAGTCTGGATTTTGATAAAGGACCTTGTGAGTCCCTTGCGTACTTTGACAATTTATATACTAAATGTTCATAGGGTATTCAATTTCAACCCTTGGGGTCTCTCTTGCAAAGCGCGAGTTGCTACGAATATCAAAGAACGGCCAGCAAGATCAAGCACTCCAGCAAAATCAAGCAGTCTTTTATAAAGGAGATATCAAAGAACAAACCGAAATCTTACAAGCAACAGAGAGTGTTATGGAACTATTAGACTCGAACGAAATTTTAAACGGGGAAGCTTCCCAGCCTACTCTATGGCATACCGATCTTCATATGGGAAACATTTTCGTCGCCCCTAACGAGTGTTAAAAAATAGTATCCCTTATCGACCTCCAGTCGATCTCCGTTCTCCCTGCATTTCTCCAGGCCCAATGGCCAGTCTTTCTCAAACCCCCGCAGAACTACGATTACGAGATGGGCATATTTGAGGTGAAACTTCGCGATGATTTCGATACCCTAGATGAGGATAGTAAGATGCTTGCAATGCGCGAATGGTCTCAAGTAAAGCTAGCAAAGGCTTATGAGATCTCAACCTTACTTGAGGACAAACCAGCGCATAAGGCCATGAACGTACCCCGTGTCTTCCGAGAGTTATTCCTTCGATGCGGGGAAGTCTCCGAAATTGGCGTTCTCCCGCTTCGTGCGTGCTTGATAGAACTCTTTCAGAATTGGTCGGACCTTGGATTTTCTGGAGAATGCCCTTTATCCTTTACGCAGGAGCAGATCGATAAGCACGAACACCAATTCTCTGAGTATCAAGCTTGGTATAAGATTCAGGCTCTTGCGCAAGAATGCCTTGACACTGACGCGGAAGGATGGGTCGCACCAGGATTGGATGTGAATGAGAAGAGGACGCAGAATGAGGAATTGTTGACTATGTACATTGAAAGCGTTGGTGGGGAGAAATCCGCAGACGAGGCGAGAGCCACATGGCCTTTCCCGATTAAGGCAGGAGTATGATCTGAGAATTCTTTATGCTGGCTTGACAGATATGAATAGAATGCCAGCGTCAATTTTAGGGCGGAAAATAAAATGAGATCAGTTGGCCTACTCACCAACAATGCAATGACGGTTTAGAGCCAGTCCAAATCAGGCTGCTGGTAGTTGTGTCAAAACGGATGACGGCCACAATTCCTCGAGTACTCGAGTATAATGCCTTTTTAAAACATCGTGCACTGCTGGCGCCATCACCGAAATGAGATCGTTCATTTGGTATAGCATTGCAGGCTCCTGGGATCGTGATGGCGTACTCCTAGGAGCTATAGGGCTCCCAGGATATAACCTTGATGCTCCTAGGAAGCGGTCTACCGGCTCCTGGGAGGTATGCTTGTGAAGGTGGATAATCTGATTTCGGACCATCCTGTAAACGCGGCGAAGGAATGCCGATGGTGAAAATTTGACTACTATGATTAAACAAAAAGGATTCAGAAAGGAAATTTACCAGCTGAGCACCAATTCGCCAGTAAAAGAGGAGAGCGTCGGAGACCACTCTCACTGAAGATGGAACCCAATATATATATATGGTCAGAAGAATGTTCATTCGAGCTTCTGGACAAGGGAATATGACTCAATTTGCTTATTTCTCCTGCAATTTTTCACATACCTGCATGAATTCCCCCTGCTATGAATCCCATGCTCGATAGGATTGGGACTGTTGCTAAGCTAGGGCCAGCGAGAAAAATAGCACCAGTAGTGCCAACAACTGTGCAGGTAGCTAGAACAGGGTTTTGAGCACCCCAGCTAGCTGCCTGACAGATTTCAACGATAGAAGTTAGAGCTTTGTGGTACAGACAAGCTGTATACGAACCTGAACCGTCAAATTAGCGGATTTTTCAAGAGCAGGCTTGCCGCAGTTTACGACAATCTCTCCGCCCTTTAACCTTGCTTGCATAATTCTAGTGCCCCCCGAAATAACATCTTCGGGGGAAATGTTTAGAAAAGGCATGAGTAAGGTATAAAATCAAGTTAGAACACTATTCAATGAACGAAGCCGTTATCAGAGAAAGATGAAGTGGAAAAAAACAACAACAGTGAAGTGCCTGCACATGACGCCAGGGATCTCTCTCGGGCCAATGTAACGCCGGGCTGTATGCACTTCGGGCGGTATGGTAGATGAGTCAGCAGTATTAGCGTCCACCTAGGCAGTCAACTTCCACGGGTCCACTACGGGTCCACGCCTACACCTCATATAGTTACTATAAATAAAAATTGGGTCAGATAGACATGCTATCTCAGTGGTGACTAAAAGCCAGTTATTTCCCGTCGTTGCTGACAGTGTGAAACCAAGGCGCTTGCTATTTTTAAACAACATATCCAATAAAAAGAAAGGGATCAGCCCCTTTGCCCCCCCCCCCTTTCGTCGTAGCCACAGACATTACTCTTCATACATCTACCTGGACGGTCGAAGAGTCTGGCCGTAAAAGTCTTGGATTGATGGTGGTGGTTCTCTCCGGATGTATTAACTTAATATACATACTCAAGGAAATATCGGGGAATCAATGCCTCACATGACGTATGCAAATTCCACTCCTTCACAGTCGCCTAACGATAAACGTGTCAGTCACTCATTCCAATACAAGTCATGGATGGGACCTTATTGAGCCTTTATCAGTACACTTTAGCGCCAACAATGTGATTCTGCAAGACGGACTCATCATGCACGCGACCACTCTAATGACTCATGGTGTACGCGACAAGCTCGAGATATTTATACAGCACTGGGATACCATAGTTTTAATCTTATTTCCACTGCTTCGTTCTAAGATCTCAAAATGTTGACAAACCTCTTGCACCTATGCCTCCTGAGCACAGTACGCATCATATTCGTTTGCTCTCATCGCCTTACCCATGTCGAAACTGAACTTCGAGACCTTGTGACTCAACAGTCCGTTATTGAGCGTGTCGGTATGGCAGAAGTCATTAGAGACTTTCGCGATAGCAGCATTGTCACTGTCGAATGGCCAACGCTGGTCGACATAGTATGCAAGCTAGACAGAGCGTCAGAGGAGCTCTTGTTGAGCATATACGTGCTATAGATACAACTCACCTATGATGGTAAGTGGTAAGCTGGATTCGCAATTTCTGTCCCGGTATTAACTTATGAAGGCGATATGAATTGCGGTACATTACATGTGACAGTGCCACCGATGTAGATGGAGTATATCACTGATTGTATTGTTGTTATAGGACCCCATGGTGTTCGCCTTCGGAGCAAATAGGGGAGTGTTATGTGTCGCCTAAATAGGCGGTATATGCGACGGATGCGAGAAGTCGGTCGAGGATGGAAATATTGCTAAAGAAAAAGTAAGGACAATAGTGCTGCCACGAAATAGAGGTAAACTAAGAAGATATCCATTTGGACGAACATATTTAGTTGGAAAAAACAACTTTGGGAGGTGATGACATTTATTTAAAGCATACCGTTTGGAAAGTGGGGCAAAACCACGATTTTAAACCTCAAGCATTCCTCGTGTGTCACAGATAAAAGCCCAGCATTTCCTTAGATCTTTTCAATCCAAAGTTTCAGCGAAAAATGTCTGCCCAGGAGGCTACCAAAGACAAAGCCTCCCATAATCGGTCTCTGTTTTTCCTAGGTCCGGCAACCTTTTGAAGCGGCCTCTAGAGCCTGAATCGACAGTCTAAGGAACAAAACAAGGTGCGCCAAAACTCCAGAAGCAGCGTCCATAGGCTTTTAATGCACTGCCAAGGACAGCTTATAACCCTTGGAGTCGATATCAAAAGAGCTTTAAGATGAACCAGGCAGGACGCGGGTGGGTTGTTTATAACAACACATTCTCCGAGGCTATTATTAAAGAGGTGAAAACCACCAGTAAAGATCTAGCAAGACTGATCACAAGCCCTCACAAAAATATTGTTGAACTTCAGGAGGCTATATATCATAAGGGTGCCATATTTCTGGTCTACGAGATCATGGATATTTCATTGAGTCAAATTTTTAGCTCACCCCTTGGTCGCCTTCAGCTTTTCGAAGTGGCGGCCTTTTCACGGGAGATTTTGACAGGCCTCGAGCATATTCACAAACATCTAAAGATAGCCCATGGAGATATATCCTCGAGCTCTATCCTTCTTTTAGTAACGGGTGCGGTCAAGGTAGGTATGCTATCATGATAAGAAAGGTCAATCAAAAACTAAATGAAATAGGAAATGTCGGAACCTCAATGCTTCAAAATAACGATATTAGGGACTCACAAAGTGACATTGAGTCTGTTGGCAAGATGATCATTGAATGTCTTAAGCCGAGTACATTCTTACGAAAAGTCGGCTCTCTCGTCTCTGATTAGGGATCTAACGCGATGGATTTTATCGAGTCTACCAAATCACAGCCTGCTAGTCAGCTCCTGAAAGTCAGTTTTCAGTCTTCCTTTGGTATTAAGTCGGGTTTAACGACGACCAGCATGATTTTTTACAGCTCTCTCCGGGAGCCACGTGCCTCAAACCATATATTCGGTTCTCTCGAGAGGTAGCTGCCAAGGAAGTAGAAGTTATTTCGGAACGCAAGATTAGTTAGAAAATTCATGTTGTTTCTGTGTTTTATACATCCTAGTTCATTCGTGGGATTATCAACATGAAAAACTCGTATCTGATAATGGTGGTAAATATTAGGAACGGTGTCATCCTTTGATCTTTTGAATCCTAAGATTTTGAAATGAACAAAAATCATGGTGCTTCTTAAGATACCGGTAGTCTGACGGGCGCCTGATTCTGAGGAAATCCTCTAATGTTTCCGAAGAACCGTGATATTTCTTAGGATAGCAACTGTCGTGTTATCTCGCGGTTCGTGAGAGTATCAGAGCTCGTGGAACCGTAGTCTCTCCTATGACAGAGATAGTCAAAGGACCCTCAGGTTCACGGGAAGACCATTGTTTTCAGAAAACGTGGTTTATCCTATGACAAAGTTATTCGGGTGATCCTTTATTTCACAGGAGCTTAGTGCGCGCGGAAAACCGTAGTATTTCCTAGGATCTACCTAGTCTAACGATGTTTAGGCTCACCCGAAGGGTCTTAGATTAAGAGGAAATCCGTGGTTTTTCCTATAATATAGATGTTCAGAAGAACCCTGCCTTCGCATGAAATTAATGTTTTGCGGAGACCGTGGTTTTTCCTACGATGAAGAGAATCGGACGTTTTTTTTAGTTCATAGGATACTATAGGCGCGTAACCACCTAATCTAATTGGTTCATTATTGTGCGGCCTTTAACCACGACTTTGACTAGAAACCACAGCTTTCGCATCTCAAAATGAGATTTCTCCTGTCGTAGGATACCCTAGGCTCTTAGTTATCGCACAGCGCTTTTCGATTAAGTATTGAATGCTAACGTTCTGGCATGGCGACTAAAGATCTAGAGACTGCTCGCAAATTGACCGCCGCCCGCATCGGCTCTTTTAGAATCAGAGAACTAGATCAACTTTTATTTGATGGAATTGACATCTATAGGGCTCGAGCCTTTCGACAGTCGCAAACTGATCGTCTTATTCATCGATTTACGCATAAAGGGGTGTCGCCGACTGGACCCTCTTACCTGGATCCCATGCGAAGTGTCTTACATAGGCGTAAGCCACTTACTTGGTGAAGGCTCACCCATCGGTTACTTCAAGGATTTAGAGCTACCACAGGGTCAGAAGCTACGTTGTTTCCAGGGGCACCACCGGATTGCTGCTACGCTTCAATGGCTTAACCCAGGCGATTACTGGTGGACTTTCGATCTATATGACACTACAAAATTAGACGATGACTGTCGAAAGAGACTACGCGAGTGTAATCAAAGCTCCTAGAGCTTTGCAGATAGAGAGATCTTTCGCAATACTCGCCACTACCAGCAACGGGGAGAGATAGAAGCCGCTAAGGAGTGGCTTGCAAAATGGTCACCTACCAAGTGTCGCGAATTCAACAGAATCTATCATCCTAAGGAGAACAAAGACGCTTTTCTCAATTTAGGACAGAAGCTAGACTTACTTGTTCAGTTCCCAGCGCTATGGAAATCTTGGTTCATAGGGACACACCTCCCTAGCCTTAAATGCCCCGAGGTGAGACATTCCTATAAGGCATCATCGTCAAACTAATGTCAATAGGAGCTTGCAGATTCATTAGAAGAGATATTTAAGGCATGGCAGTCACTAACGTGCCTTAATCCCGTGATCCTAGATCCAACGACCCTCACATTATTAGAAGGCAGATGCCCACGATTGTCTATCGCCGATCGTGAGCATATCGATCAAATATTCCAAGATGGGAGGGCCTTTCAAGATGTTGAAGACCATGCCATACGGTCTCAGCTCCGACAAGCCGCTTTAGGATACCCAAAAATCATACCTTCACTTCGAACGTTTCTCGAAAATACCAAATACCTCAAGGCTATGACTGATGTTATCAAGAGGGTGCTCCCTCTAAAACACAAGGGCACTATTAGGGAGTTAATGTTCAAGTACTACGTCTGTCCTCAAGACTTAAAACATCAACTTCAAATTTCAGAAAACGATTATGTTCAAAAAGCAGGATCAAAGGAATACGGATTCTGGGCAGCCTACAGACAGTTGTTCCTTTTCGCCATGCGCCATTTCTATGGTCTTACAGATTCTCGGCCGCTTGGCGTAGGTCAATCTCGTTTGAAGGCAAGGTTCGACAATTCTGAGCTATGGAAGCGGTTTAAGCTATGTGCGAATAACGTTGGATTTGTCTTTCCAGGATCAAAATCCTCTAAACGCGCTCATCCCACAGGTTCTATTGAATTTGCCGCTATACACGGAATTTTGACTCGACTACGCCCCCCAGAGCTCTTTGTGTATGATGAGGCTAAAGTCAGGGAATGCAGTAACCACATTGCCACCATCCTTAGGGACATGGTTCCACGCAAGATTGACAACCCACCAGCAATCCAAAGTCTGGACTACCAAGACGACTGGTCTTTAGAGCAACGCTATAGGATGACAACCTCAAGCACCTTCCTTTTTGACCAAAGATACCTATTCCTACATAATATTTACTCGGTAGATCAGCCTGCTCGTGCTAGCATGACATCGTTCGCCGTTAAGCGCGACATTTTCAGGTCATTCTTTCCAGATTTCAATGATGGAAATGCTCTAGAGCTACCGATGTCTACTATGCCTGGGCCCGTAAACGGCGGCTTGACTACTAGAAATATTGATGGTGCATTACATGTTGCACCAGTGCTACCAATAGATGTTACGCCAATGGATGTTACGCCAATGGATGTTACGCCAATGGATGATGTGACAATCAATGTCGCGCGAACAGATGACTTGCCAACAAATGTGCCGATGAATCTTGCGCTGATAAACACTGCGCCAGTGGTATATGAGCCCTAGTCTATGCCTCAATCAACTTTGCTTCTTACCAATGATGGGGCTACTCAAAATGAAATAGCCATTACCCGGCAGTCATCGAATATCTGCAGGTGTCAACTCAATATGGCCCCTAAGTCATTCTATGCTTCTTTCCAGCCACTTTCGCGTACTTGTCAGTTTGTTGTCTTCTTCTTTCCATCGGCTGGTATCGTTGATTTTGTCCGTCACTACACAGACGACGTGCTCGCCAACATGCATCAGGACGATCAATGGTTTGCCGAAGCCCGCGAAGATAAACAAAAGCTTCAAACGATTTCCATAAAGCAGGTATCAGATAGGTGCAGCCAGGGCCCTTGTCTGATAGTTAGTGGGAAAGGCTATTTTAATAGCACGTTACAGCTAGGTTCTGTTAAGAAGCTTGTTATTCCGATATACAACGAAAACACAAATTTATGGGTACTGCCAGATCAATGAGTCGCTTAAAGCCAATCAAGAAATATACATTTAGGTAATTATCACCTCCTAGTAGCATCTTATGCAAATCGATGCAGACAGGGTTCCCTATGTTTCAGTCATTTGAAATTTGATCACTATGTCTTACTTATAATTGCGATCGAAGTTTAAGAAACCGAATGACTACATGTATCAAAGGACCAAGGCGGACTGTTTAAAGCAAAAGAGAAACCTTATGGCTTTTTTCTATATTTTAAGATGATGATTTCCGTTGGTTAATCTATAGGTGACGCTCTAGAACTTCCGCAACAGTCAAAAACTAGCGTTATCAAGTAGCTACGCGCTTAAAGCAGGATGGAAAAATTTCTGGTTAGTACATAAATTTGCACTAGAAGCGTTCAATAAACTTGAAAATGACACTGATTTTGTTGCAGCTAGAAAATGGAATGATTCAGAATGTATGCCTCAAGCTCTGTCAAACGCAATAAGATTGAAAAACAGGAAAACGTCATTCACGAGATATATCTTTATTGTCTAGGCTATGGCCGAGGGTCTATTCGTGATACGCGGGTGGAAAGGAGATGTGCACATCGACCTGTTGATATTTAGTGTGAGCGAGATTAATAAGGGAGGGAACGTACATCTATGAGTGTTTCAGGAGGAAATTAAGCCTCGATCACACGAAGCGAGCCGGATTTTTGATAAACCAATGTAACATGTACTGCTGTGAGCAGGCCGAGCTTTCGAGCAGCACGCAATAGAAGGCCAAACATAACGACTCAACCGGACAGCTTATAATCTAAGGTGAAAGACGAGCTAGAAATTGGAAATATAAATACACTTATTTACCATAAGCGTCTAGGAAAAGCCACGATTTTGGTCCCCAAACGATCCTAAGCCGTGATCGCTGAGTGTGAAAATTCAGATAGCGTACAAGTAGAGTGATCAAAAGATAAAAAGAAAATGGATTCAATAGAACCGTAAGAATGAAATCAAACAAGCTATGATAAAAAGTAAGACCGTGATCTTCCCCTAAAACCGTGGCCTTCAAAACCGTGGCCTTCAAAACGCCTACGAAAGTTACAGTTCATAAAGCGTGGAGCTTTCGGCCATCAAATATTCTAGCTTTTAACTTCTAATTTATTCCACCGCCACTCATTCTTGGCTTCGTTAACGCGCAATGTCTTATATATGGGTTCTTGCTGGTACGCTGCCTCCTGGCCAATGGGTTTTATTGCCCTCTGTTCCTCCGGCAGCTAGTCTGCTTCCTCCTAGGAATGGTCTGCTTCCCCCTGGAAATGGTGTTCTCCCTCCTGGGAATGGCCTGCTCCCTCCTGGGAATGGTAGTACGTTTGCACCTAGCCCTCGATCTAGGGCTCATTATCCACATCTATCCCTAGCTCCTGGATCACGGTTAGAAGAAAAGGTCTCTTCTCAGCCACCTACCGCTATTTCAGCCACTAAGACCGGTGAGTTATCTAGATAATTCCTCAGTGAGCCCTATGCATTCTCTAGTGTATCTACTTAATCGACTAGTCACCAACACTTCGCTAGCGCTTCAAGGGTTCTCGCTTCCAGCGGAAAAGATTAGTGTGAGTCATAGAGCTAACCTTAGGATATATAATGAAGCTGACTATCTACAGACTTTGAAATCAAAACTGCGATATGATTACCATAGATCGGCATATCGCCAAGCGACGGAATATTTGCGTACAATTTATTTTGGATGTTAGGAAGGTTCAATCTGTATACCAGAGACCATCCCCCGAGTTTCAGACGCGGAGCGCAGAAACGCTATGAACAAGGTTGATGAAATTAATGGTCGTCTAATGGACCGAAACATTTCTGGAGAGCGAGATGTTGGGCTAGGCCTTGTTCATTGCCAAGAACTCATTGATAAGTGGAAGATGATTATTACTACTCTAGATCCACGACTCCAGGCAAAGGGGGATGAGCAGACGAGAGAATGCATGACTGCGCTTTCTGATGTATGCAATGAACGTCAATATCCAAGAGGGTGGACCAGACTGCCCCCTAGCGATGAGGAATTGTAGTCTAGTACTATCAATACGATCCTGACTTTGAAAGCGTTAGCTATTTTAAATAGATTTGTTCGTGTCTTATACAAAAGTAAAGATTTCTGATCAATAATTTAGGTATGATGGCCCAATGACTTGATGTAAATCACGACGGCCACTATCGTGCATTCGTGATATAGTAAACCTACAGAGAAAAGCATCCCTTGTCTATGAAATTAAAATCGATGCCACATTTCTAGCATACTAGATCAAAACAATGGGGCAGATATGCCATGAAGAGCCAAATTTGATTTTCTATAAATTAATTTTATGGATGTCTGCAAGGTGCCATTTGTATTGTGAAAGTGTGGGGAGAACTTGAAGACAATGAGGCCAATCACACTTTCGACCAGGCTTTTGAAAAAAGAATGGCAGGCGATGAGTCCTAAAATGAACCTGAAGTACATCCTTTCGTGAGTACTTATATCGCCTAGCGGTGGGATCTAAGCGAGTACCCCCTAGACACACAGGACATTCCAGTCCAGATGAGCTTTCTATTGGGACCACTGCTTGTCTTGATGCTCCCTTCTGTCTATCTTTGAACACAATCCGCTTTTTTAAGGCCTGAGGTATATGGAGGCTGTTCAGTTTCAGTCGTAGCTTAAGAGATCGAATGCGGTCTTCAATCAATTCAGCATCATCGATAGTATCGACATCCCTGTTCTTGAATTCAAGCTTAGTAAGGGCTATTCTCTCCGGCTGGATATGGCTGACGTCTGGAGTGAAAGTGAGCGGAGTCCCTTGCTGGTTTTGCTCGATGATCCGGTTTCCAATACTATCAAAGAATTCCTTCCGGGCTGTCTTCTGAGCACGGCGTTCTAACATCTTTCGTCTCGTTCTAATCTTCTTTTGTAGTTGCTTCATTTCGCTGAATCGTGGGTCGGAAGCTCCTTCCGCTTTCTTTAACTTATGAAATTCTGATATAAGTTCGTCTCTAGTCGACTTAAGTGCCTTTTTCAAGTCATAGAGCTCGGCTTCCGTTTCGATGGCCTCTTTTTGCTTAGTGTTCAGTTTTTGTGGCGCTGATACATCTCGTGTCAGATTTCTATAGCATACTAGATTCAATAAAGAATCCCTCGTCGGAGTTTGCATAAAAATGGATTGAGTGTCATTGAACACAGACATGTAATTCGAAAAAGTTGCACTTTTTCGATGACCTATGATTATATTACGTGAGTGTTCGTTAAGGTTCCCTAAAGTCATTAGTATGAAAATCATTCGTTCAAATTCTCCTAGCTATACTTAAGTTTTCAGCTGCGCCTTTGCGGTACTTATAGAGCGATCCCTTATCTAAAAATCCAGCCTTTGTGCTAGCTTTTCTTTCATACTCCTACGCCTACTTATATAAAAAGCCGACGGTGTAGTGAGTGACCCAAGTCCCGTCTTCTACCTTTATAGCGCGCCTGAAAATAGGGATATTTTTCACGCTATCCTTGAAATGGATAGGAGTGCTGTGGCGATGTTCTAGAACTTTTGTAAAGCGCCAAATATCTCGAGGGCATTTTATATATAGGCTTGCAAATGTATCGTTAAGAAAGGCATATATAAGTATATCCTGAATAACACAGAGTCCCAGATTATCATTTCTTTCGGTATAAGTGAATGTAGGCCTAGAGATAGTCAGGTTTACCTATAAATAATAGTATAGGACTAAGACTCACGGATTCCCTTGGTTTCTCTTTCCCTTATTAAGCCTATGCCTCGCCCTCATAAGAAGAACTTAGGTATCAGAATACTCGGGGTGTTTTACCATATATAGGTCAATATCTTTCCACTTTAGCGTATCGTTTTCTTTCTCGTAATAGGAAGATAGTATAAGGGTCCTAGGTCGAGCTGAAGTTAATACCATTATTTTCCGTAGGGTGTTCAATTAGAAAAGAACCCGGGCCGTAGGAAAGGCTATATCGCAAGCGGCCACCAAATAATGCGTGATAACGAATACCTCGTTAATGCTAAATAGCGGCTATTCCTTAGCAGTCTTGTCAAGGTCGTATTCTATAGCCATTGATTTTACTAGCTTCTTAAGTCAATTAAGGACTAGTGCTAAAAACGTAGAAATCATACCGAAGTAATATCCCTCCCAAATTATAGAGGAAGGTCAAGACCCCTTTCCTCCATCCAGTACATTCTGAAAAAATGCGCCATTGTCAAGAAACTAGACCTATATTTGAGGTTATGCTCATCCAAATACCACTCAAAGAAGCCTTGGACGATCCTCAACGTGATATTTTCAAGCCAATATTTATAGTCTTTGTTGTCAAGTTCTTGTACCCATCTAAGTACTTTTCGTTTAGTCAAAGCATATAGAGTAAATGGGTAATGGTATAATACTTCTGAAAATTAAGATGAATTCCTCTTATCCGCTCCTTTGTCGATCCAACTTTGTCGGTCGTGACCTTTGGATCCGGTTGGCGAACAAACGCATTCCAGTCTCTGACCCGCTTGGTAGGCTTAGGAGGAGGCATTTCGATCATGGTAGGCTTGAAGAGGGAAATCTTGAAGGGGGGAGTGTATGGTATTTAACCACTGTCAGCCAAAATAATGATAATGAATTTGTAGTGAACATCTAATCAATGGCCGCCCATGATAAAGCCGCCGGGCTATTACTATGCAGGAAGGGTGGGGACAATCACACGCTAAACCCAGCTGGCCATATGACACTAGTCCTAGTTAAATCTATAAAACCGCCTATACGGAAACACCACGATTATTACTCTCAAAACCACGCACAACCATAGTCTTTCCGTTGTCCCCCTGGATTACACCATATCGGATGACTTGATGAAGGCTGTTTTCGATTTGGTTTTATCAATTCAGGTTAGCGCTCTTTGTCCTTATGCGTCCCCGTGCGTGGTTCTATATAGTCCCTCCTATCGCCTCTCCAACTTCCCGCTAGACTTCTGTAAAGACTAACTTTAGGCCTAAGGTCCGGGCTTGAAACCCGACCCGTAACGAGCTACCAAACCACCTTTCTTGGAGGTTATGAGGTTCTCGGTCACCGACGCGCTCAAATGTAGTATTGGAGGTCATGATGTCCGCTTGTCGCTTGCGAAGAGCCTCATGCGAGGTTTTGGCCCAATTAACCTTACCGCGCCACTCACGGTAGGATATGTGCTCGTTGCGGACCGAAGTAGTAGAGCGCTTCTTCCGGCGAGTGGCAGGAGTATCTGTAACGTCTTCCGAATAATCAAGCAGGTTGGTGTAATCCACACGCATGTTGATAGCACCTGAGTGACGTTTGATTGCCTGAAAGTTGTAGTCAATTTTGATCTTGTAGACAGGATTCTCATTTTCTTCCGCAATCCGCTTGACCAAATGATGCCGAGGAAGGTCGTATGAGCTATGGGCTGGCTGTATTGAAACGAGACGAGCAAATGGGCCTTCACCAACGTGCTCTGGCAGACAGATTATCGTGTCTTCAGCACCGTCGAAGAATAAATTGTCGCATTTCAACGAGACAGTGGGCAGTTTGCAAAAGATATGATGTGTTTCCTCGACATGATCGAAATTGGTATCCAAGCGGGTGCGGTGAGTGGTGAACAAGGAGCGTTTGGTTTTGGGAACTTCCTCGCTCCGACGAGCGAATTCATATGTCGAGGCAAATGAACTGTCAATAGAGCCTGCAGTACCATCGAGCATCACAAATCCATATGGATCATCCCCATCATCGTCGCCGGGAGAGCTCTGCTTATTGTTGTTGCCGTAGTTGTCGACGTAAGCCCATTCCACGTCGTCCCCGGTGTCTTCGTAGTAGTTATCCCAGAGATACTTGGGGTCAACCGGCCATTTCTCACTGTTTGCCTAAGGTGGGTCGCAGCAGTATGGCCAATTGGGATTTTCCCCAGCAGGAGGGGTGTAAGCAGTACAATCATCGTCCAATTGCAAGCCACCGCCGTAATATGGCTCGCTAGGATCAAGAGCGGTGGTATACTGCACTTTGGTGGAGTCACAGGCAGACGGATAGCAGAGATATTCCGATGTATGAGGTAGCGTCTCGAATGGCCAAGAGCAATTAGACGGCACATCATCATCACTTGGACAACAGTATGCCTGAGCGTAGAGAATCTCTAGATCGTCATCATCGTCCGAGGAGCATAAGCTGCCATCTCCATCGTCAAATCGGGTGGTCATATAGGTGCTACCACGGGGGCAACTCGGCTTGTCCTGAGTGGATGCAAGCTTCTGGCATGAAGTCCACTTGCATTGATTGATTGCCTCGGCGCCATCGCAGCACAAGGCGCGGTCTCCTTGGTAACATGGTTCCTCACCCGAGGCGTCAACGTATGAATCGACGTTAAGCTGGAACTGATCGCTTCCGCACTTGCCACTGCAGCCAACTTCACTGCGTACCGGGGCGCCGGTCCATTCGCAATTCTTCGGCATGGCATCTGTGGGACAGCAAATATGACGGTAGAATCTGCTATCACAAGTGTCGGTGATGTAGTATCCGAGCCTTTGTTGAGGGGCGTGTGCAGTGGCAACGGAGGAGAAACCATTGGGACACACATAATCCGGGTCGTTCTTATGGGAGCTTGAACCATCGGTACAGAATTGAGTGACATAGCAGTTTTGCCCGGTGTATGCGGCTAGTTGACTCGTCAACTCCTTCTTTTGGCTGGTCGAGAGATCACCTCCCGCCATAAGTGAGCCAGACAGCGCATCCTCGCCCAGGAGCACTCCCAGAGCCCTGTGCATTCCATCATCCTGATCGAGAGCCCATATCATGACACTAGAAATGCACTTTCCTGTCAGGTATCTCATTTTGTCCTGCCAAGGCTGCGCATCATCGTAGGAGATCCATTGATTGCCGTTGTAAACACTATACTTGATCGTTGAAACTGGGTCATAGTAAGTTTGGACGTCACTGGAGCTGTTGCTGGACTCAATCTCTGAAACCTTTCGTAAGTATTGTGAACAAAAGAGATGAAGCAGATGGGTAAATTCACCTGAATAATACAGAATGCCAGCAGCTTGTGAGCATGGTCCAGCACCTCCAACTTCAGAAAATTCGCAGTCCGCTGTATGGCAGTCTTTGTCGACCATCGTAAAGCTTCGACCGTAGAATCCCATTCCCATAACCACTTTCTTTGGATCAATGTTGTTACGCCACAACAAGTCCATCCCTACATCGATCTCCGTAAGGTTGGTATGGCCTCGCAGATAGGACCCTGTATACTTGTTATCCTGGTCCCACATGCCGTGCAGATCCTAGCTCATCATGTTGAAGAACGAGATGTACTTTTGCATCGATTCGAGGCTGAAACTTTGCATGTACCAGTAGCTGGATGGAAGAGTGCAGGTGATCTCCCAGCCGGGATTCACAGCATCGAAAGCCTCTCTCATTTCAGCGAGCAATACAACGAAGTTGTCCGTATCGTCAGCAGTGCCACCGCGATCTGTTGCTGCTGGATATTCCCAGTTTGTGAGATCGCCCCACGTTAGAACACTAAACACAGAGAAAAAAGCAATTGCAGTGGGAAGCTGACCTATTTCAACACCGTCCAGACCATACTTTTGCAAGTACGACATGAGAGAGCTAATGAAAGTTTGCCGATTCACATATGAACCTCCCATTGTTGAGAAATAAGTTGACGAAGGTGGATCGTTAAAATTCCAGCCCCCAATGGCGACGTTGACTCTCAACCCAGCATAGGTTGTTTTGAGCCGAGTCACTCGGGTCACAATGTCACCGTACTCATCAATCATTTTCCAATCATCTCCAAATTGGAGAAATGCCAAGTTGATGTGAGTAAGAGCACCGACAGCGATACTCTCCGGTTGCAGAGTGCCACATGGTCGGCTAAATTGAAACAGCTCGTAATAGGCAACCACTCTCTCAAGTGAGCTGCTATTGCTAGAGCTCGTACATGATGGCTCACTAATATGGCAGAAGGAAGCGAATTAGTAACTGATTTTGTTAACGGCATTGGAGATATATCCATGAATATATTTTTGAAACATTTGAGCAGACAACCCACTCGACCAATTCGCAGCCGTTCTGGCAACCAGCACCACAGAAGTCACTTGTTGAGCCACAGAAGCCAAATTCGCTACAGGAAACACCAAGAGGGCAATTGGTGACATTTCCGTATTTGCCACACTCGGCCTTTGCATTACAGTTGTTTAGACAGCCATCGCCGCAATGGTCATCGCCGAAGCCGCAGCTATGAAACAATATCAGTTTGATTGGCCATTATGTGAATGAAAGCTGGGTGTAGGTGTATTATCTTACCTTCCAAATTGACTGCAGCATCCTTCCAAGCAGGGGTTTAGTTCCGAACAAGTGCCATCTTGCTGCGCTTTCGCAAAAAGAATGATTGAGGAAATCAATAACAAAAGAGTGTATGACCTGAGGAAGCCCATCATGCCAAAATCCGTCTCGTGAGAGCTATAGGACTCGGCGAAGTTCAAGATCTCAGCTACTTGTAAAATTGATGAGAGGATCGACACACCACCTTCGTAGACCAAAGGGCTTGAAGACGATTTATGTCACACGAACGGATTTCTTTTATCTAGCTTTGCGCTTTCGCAACTCGAGTCCGGTGCACCCTCGGTTGCAGTTGGGGCACTGTACGAGCGCTTGTGACTAGCTTCCAATTGATCTTATAAAAATCACTACCTATAACAGGAACTCGGAGAACATCCTAGCGTGTTTCAAAGATTTAGTCCGGTACCTAGGTATGACAACAGAAAATCAGGGGGCCGATTCGATATTCAAGATAAGGAGTTGATATATGAGTGGATTTTACACACATTCCTTAGTGCAAACGCATACACTAAGCTAAAATAGTTATATTTGAGGCTATTGTACTCCACCGAGGCAAAATTCGCTACCCGGAACTTTCTCCACTATTCTCGTAGGGGGGACCCAGGGGCGCACCCCATTCATAGGATTGGCCAATCTGGGCGTTGGCCCAACACGAATATTCGTTCAGCATGGCATCGGAAACATTGGCAATGTCCAATGCATCCTCTAGCGACTCGCGAGAGTAACGGATTGCCCGCCCACACTGGTCGAACCACAGCACAAGAACAGTTCCTGCGTCGGAGCCTTCGGAAGCAAGGGTTGTTGCATCAACGATATGGATGCGTCCTGCGACTAGTCGCATGTGGTAGTCTGAATAAAATTCCGGCCACGGGTTTTCATCCTCCTCCGGGTCGTAGCCGCTTTCATCCGCAGCCTGAGGGTCAAGGCTTGCGGCCTCGGTTCCATCTTGTAGGGCCTCTTGGACATACTCTTCGTATTCTTCTGTAGGGCAAGTACAGTCGAGCAGCTGTGGCAGACGAAGAAAAATCTTCTCCCAGTTGGAACCGAAGTTATACAAGGATGAATCGTTGCAAATTGCAGGCCGACCGAACTTGCCTTCAATGTGACTTTGAACCTCAGCCCAAGAGTCCTCGGAGAAAGGCTCATAGCAAGTTCGGAGCCAATACGTTCCGTCCACCAACTGACGCTCAAAGCTCGGTTGGCGAACACGGTTCAATAGCTCTTGACTGTGGGGTGGAAGTCCCTGTACAGACCTACCCTTTAGTCTTCGCTGCTGCTCCCGATATGGCTATTCCGATGGGTTAGCTTTCCCGATGGAGTAACAGGGGGCCAAAATCCAAATACCTGACGGCCACGGACTCCGAGTGTCATGTATTTAGCGAGAATTTGTTCACGTTGGGCATCGATAGATAGCGACGAGTCTTCCTGCCATTGTTCCTTGGATGTTGTTAGAGGATGCCTATACCATAGAGCGCTGACCGTAAGGATTTACCAGGAGGAACAAATCAGCCTGCCAGGCTCGGAACGCAGACATATTGCAGAATAGCCTCACCAGGGACGATAGTGGAACAGAGTGAGAGTGAAACGAGAGATTTTCGGTACTTAAGATCGGATGTTTTCTTGGCAGAGGCTTGAGTCGGGGGCCAAGCGATGCCGGGTGGAGAACGTCTCAGAGCACCCGCTTACCCGTTGGGCATCTGCAGAATAGTGGCGTTACAGGGCAGTGGGCGGTCAAGGAGCGGCTGGACATCCAAAGTTACGGGTGGAAAGGCAGCCGTTTCTGGCCTCAAAAGCGGTCATTTTCGGCGTCAATCCCACAGGTCCTCATATTCTAGTTGTAATTTTCAGAACTTTTGCCAAGAAGGTCGATCACCTCTTCCTCCTGATCTTTTAGGGGCAAGAGATATTCTGACGACGTATTCAGCCTATTCTCGGTGAGTACGCAGCAGCCTGTACAATCGCTAGGGGATGATAGGAAAGCTTGCTCAAAAGTTGTATAGCGTCTTCGTGTTTCCACGGGAAAGATTGGCTAATCAGGTGATTTCTGAGCAGCAAAAATGCTTCCTCCCTACGCAGCAACGTAATATTGACTATCTTTATGTTCTTCTAATCTACAGCCGCATGCAGGCTTGGACCCGGACGCAATCCACAAGGCCAAAAAAGATAAAAGTAAAGTGTTAATGACGTTGGTAACTGATCATAATATACAAAGTAATATATAAGCTGTTGACCCTTTCCGGTTAAGTCCGAAAGAGCCCCTCAAGCCTCACTCAGCTCATATAACAACAGCATTGGCAGAATCCGACTTGTGTCTTTTTTTCGACCTTTTCAAATCATATTCAATCGTAACCCACCTCCTGGATACCTCTTCCCTTTCCTGTGCCGTGGACCCTCGCATCTCTTCGAGTCCCTGCCTAATGCGACCCATTGCAACCATGCATCTTTGATGTCTGCCTAGTGAGTCGTTGATTTCTCTGAGTATCCCGCTTAAGGGATACCCTGCCAGACCCCATAGCCCTGATTAAAATTAACTTGTAAACAACAATATCACAGAAACTTGCTTGCACGTTCCACATACCTGCTGTCGGCTTGAGAAACACCCCGCCTATTCCTTTCCCGACCCCCTTGAGCAGCCCCTTAGCACCTCCATGCTTGAGGCCATGACGTGGGAGTGTTTCTAGGCCCGTGATACCCAGGTAGAATCCGTCTCGGAGCTCCTGTGCATATGTCAGAATATTTGGCCCCGGACTAGCGCCGGTATGACTTTTACCTTTCCTGCCGCCCTGAACCCACTTCGAATACCGATCACCTGGGGGATGTCGCTTACTGTGGGGTCGTGATATAGTTTGGGTGCGTTGTGGAAACCTCTCGCCATGCTCAGTGACACGTCGGCCGGTAAAGTTATGATTACCTTTACTATCTTCTTCGACATTTGACTTCCGTGTAACGTAACTTCGTGTAAGAGGGTGAATTTGGGTGGTTTTAAGGGTTCCATCGAGCTGCCCATTGTCTTGGCCTTTTCGAGCTGGAGATTCCTTTTGCGCTCTGTGCTCCGAATTGGATCGATGTGGTTGACATCACTTTCATTGTCCTCATCGGTAGTGTCTTCCTGTGTACTCTCCTCTTCTCCGTTTCCTCTAGCTCCCTGTTCATCATTCTCAATCTGCAACTGCCCGCCCTCGTTTTGGATCTGTATTTCCTCGCTCTCAATACTATCCTCTGGGGATGCATGAACCTCTGGGGATGCATGAACCTCTAGGGATGCATGAACCTCTCGTGATTCTTGATCCAGAGAAGCAATTGCTTCCCGACATGCTGCGTGACGCTCAAAATGTTCATGGGGTTGGCGTATTGCGTGAGCAGCAGAAGAAATACCACGCACAATCTCTCCTGGTGAATCTACAAGCCCAGTCACAAAGCTCGAAATGACCCCAAAGAGCACCTGAGCACTAGCAATAAGTGGGTCGGCAGGGTCCATGAATGTATCATATTCCATTGGACGGTGGCTGGAGGCGAATCAGCATAAAGCTCTCGCAATTGTGATGACTTATGTTGAAGAAGACTTACAGAACGAGCATGTCTGGACTGATCTTGCCCGATTTCACTAGAACCGTTGCTGCAAAGGCACTCAAGTTGATTTTAGTATGTTTGAGGTGCCAAGCCGCTGGCAGATTCGGGATCAGAGAGCATCTGAGTGACTGGGGGTCCAGATTTCGATAAAAGCTACTCACACCACGGCGCACGCCAGACTCTTCTTGCATTTTCCTTGCGATCGCCTGTGCTTTGTCCAGAGTACTTGTCTCTAGCGCTTTCTGTATTGCGTCTGAGAGGTTCTGCTGGTTCAAATATTTGTATGGTATTGGGGCTGGTCCAGCTCCAGCCCGCGCAACGATATTTCCCCAAAATTGCTGGTCTCCAAAAAAAGGGATAATTATCGTCGGCCGACCTAGCGCGAGGCCTGCCGCTGTGGTGCCAGCACCACCATGGTGGATGACACATGAAACCTGCCGGAATAGCCAATCGTGAGGGCAGTTTCCAATCATAAGAATATTTTCCGGCACTTCGTCTGCCCCCAGATTTCCCCAGCCTTTTGAGACAAGAGCCCGCTGTCCGGATTTTTGGACTGCTTCAAAAATAATCTTCGTCAATTTGGCAGGATTATCGACCACGATCGAGCCAAATCCGATATATATTGGTTTTGGTCCTGCGTTGAGAAACGTAGCTATTTCCGTTGGTGGTGTGTAGCTGGTCTCTGACAGGAGGAAGCTAAAGCCGCATACATCGATGTTATCAGCCCAATCGGGGGGCTTAGGTAGTAATGAAGGAGACCTGTTTCAAGTATTAGAATATTCTTGCCGACTAGGAATGTATTCCTAACCATAGATACGTGTGCGGCACATGTAGTCGGTGTAGTATGTTTGGGGCAGTCATTGTATCCAGAGGCTGCAGTGCCAAAGTGTTTTTGCGAAGCGTGTTTAGAATATCTCCTAAGCCTTCCCATACCATCATATCGACAACATTATAGGACATAAAATTTGCGATAGTCGGTTTGCAGTTCCGGGGGTGAACATTCGCTAACGGGTGGGGGAAAGACTGGGTTGGTGACCAGGGCATCCTATTATTCATTAGGTGTTCAGCATACGAAAGGCGATTAGAGATTAGTATATAAGAGGGTCGACTCACGTGAATATAACATGGAGAGGGATGCCTAGTCGTTGTGCGCAATGAATATGGGCAAGGCTAGGAGGGTTGGCTATAATAGCATCCGCCACAAAGGGCCGTTGTCGATAATCCAAAGTATTACTCCATGGGTCTTCCTTAATCTGGTGAAGGTAAGTCCCGTCACCAGTTTCAAAACAGGATTTCCAACATCCAGTGAAGATTTCCTTCATCTCACGCCGACGCTTCTGGATGTCTCCGCTGCGTATTGCTTTGAACCCCGGTAAAAGGCCCGGATTTTTGACCATGTAAGCCATCAGCTCCTCTGGGTCTCCTCCGACATTGAAAAACTCTAGACCGCTATCGAGAACGAATTGCCGAAAAGCTAAGTGTGTGGCCAATCTCACTCGGTGGCCGTGTGCTTTCAGCTCTGTCCCTAGTGCAACAAACGGTTGAATGTCGCCTCGAGAACCAATAACTTGGATGACGAGGTTTAAGTGCAGTGGAAAATTCTCGTACTTTGAATAGGGAGGCCGTTTTGCATTGGCGGTTTCTTCGGCCTCTCGTTCAGCATATCTTTCCGGTCGCTGGATGCGGTTCAATAGCCCTGTGAGGTGCGGTTTATGCTGATCGATATGGATATCTACCCGGCCGTCATCTATGACAAGAAATGATCCACGTTAGGGTAAGTTGAGTGAATATCGCCGGAACTTCATGTACCTAGAATACGAGCACCAGTATTCAATCCATCCTGGAAAAACTGCACTTCATCGTGGTCATCTGGTGGTCGCTTGGTATCTTCACCGGTCCAACCATCCGAGCGATTGATGCCCGTTCGCTCCGAGGACCCTCCTGCGGTAGTCGGCGCTACAGTGACCATGATCGAAAGGGGTATGGCGCGTGGGATGTGCAGAAGAAAAGGCGAGATCGAGGATCAAGAAAATGCGATCGATGGTCATGCTGGAGAAAACCCACATGAAAGTCCAACATGGGGCGAGGTCTCGCACTTTCGCCTTCTCGTAACCCCGCAACACATGACCTTTGCTTGCGCGACTGACAAATCCAAGTTCAAAGCCCTGGAGAGTGTGATTTGTGTTTTGGTGTTAAATGACGTCAGTGACCTCATTAGGCCCAAGGTAGGTGAAGCTTTAGCTTTAGGTGAAAGATCGCTCTAGATCACTCAACGCCTTATTCTTAGTGGTTAGCCAAATGCGAATGATTACTAACCAAAACTAAGATGGATAGCAAATTTATTTAATTTACAACTTCACTGGAGAATCATGCCACTAGGCGTGTGCTCACACTATATGAATTCACCACGACTTATACCATATCGGATGACTTGATGAAGGCTTCTTCCGATTTGGTTTTATTGATTCCGGTTTAGCGCCACCGGTCATGGTGCGTGCCCGTGTGTGTTTGTATATAGGTCCCAATCTCTTTCTTTTTTTCTCCTTCCTTCCTTCTCCTTCCCCCTTCTGTACTTAGTATCTTGAATGAAATGCACTCTTTTAACTGAAAGAACTGGCAGGTAACAGAGATTTGGTCTATGGGATAGAATAATGTTCGCTGGAAGATCAAACTATACGAGGAGTTAGTGGAATGAACAAATGTCATACCCTAAAAGAGAGAAGAACCCAACGTACATAATGCGTGAGGAACATTCGCCGAAAATAATTGGTCGAATGTGGGTAATCTCCGTCAATCTAGAATCGAGAATACCAAAAACTGTCGTAGGTATAAAAGGATCGAACTATCCCATACAAGTGTCACAGTTAGCAAGTCCTAGTCGAGCACAAAACCCGAAGATAAACCCCGAAGAATAAGATTAGAAATATACATAGAATCCAAGGTACCAGGCTGATATGAAGAATTCTTTGTGAACAAAGTTATAAAATTGTGTGTGAACTTTCTAAGGAATCTCGTGCGAGTCGATGAACCTTTGGGGATAAACAAGCGAAGAATCACCTTTGATTGGATCAAGGGTGTTTAAGACTTTACCACTAGGGCCATTCCTCGCTGCTCCGGGCCCCCTTTGCCGACGAAACTAACTGACTCTAATCTAGACTTCCGCAGAACCCAGTTCTCGACCCAGTTGTATGCATAAATATGTATGAATAATACCAATTAAGAGCGTTTTGACATTATTGCGTATTTTTATGCAAAGAACAGGGTCACATATTTTGAGATGACTGGGTTCTCGGTCGAAGGCTTCCACCCAAATTTGGTTTTGCGAAAGTCTTCTCTAATCTAAGCTTACCCCGTCGCGGATCCCATAACAGACCCCTGATCGTACCTACGTAAAACCTTATCTCAAAATAATCGAGGCACTTGCCAAGAAGTACCGAAAAGAAACGGAAATGATACAAAGAGGAACCAACTACTGATTGTGTCGCATATTGAAGCACAATTTGCCTCAGCACTGCGCCATGTGTGGCTGAGCGCCAACAATTCGTAAGGTTGCTCTATTCAGTTTTCCGGACTTCTCAGAATTTTCCTATAGCAGTTAAAACCCCGAGGGCACTAGTTCTAGACGTTATGCTACTGAACCTTAATTAAGTTCCTTCGCCATGTTTGTTTGGATGAGGCATCGATAAGCGGGAGAAATGCTAATGATATGATAATCTCCAAAAAAATAAAGTTCGGCTCCGCCTAGGGTTGACCTGAAACGGGATAGTGAATACGAGGCGGGACACACTTGCGAAGATCTATAACTACAACGTAACCCTGATATGCTGACATAAAAGGTCTTGATGGTGTAACTTTGGAGTGATCCCTTGTGAACTATAAATAAAACAATCCAGAGGGCGAAATAGTTAAACTTGTTTGACCCAATCATATTTTACAGGGGAAGGGTAGAGGAACCAAGAAGCTTCAGAACATTAGAACCGCCGTAAGAGAAAAGGAAAAACTAGAAGATCCCGCATTGACTGCTTCGAATTGGACCCACCGAAGGATTCCGGTTCAATTAAGAAATACCGGCATATTCGGCATATTATATATCATTATAACGGAGACCTAGAACCTCTATACTGGGTAATACACGACTCTGCCATGCTAATATCCGCTCGCCGAGACCCTAATGGCCCCTTTGGAACTCAAACGGAGGTAGAGATTCCTAGTCCATGTCTCGTATAAAAAGCGGGCCCGAAGGTAAAGTATATGCTCCGTTTCAAGCCGCGATTCCATTCGTAAGCATAGAATAAAATGAAATGCCCCTTCAAGTGACAGTCAGGGCAAGCCAAAGCCAGTGTCTGTGTTCTAGATTGTTAGGGGCCTAGTTGGTTGATTCTTAGATCGACACTCAGAAAACTTGATAATGAGCGCGTGACCCAGATCTTTGTGGATTTTCCTCGCTTTGCTACCCATAACGCGTCAAATTCACGGCTACCAGATCTCATTTCTTTCAGGGGGATGTAACGATTACCGATTTATCAATCCCGTATGATGCCTGCTCTCGTTGGTGATCGGAAGTCAGTCTTAGAGGGCACATGGGCTCTTGGGGCCGTCGCAATCGTCGTGGTGATGCTCCGGGTATTCGCAAAATCCAGGCTTCGCCATATCGGATCAGATGATCTTACAATGATTGCATCTCTAGTAAGTTCATGCCAATGATTGGAGGGAAATGATGATATAAGTCCTATCTACTCTAACCCCCGACATTTTTTTACAGGGTTTCGCCCTCGCCGCATCAATACTCTTCACAATCGAAGTTCTTGACTACGGCTTTGCATCCGGTCGTCCTGGGGTCGTCGAGGTCACCGCTCTTGAGTACTATACCATAACGGAGGTTTGCAGCGTCGCAAGCACATGCCTAGGCCGGATCGCATTCATCCTCTACCTATTGCCAGTTCTTTCAACGAGGAAATTCTTCAAAATCAGCCTATGGATACTATTTGCGATGCAAATAGTGGCAAATTTTGTAATGATTGTTCTTATCTTATCCCAATGCCACGATATCCGTGGGGTTTGGGATCCCAAATACGCCACGAACTGCATGGAAGACTATATTCAGCTCCGTTTTGGTTACTTCCTCTGCTGTATGTCCATTCGATGCCAAAGGCTCAGTCGCAGCTACGAAAAACACAATTCCCTGCGTTCTTAACTAACAATATCAAATTATCCATAGTCTGCAACTCCGGAGCAGACTTGCTGCTAGCAGTCCTTCCTTCCTATATTTTCTGGGATCTTAAGTTAAAGCCGATGATCAAGTTCAGCCTCATGATACTCACGAGTTTGGGTCTGGTGTAAGTACCTTCCTTGATATAGTTACAATGACTCCCTTATCTAGCCAAGCTTACTAATATGGACGTCCCCCTGTATAGCGCAGCAGTCGGTTCCATAATGAAGGCTGTATATCTCAAAGAGATCTTAACCTGGGATGGTACAGCCAATGCGATAGAGCTTACCTGCTGGGCTATGATCGAATGCTATCTCGTCATTATCACCGCATCGGTTCCCTGCCTTCGTTCGCTGGTTATTTCTTCTGTGCGCCAGTTGTTCGCAAGCGACAAGTCCAGCAATTTTCCTATCACCTCATCGTACAGGAATAGAACAACAAGCCATCAACGGGTGACGAATCGCGTACAAACCAATCGCGAGGCCTCTGGGAGTACGCAAAATTTCTTTTCGGGTGCACGTGGCGAGGATATTGAGATGGGGACTACTAGGGCTACTGTAAATGCCAATGACAGCGATGATGGAGTGGAGGTAACGCGGGATGGAATTGAAAAGACGGTGGATATTAGTGTTACTTGGGAGCAGGGACATGGCAAAAACCGTATTTCCTAGTACGTTGTACAAGAGATATACGTGAGAAAAATTATATTCTAGAGTAATCTATATAATGTTATTATAGCCAAGGATGATATACTATGAGAACGAAGACCCATAGCGCTCAGGGTTCAAACCCCCCTTTAAAGGGGATTCTGTCGGTGGATTCCGTATCGTAAATGTAGGGGTCCAATCAATGGTATTCAACTCTCTGTATTTCTGTATCGGCTCTCTACACAATTTATATGGAGCCTCGATTACATAACATAAATTACGAAAACATGTAGGATTAATAAATCCTCCGGTATGCCGGTGTTACTGCGCCGACAGATTCTGGAGGCCTGAATGCTGGAATTAGCACCGCTCTCCACACCGCTCTATACAAAGTATTGTAAAGTTATTAATTACAAGTGACAGAAATCTGTCGGTACGACAACGTATGGTCAAAAACAGATATATTGGAATCTCTAACTAACTAAAATGACAAGACCCGCGGTTTCAACAATCTGTGCGGACATAGATGACTAACTGTAATATGCACTTTTGTATGGTATGGCTAGTACCATGTGTCACATGATATTCAGGGTATTTTACCCTGTTTCCACCATGTATTCAATCTTAGTATTCGACACACCCCCTAGTTTTTAGAGCTTGCTCCAAGAACTGCTAATTCCTTTATTTCTAGCCTTTCTTTAAAACAGCCTCTGTTTTCTGGGATGACTAATCCCTTTTCTTATTAATTAGATAACTAATCTCTCGCATACCGATCATCTCTCTAAAGATCGCCTGCTTCTGCTTCGGTAGTGGCTTTATAAGGCCATCTGCCGGCATCTCTACAGTAGGAACCCAGACAATATAAACTCGACCAGCGCTAACTTCCTATCTCATCTAGCACCGATTGATATCCACATGCCGAAGCTTCGTATATATACCCGCCCCTTCTTTTATAAGCAGATCGACTGTCTGCTAGTTATCACATATAATAGACAAGGGGTTATCGGGTTTAAATCCCAATAAATTCAGTACTCGGCGCCACTATTATACGGTTTTACCGGCCTCGGCGAGAGTAAGAAGTTTAGCTTTAGTGGTTAATATTATAACGGTCTTTTGCTTAGACGCTTTCCAATCAATTAGACCGCTATACAACTTACAGATATAACCCTCCGAGCTTTTCCTATCTTTGTTATCTCTAAAGGAAGCATCGCTTACGAATTCAACTAACTTCGCGACTAGTTATAAACTATAGTTAATAAGGTTCTTAATCTATTTTTATCTCTAATCTTAGTTTTTGTTCTATTCTTGTCTTTAATCTTAACCTTAATCTTTATCTCTATCTCTAGTTCTATATTTAATAGCCCAGAACCTAGTTTCATACAGATACTAGATGATTCTATCGATAGCGTCGATATATTTCGGACCAGGGTTTATGAGAAATTTAGCCACTTTTGACGTGGCTTTCGCGGCATCTACTCTAGTTATAGTCGTGCTATATTAAGCAGAGCCAACCTTCTATTAAAATTGGTGAATTTAATATACTAAAGCCACCCCTTCGAAGGGTAGTAATAGTTCAGTGCTACTTATTAGTGAGCCTATTTTTCTTTCTATAACCAGGTTATACCTAGTTGCCATGCTTTCAATGTATGAATCCTAGTATAACCAGAGCTTCTTCTATTTCCGGTCCTAAATAATACGTATATTTAGGAACCAACTAGCATCTAGCTCTCTCAATTCCCACTACTTTTTTATTTCTTCGTCCAATTTAATAGCTTGCTTAGCGGAATCTAGGTGGTTTATAATAATAATATCATCTATATAGAAGAAGATAATAATTCCTTCGGTAGTAAAAATGTAGGGATCTTCTAGAACTAGAGTAAGCCCTAGTTTTACTAGAACCCTTATTACTTCTTATTACTATAGTCTAGGTGACAGACGTAGGCCATATAATACTTTATAGAGCAGCCAGCAATAGCCTGGTTTTTTAAAGCCTAGAGGGCACTTAGTATAAACCTTAGTTTGTAATACTAAATTCAGAAATATAGTAATAACATCTCTCTACACCATATCAAGATTAAATGCTACCACTAATACAAATATAGCTCTTATAGTTTTAACGGCGAGGGTAGCAGCTCTCTTTTCTTCTGTAGATAGCCACTATAGATCTCCTCTCATATAGATTCTAGCTTTATATTTCTCTAGGTAGCTATTGGCATCAAATTTGTAGGTAAATACCCACTTTAATAGCAATACCTATATGCCTTTTATATTCGGCGTTAGAACATAACTGTTACGCACTGCTAACTGGTCACAGTTAAGTTAGAAGGATTCGGTTATACTTGCCTTAGACTTCTCAGGTTTCCAACGTCAACGATCTGTTCTCTCAACCGTACTGTTGCCTAACAGGCCTTACTGTAGGATGGGTCCTTTTGAGGTATCGAGGAACGATGCTAGGTAGAGCGCTGAGGAGATCTATACCAGGGTATTGGTCTACTCGTAGGTGTTGTCAAGTTATAATCAAGTAAGAGTCATTAAAGTTCTAAAGGTATATATAAGTAATAATATATGATTGAAGACGAAGAACTATACTAAGTATATGAATGAGTGTCCTTATATATCCTTCGTGCCTACTCCCTAGTCTACCCCCTAGGGGTAGATACTAGAGTCACTATATACTCCTAGGTATACTCCTATAGAGTAGGTCCTAGAGTCACGCTTAGTTAGGCGTATCCTATAATCAACCTTTTCCTATAGAATACCGGGGTTATACTTAGTTAAGTATATTCTACGGCTATCCTACGACTAGTCTTATCCTAGGATAAGTCTTATCCTACGATATATCTTAGTCACGTGTCCCGCTCACTAGGTCCCTAGGGATCCTATAATAGTTGCTATCGTACGGTAGCTTATATTATAGGATCCGTGGTTCCTTACGATATAGCTTCTCTTAGGTTCGCTAACACTATATATTATTCTATATTATAGGGGTATAACGGAAAGACTATATATTTCTGTGGTATATTACGTGACTTATTAGTTAGTTGGCTCTTAGTGGCCTATCGGTGTGGCTTATAGATCTCTACTAATTAGTGACGGGAGTGCCTATAATATTACCTCCCCCTCTTCTAGGGTTTCGTCCTTAAAGCTTTTAAAGTCGTCGACCCCCCTCCGGTAAGTGGTATCGTTTTTATTTTTTCTCTTTTTCTTAATATCGTCTTCTCACTATACTTATTTCTAACGAAGTGTATAAGAGAAATAGATTACGTTAATATAACACTATCCTTATAGTAGGTTTGATTATTAATACTCCTTATAAACACTATTCTAATAACTTTATTAACTATATTATAGACTCGAAGAGTTAGAACTATATAGAGTGTACCTATCGCGGTTATAAATATATAAAGCGTTTCTATAATAACTATAAGTAGGAATCGCTTAAGCGTGATCGTTAGAAAGTGGCGATAGAGTTAGAGTAAGCCTAAAAGTAGTGGCTTAAATATTCTTAGTAAATAAATTAGGCGATATCGAAAATACTTCGCCTAAACAATTTGCATTTGTGCTGAGGCGGCCGTTTCTGGCCCCCAGGGAGGCCGAATAAGGCCTCCCCGGCACAGCCTAGTCAAACCACGCACCTCTTGCGCTTCGCCCACGGCGGCCAGTCGTCTTCCCCGTAACACGCGGCGTAACGATTCCTGATCTATGCGGGTCCCGCCCACACCCCTGGGCATGTCGTTCTATCAAGTTCTTCTCAGCCTGAGCGCGATCGTTCACATCCCTCCCCTTCATTTATTGAGGGAGATAAAAATGGCACGCCTACCTCAGCGATCATTGGCTCACACGAAAATGCTATCTTTGGCCATAAAACCGCTTCACCTAATTGATTTTATGCCAGCTCAAACCCTCCAGCGTAGAAGCAATCCTTCTTACTGCGTTGTCTACATTCATTACTTGCTTTGGATTTCATTTCCTGGATGATTTTCCAACTTCTAAGTACCATTTTATTTACGACCCTCCTTTTTTGCCCGGCATCAGCATAGTAAAGGATGAATCCAGCAAGACGACTCCCATCGAAAAAGTTGCAGGATGCAGACAGTGATAGCTCTGGCGTTTCGTTTCAGCCTGGATCGGACGGCGACGAGTCGGACAATAGTATGGTCTCGACAGACGACTTGACTTTTCCTGATCCTCCACGTCCACAGAGCGACCGTAGCCGTCACTCGAATCGTCCTCAACTCCACGTGCGCCGCCTAGCGAGTCCAGAGGGTCTGCCGGATTTCAGTGATGATCCAGACGATGATACAGATGAAGATCTCAACAAGATTCCTCTCGATTATGGACGGTCGGAGAAAACCAAGGTCAAAAGGGAATCTATGAAGCAGCGTTGGCATAAGTGAGTACCCGAAAGCTTCCTTCAGCGGCAAGGTCCGTATTGACCTGGACGAAGATTTTGTCGGGTTAAGGCATCGGAGCCTGATGCTCTACCAAAGTGGAACGACCCCGAAGATGCCCTCCGCCAACATACACCTAGCGATGTTCATCGATTTCTGAACTATCGCCTCAAGCTTAAGACTGGCAAAGGTGGTCGGCGCTTAAAACGCATCAAGAAAGCTAGCGCCCTTAAGGCCGAGTGGAAATGCTTTAGCGGCTACTATCGAAATATCACTCGAGCTAAGATCAGTTCTGAAGATAGTGAAGAGATTCACGCGGTAAGTCGTCTAGCCCGCAATATGTGCCCAAAATAGGTACGAACTAATAATTGCCCAGGGGATTCGAAAGCTTATCGTTAAATGGGATCTCGATGAACAAGAACGAGGCAAAGAGCCAGTCTATGTCCAAGATCTGACCAAATTCAATGAAACTGTTATTCGGACTCAAGAAAAACGGTTCAATTTGGGATTCGAGCGCATTCAGTTATGCCTCTTCAACATGATCGGTATATACACCGTAAATCGCCTGGGCGCTCTTCTTTCGCTGCAATTCAAGCATCTCCAGGTTTCTATTCAAAAGGATCCACTCGGCGGCCCTCCAATACCCCTGGTGGAGATCCGATCGGAGCATACCAAGCAGTTTCTAGGAACATCGCAAATGTATGTATACTCTTCAGACGGGAGACACTCATCATGCTAATACCTATATCAAGAAACAATTTTCCATTACCTGAGATAATCGATGATCCGTCGCTCATTTTTAGTCCCCATGTATTCCTCTTTGGTGTGTTTTTCTGGCTGAAAGCATTTGACCCATCCACGCTTGACTCAATGGAACGACTTCGAGAATTGCTGGTCGAAGGTGGCCGGCAGCAAATGGAATTGCCATTCAAGCCGGAATTTGACGATTGCTATCTCTTTTGCAAGGTAGCTGTCATGGATGGAGAAGTAGTGCCTCAGTGGAAAATTCCCATGAAAGAGAGCACCATGTCTGGACGGTTGACCAGTCTCGGAGAGATTCATGGATGGCTTCATTCCATGTTTGCCCATCGGTTTCGCTATGGAGGAGGGAAGATGTTGAATGAGAGTGGTAAGTTTCCGTTTCCATTGAACAAGCTTTTGTCTCTTAAAACAGAGTGTATTAAGCTGATCAATGTTCTGGATGGGATAGGTGCCGTGAGCGAAGCACAGCAAAATTTGATCATGAAACATACCGACATGCGCACCTTCTTGAATCACTACCTGCCGCGAAATATTGATACGGACATGCAAAATATTATGAATGGCCGTGAATCAAACACCGCATTAATGCGCGCCATCACCCGAATGAGTCGTTGGATTGATAAGAGACGTCCTCGGCACATTACACATGAGCAAAGGATGTCCATACGGGAAAATACAGAATATCTGGAGGCAATTAAACGAAGAGATGAACAAGCCAAAGCTTGCGAACACAATTCCGACACCCAGATGCTATTGCGACTTGCAAAACTGACGCGCGACGTTACGAATACTTCCAATCGTCTGGCTAGAAATTTAAAAAAGAAGACGAGGAAGGAGTTCGATCGCAAGCAAGCGGTAATAGACATCGAGCGCCAGCTCTCAGGATCCGCCGTGGATGACGAGGAAGCCAAGGAGGTTCTTCGGACCCAAGAACAAATGTTACCGGAGCAGATCAATCTTATCCAAAAGCTCTTCACGTGGCCGACATCTCAGTCCTTGGACTCCGAATGGAAACGGCGCAATACGGCTTCAGAAGCGATCGCCCAGTATTGTTCCGTTCTTGAAGGAGGACCTTTACGCGGGCGGCCCCCCAAGCGATCATCACCGAGCGGCGGATTCGATAACGAACAGCAAGCCGTGAAGAGGCATCTTTCGAATGAAACCTCTCAGCTTTCGACACGACCTGAGCGTGAAATTCTTCTCGAAGAATTTGATGAACACACCCGGAAGGCAGCGAAACCCAAAGCAGCAAGACCCCGAAGATGTTTCCAATGCTGTGGTAATATGAAGCTTCCAGATCACCGTCGTACACAAGAATGGTCGGAGCCTAAGTCTACCGTAAGGCATTTTCGAAAGCGGCATCTGAACGACCGCAAATGCAACATGTGTGAGATAGACCTTCTCCACGAGATGCATCTTCGGAGGCATGCACAAGACGTCCACCGTCTCTGTGTGTGAGGATGTGGCTTTTATATAGTACATTATACTGCATTTGCATGATTTGTGTCTAGGCCAAGCAAGATTCCACTGGCGAAACAGTAAATTGGCCACTACACTAAAGATAGCCAAAGGCATTGGTTCCAATCTCAGGAAAGGGAGCATTTTGTTCTTAGATTTAATGAGGACTAAGGTTTACAACAAGAAAAGGTATATACTTGAGAAATAGAGGTCAAATTGCTTTGATCGGCGAAGTGGACATCCAAACTGGCGAAGCTGTAAAGACCATTCAAATGGCAATCGTTACGAAGCTGTAAGCCTAACCGTCAGGATTTAAAGGCAGATAAAAAGCAAAATCAAGCCAGCACCAACTGATAACAATAGGCGTCATACCTGGAACACACTTGGAGCAAACCTGGAGCAAACCTGGAGCAAACCTGGAGCAAACCTGGAGCAAACCTAGAGCAAACCTAGAGCACACCTAGAGCAAACCTGGAGAAAACCTGGAGCAAACCTGGAGCACACAGGGAGCAAACCTGGAGCACACTCGGAGCAAACCTGGAGCACACAGGGAGCAAACCTGGAGCACACTTGGAGCACACTTGGAGCTGGCTTAGATGACTTGACCGACAAAAAGTTTCCGAAGAGTCAGGAGTCGTTGAATACAACTTTAGGAGTCATTGTTTGGGGAGCTACGGTATCCCAACCCGTTGAGTCTATTTAATTTTCGTTTTATTTTGCTTCTTAGTAGCCCCAGGAAGACGAGATAATCTGATCAGTATCCCTCCTGTTACCTCATGGACAATACCAATGTCCCTGTTCCCTTGCAATGTAGATAAAAAGAAAAGAATAGGCTGCACGCGCCTCTGTCGGGACTCAGACAAAGCCCCCAACGCTTTGTGGTTATAACGCTGGACAGATTAATTACAGACCCCAAGAATCGTCCAAAATCAGTTCGAAAGTAACAAAGTTAGAGATGAGATTCCAAGTTATCACTTGATCATGAGAAGAAGATGCTATCACATATTGGGCACACATGTAATCTCACCCTCGTTGAACGACGCATGGAGGAAATCTATCAGAAAAGAAATTGATTGGACTTTGCTAAAGCTGGGGCCACTGAATCGATAAAAAAGAATTAGTCGAAAACCTCGAACTGGCAAAAATAAATTGTGGGGTAAGAATTCGTCGGCATTCTGGTCAACGCCTAGGGATATGTTGATCTGAAATAAAGGCCATTTTGGCAGACCATCACTGATAGATAGGCACAAGTGAGAGAACATTATATACCCTTCACTAACACTATATCCGATACAAATACGGTGGCGAGCTCGTCTTGGACAACAAATATCTTAGGGCAAGACGATATGACCAAATCCGGGAGAATGGGATTGAATGTTCGAAAGAAAAAAGTATGCAGCTAAGTTACCGTAATTAGTGTAATTGAAGCCCACTGTAAGGCGGAGGCACCAATATCCTCCGGTATTCAAACCCATTGCTAGTTGGGACCTTCTCAAAGTGCTCGCCCCTTATCACGGCCAATTTATTGTCATTCAAATCGAATGGATGAGGCGAGCTATTGTGGCGCCCGACTTCGCTTTCCATACTGGAAACATAGAGATCTTCTTTCAAACCCTAATCACATGATTCCATAATTTAGCAGGTTTTGTAAATACTAGTAATATTACAATCCAGCAATACGGATAGGAAAGGTACAGGAGCTCAAAGTGTAAATTATAATCTTAGAATCTGAACGCGTATGGATATTGTCATTCGGAAATCCATTCTCTATTCGACGTCGCCGGTGATCAAAAGATAAAAGCCACAGCTGTATCGACACTGTAGACAAATGGTTGATTGTAACTAAACTTGCCAATCTCAGAGCATACGTCCAATAACGGCCCACGGTACGAAAACGCCCCTTGCATCTGACCTCCATTCTTCCAAACTATCCCCCTGCCTCACTGCTATCAGCTGACCTCGAAAAAAATACAAAATAAAGTCGTCATTCACTTTCCAATATCTCCTACGTTCTCCTTTTCATTCTTCCTTGTCTGGCTAAACACTGCATATAGCCGCTTCATGTCTGCGTTGGATTTCAGGCCCATTCAACCTCGTTTGCCAACTATTCAACTGCCAACCGCTGACGAACTAAAAGACTCAAACCTCACGGAAAGACACATCGGTACCGTGAGGAGAGCGTCAATTGCCTGCAAAGATTGTCAGCGACGGCGGACCAAGGTACACTGCCGACCGCTATCACCTTCCATGTCCGAAACACAGAGGAAATCTTTCAAACCCTAATCACATGATACATTAATATGTATGTAGTTAGTCCTGTATTTCGGAATCTGTTCCAAGGCTGAATTATAGAATGCTAAATACGGAACCATAAAAGTAGGTACAGTCACTAGCGAAATCTGCTTCCTCCCTGACACTTGCTTTTCTTTTCTCGGGACCCACTGCCAAGGCACTAGGGCCAAATTTTATTCAACGGGCATCAACATAAAATCCTTATCGAATGTATTGAGTTGTAATTTCCAGCGAAATTACCATTTCAAATATACCTCAAGATTTATAGGCATGGTTTTTGGTTGGGGCGTGCTAAGTATTGGATTATACACGTGATCCGTTTCTTGCAGGGCGATTGGCTCTGCTTCTATGAATACTTCTCTTCAACCGCATCAACTTATAAATGTCAGATTACTCCCCTTACATCTAATCTAATTCGAACAGTTTTTTTTTTTTTTTTTTTAATTCCCGCTGTGTTGTGGGGTCTTGACTTAGGCCAAGAATGCTGAATTGTGACTGCCTTCATTATTCGAAGAATAGATGCTGATGTTTCCCCTAATCTGGAATAGTGACTCTTCGTGCCTACGTAATATCCAATGATATTACGTAGGTTGGATGGAGCGGATTATGGTATTTCCCTAACGGGCTATAACACGTGACCTAATGTGGCAGGCAGGCCAAGGCGGGGTTGATTTGCTATTGGTGCCCCTTCCGGTGGAAGTGGGTCCACGAAACTTGGCCTTGAGGAGGTTTCGGTGCGGCGCGCCCCGTTGCCAATTCAGCAGAACAGACTTCCCCAGGAATGGGGCTTCATGGAAGGTTACACTGATCAGAGATCTCTGCCAACAACCGTCAATTGCATCACACAATAATGGACAAGATGAGTGCATTCCAAGGCTGATCTTGGCATTTCTTTGCTTCGATGGCGTGGAGAAGACGGCTCCCGCCAATAGCATCTCTTCTTTAACCCCCCGCTGCTGCACGTCGTGTTCATCATGAGGCTGAGTCTCCCTGGTTGGCAAACATTTTCCCTCTGTCTTACAGGGCTTCTTTCCTTCTCTCAAGCCTCCTCCGCTCTCCTTTGCTCATAGTGGCATATGTTGTCCCCATGAGTTAGGCCTCTATTGCACACCAAACGTCGGATTCCCGAAAGGTCACGCGGGCAACTGATTTTCAGGCATTTTCTCTCGCGCTGAAGCCATGTCAGATCCTGCGGGGTACACTGTGGGCTGGATATGCGCCTTGCCCGTGGAATACGTTGCCGCACAAGAATTCCTCGATGAAGAGCACGAAAAACCCAGCTTTGTGTCGCCAAATGACACAAACGACTATACATTAGGCAAGATGCACGAGCACAACGTTGTGATCGCCGTCTTGCCTGATGGTGAATATGGCACAGCTTCCGCAGCCAATGTAGCGACGAACATGCTGAATACCTTTCACAACGTCAGGGTAGGCCTCATGGTCGGCATAGGTGGCGGCGTACCAAGCGAAAAGCATGACGTTCGTCTAGGCGATGTCGTGGTCAGTGCGCCTCGTGGCGATCACGGTGGTGTCTTCCAGTACGACTTTGGCAAGTCGATCCAAGGGCAAAGTTTTCAACATACGCGGTTTCTAAACCAGCCACCAACTACACTTCGCACTGCGATGACGGGAATACAGGCGCAATATAAGAGAAATGGTCATAACCTCACAGAGGCCATCGACATCATTCTGGACACGAACGTTCGGCTGCGCGGCGAGTACGAACGTCCGGAATCAACCACAGATAGGCTGTTCCAGCCCTCTGTCATTCATGAATCAGATTGCGGTGCTGCATCCTGTGCAAATGATGCCTCAAACTTGGTTCTGCGGTGTCAGCGGTCCGAACACGAGGACAATCCTGCAATTCACTATGGCATGATTGCTTCTGGCAATCAGTTGATGAAGGATGCTTTGATTCGAGATCGGCTTGCTGCGGAAAAAGACGTCCTCTGCTTTGAAATGGAAGCAGCGGGACTGATGAATACTTTCCAATGTCTCGTCGTCCGGGGTATCTGCGATTACTCGGACTCGCATAAGAACAAACAGTGGCAAGGGTATGCGGCGATGGTGGCAGCTGCCTACGCTAAAGATCTTCTCCGAAGGATACCTGTAAACAGGATTGAGGCCGAGGAGAGGATCAGTGTCATTTTATCTGGTTAGTCTAGGCAGTCTTATCATCACCACGTGAATACATAGTAACCCACTGAATGATACAGACGTGCTGAAAAGTACCAACCAAAATTCAGATCGAGCGTACGATCAACGAGAGCGACACCAAGATGAGCGGAAAACAAGGGCTTTGACGGAGCAGCAACAAGACTGTCACCAAATTTTCAAGACATCGAACTACGAGGAGCACAAGGATATCAATCCACCCCGAGCGGAAAAGACTTGCCAATGGGCGTTACAGAGCTCTGAATACATTCGTTGGCTACATAACAACTGCAATGACCTGCTTTGGGTGTCAGCCGATCCAGGCTGCGGGAAGTCTGTACTAGCCAGATCGATTATCGATGACTACGTGCAAGCTTCATGTCAAGAAGTGACAATATGTTACTTCTTTTTTAAAGACAACGATGAACAGAACAATTTTGCTACGGCCCTTTGTTCGGTACTTCATCAGCTATTCAGCCAGCAGCCTCATCTATTACAACATGCCATTCCGGCCTGGGGAAAGAATGGGGAGAAGCTCCGACAAGAAGTTGACGAGCTTTGGCGGATCTTGATAGCGGCAACGTCAGCTGACATATCGTGCAAGACGATTTGCATATTCGATACACTTGATGAATGTCGTGAAACGGATCAACGCCGATTAATTGACAAGCTTCAAGCATTTCATCGCGGTCTATCTTCATCAACAGAGGAAACCTATTTGAAATTCTTAGTCACCAGTCGTCCCTACGATGATATACAGGATCACTTTCGAGTAATCACCGATTCGTTTCCGCATATACATATCAAGGGGGAAGAGCAGAATGACCAAATCCATGAGGAGATTGATCTGGTGGTGAGGATTCGAGTGAGAGAACTAGCCGAGACAGTACCACTGTCGCCAGAGCTTCATCATCGAATCGAACAGCAGCTGCTTCAAATGGAACACCGTACATATCTCTGGCTGCACCTAGCCATTGATGATATCCGTACTACCTTTAAGCACAACCTTCGACCTGCAAAGAATTCGATCACGCTTATACCACCTTCTGTGGATGCAGCATACGAGAAGATCCTCTGTCGAGTCCCAGCAGATGAAATGGACATAGTCAAAAAGATCTTAGAGATAATTGTGGCTGCACGACGTCCTCTAACAATACGAGAGATGGCTGTGGCGCTAGGTATTGCCACCTACCCCGAGGCACGAACAACAATGGAGGCCGGCCTAGATCCAACTCATCTACAGAGAAAAATTCGAAAATTATGCGGCTTATTCGTCTTTACTAACAACTCCAAAATCTATCTTATCCATCAGACTGCCAGAGAGTTTTTGATTCAAAAGGAAAATCTGAACAATCTCCATCTTACATATTGGAGCAGCCTGAGTAACGCAGAGGACCAGATGGCTGAGATCTGTCTGCGGTACCTTTTGATGGAGGACCTGGAAGACGACGAAGGCCAACCAAGATTTAACATGCGAGACCTTTTGGAATACTCAGCAGTACATTGGGCCGATCACGTACAGAAAATGACTTTGATGTTGGACCAGGAAGTGCCGAATCGACTACATCCAGTGTACGATATGCACAGAAAACGGGTTTCCCTATGGTTTCCTATCTTTTGGAGGGCAGTGATGCCATACAAAAGCGTGCGATCAATGAATGCACTCAATCTGGCAGCATTTAACGGCCATGAGCAGGAGGTTCAGTTTCTACTTGCTATTAAGAAACACGATATCAATGCGGCAGACGAAACAAGAGGAAACCCATTGATGTGGGCCTCGCGGAACGGACACGACAAAATCGTGCAGACACTGTTAGAGCACGGAGCCGATGTCAACGCCCAGGGTGGACACCACGGAAATGCGCTCCAGGCAGCTTCTTCTGGAGGACACGACAAAATCGTGCAGACACTGTTAGAGCACGGAGCCGATGTCAACGCGTATGGTGGACACCACGGAAATGCGCTCCAGGCAGCTTCTTCTCGAGGACACGACACAATCGTGCAGACACTGTTAGAACGAGGAGCCGATGTCAACGCTCAGGGTGGATACCACGGAAATGCGCTCTATGCAGCTTCTTCCCGAGCACACGACAACATCGTGCAGATGCTACTAGAGCACGGAGCCGATGTCAACGCCCAGGGTGGACACCACGGAAATGCACTCCAGGCAGCTTCTTACGGAGGATACGACAACATCGTGCAGATGCTACTAGAGCACGGAGTCAATGTCAACGCCCAGGATAGCTACCACGGAAGTCCGCTCCAGGCAGCTTCTTCTGGAGGACACGACAACATCGTGCAGATGCTGCTAGAGCACGGAGCCGATATCAACGCCCGGGGTAGAATGTACGGAAATGCGCTCCAGGCAGCTTCTTCCAGAGGACACGACAACATCGTGCAGATGCTATTAGAGCACGGAGCCGATGTCAACGCCCAGGAAAGATACCACGGAAGTGCACTCCAGGCAGCTTCTTCCGGTGGATACCACAGAATCGGGCAGATGCTGCTGGATCCCGGAGCCGATCAATCTGTACGCTATCGCTCCCCTTTCAAAAGGCTGAAGAATTTTATGAGTCGTAAGAAATATACAGTCTAATGAAATACAATTCTACTGCCTTCATCCTACACTCTCAGGCACCTCGGTAGCGGTGCAATAATTATTTCTCACCATTGGTATATCTTTTGTTAGAAATATAACACAAACTCATGATTTCGAAGGGATGCGGCCATTGGCCAATTAGTTGGTTCTTGTCGAAGCAAAATGGTTTTGCTTATACTATATACATTCAACTGTTCCTTTCAATCTTCACTTTTTTTTGGCTAATAAGCGACCATTTGTGACGCATGGAGCTGGCAGAGCTGGCAGAAGACCTAAAGAGGCAGGTGGTGTGGAGGAAGCAAACAAGCAAGACGAGCGCCTCCCCTCTTTCTCTCTTCTTCTTCTCTCTCCACTTTAGTGTCTTGAAATGAATGGACTTCATTATTGAAACTGCCGCCTCACACCATTTCTGTCATTCGCCATGCCTGTCTATCTTACTCACCATGTAACGTGCATAGGCAGCGGTATTGTAATGTAAGCCGATTGTATCGTGCCGGCTTAGTATTGTCATTTTCGTTCAGTTATAAATGGCCGTGCAATTAAAACCTCCCACTGATGTCTTGGCAGTGGGGCACTTGTGATATTTTTGAATATTCAGGGTGGAAGCTGTTTTCGCTAGTGACTGTAATTTCTGTATGTATCATTACAATTCGTTGGAGGGTGACGTCGTTCCAACGCAAAGGGTCCCAATTCCAGCACCAATCCCCTCCCAGCCTTCGTAGTTGTGACAGCCTCGCTGAAAAGCCCAGCTGATATGTCGATTTGCTCCAGAATGATTCAATCGATTCGCACACTGAAGCTAACAAAATTGACTTCGTCATAATACCAACATAGACGCCTTGAAAATCCCCCTTGGCAGTGAATACTCAGATGAACAGCTGCTCTCGACAACAGCAATACGTATCTTAAAGGGAGAGTCGGTCACTTGTCGGACAGGGCTTCCAATCACCATCCTGTCCAGTTAGGTAGTATACCGTTTGAACTAGTTTAACTTGTTGGAAAAATTGGTAATAGCTCTCTTCTCCATGCTCAAGAGTTTCATAGGGTATGCACCCCGCAATACTCTTGTCGACCGTGCAGGATATCCATTTCCCATCGTGAAATTTCTTCTGCACTTTTCCCTCGCTTGGAATCCAAAGATGATTATCCTCGGTCATATATCCACCTTTCTCCACCTTCCATTCACGTTGAATATTATCAACGACAACGCGAAAGTAAATTGGTTCTATCTTTGTGGCGGTTGCAAACTTTGGGTCCAAAGAGTCTCCGTCTACCAAGACCGTCATAATATTGAATGGTTCAGCAGAAGACCCTAGACTCTGTACCTATTGCTGGTACTTGGAGGAATGTAATTTTCTGTGTCGGAAATATCGAGAATAGATCACTTATTTGGATGTTAGGATCACAACGCAAATAAAGTACCTTAACCAAAAGCAATTACAGATATGAAAGAGCTTTCGAGGAAGCGTAAGAGAAACATCGTTTTGACTGACCGTAGAAACTGCAACCTTAGCAGAGCATAAGATTGAGGAGGTGAAGAGACCCGATTGCTAACCGTGTTAGGGGGGAAGGGGGGGGAAGGGGAGGAAGAGAGGGAAGGAGAGAGGGGGAAGGTGGGACACCGAGGTCGAACCTTCCAGCTATCCAGGTTACAGTACTATTACTAGATCTCCCGTATCTTTCATACGCGTATTTTAAAGTCGTGGTATTTTTCTAACTGGTTAGCTACAAATGACTGGAAATCCCATCGAGCCAGTGAGTGATCGGCGACGAGGGGCGTCGGGCGTTATCGCATTCGGGTCCAGTTAGGATTGGCACCAGGGGCCCACCGATCACTTCAATCCGTAGACGAGGTCAGCAGGAACAAAGGGACGGAGAGCCCAGGGTTTCTTGGACAGGAGGAACGAGCAGGATAGCCATTGGAAACGTAGAAGGTCCGTAGCACAGTGGATCACCTAGTCCTATTCTTTGTTCCTGTGCTACATACTAGCCTACGAAGACCATCGTGCCCTTTCGCCGACCACAGCGCCTGCAATGGTCTGCGGCGCAGAAGGGGTCTGTGACAACCCTGGCCCTAGCTTCCGGGGGGCCAGATCCGGCTGGGAATGGGGCGCACGGACGGCAATTTGGACCAGTAACCTTGGAGCGACCAGATTCCCGGTCTAAGCTGTCAGCGATATTTCTGGCGTACGCACCAATGGGCCCTGCAGTGTTGGGCGTTGACAACCGGGATTAGCTGAAAGGCACAAGGGTACTTAGTAAACCCCACTGAGCCCCACTCTCCCCCGGTCACTTTATTCAAACCGTTCGAGTTGAAATTTTTGCTGCTACATGTTCAACCAGGGGTTGGGCTAAATCGCTGGACGAACAATGAACCGTGGTTGATGTAACTCTCGGTCCAAATCCTTTGTATCTCGATTGCTGCATGATGAGTCACAGAATCAAGACTCAACCGCTGGACAAACAGGAGGCCCTGCTCGATGTGAGTCCGTTCGCAGGCTTCGAACATACGTGCTGTTGCGGGCAACCTGGTCAAGTCCCGGACCCCGAACGGGCTGGGGGTTCCTGCTGTTTCAGGTATCCTGGTTAAATTCAACCCCCAAACGGGCAGGGAATCCCTGCTGCTGCATGTATCCTGGCCAACGTCCAACCACCTTACTGACAGGGGATCCCCGCTTCTCGAGGCACCCTGGTCAAGTCCGACCGCCGAACGGGCAGGGGGTTCCTGCTGTTTCAGGTATCCTGGTTAAATTCAACCCCCAAACGGGCAGGGATCCCCTGCTGCTGCAGGTATCCTGGTCAACGTCTGATCACTGACAGGGGGTCCCTGCTGCTCGAGGCACCTGGTCAAGTCCAACCACCGAACAGATAGGAGGCCCTGCTCTTTTATTTGATACCCCTGCCTCTGCATATTGACCCGCAATTTGAACCTCCACCAGTCACTAATAACAAAGCTTTCTCGATGCAAGTTTACTTCTGTTCGTCTATGTGGCCACTGCTCTAGCGGCCGGCGCGCACGAACTGAAAGGCTCCATTGCGGGATCCTCCCCGGGTACATTTTGCCTACTGTTTTATTGCTGTGCATATCCCGATACGCACCGAGCACATACACCAACCATCGCTGTTGATCAGCAACTAAGCTACACGCTACTACTCAATCCCCAACAGCTTCGGAGAACAAGCGCAAGAACCCACATGGAGCAGCCACACTGGGACGCTAAGCCCTCACCTCATTAGCTAGCTGGTACTTCGAGCGCCCCCACAAATGTACTCATTGCCCAGTAGAGCTAGACCGGGAAATGGCACCACTTTACAGTAGCGACCGGTATCGCCTTCCATGTTGGGAACACATAGATCCTCTTTCAAACCCTAATCACATGATGCGCTAATCCATATATGAATAGTGCGTAAATAATTCGATGTGTACCTAACCAGGTAATAAATACCAGGAGCTTAAAATACCAGTATGGAAGATACAAAGATCTAGGACTAGACGCTTGGACTTGCTGGAAGGTTCGATGCAAAATCGGCAAACATATAAGTCTTTAGACAGGCAATCTGTCGACAATTCCATTTTTCATCTTGCAGGTTGCATCACTGCAAACAGCCGGTACTTTTTAGGAGTCAGGTCCGAGTCAGTGTAGTAGGCAAGGCTCGACAGTAAGGCATATTCACAACCTTCGCCACTACTTATCATCATGTCATGGCTTTGGAACTCATTGGATACTAGAGATTACTGGCTAACCTCTTCCATTTCCATCTGCTTAGGCGTCCCTTCACTTGATGTCGGTTGCTGTCAGCGCATAGCTACTAGGACTTGAGCCCCACTTTGTATTTAACCCAGATTTTACGCATTAATACAAAACACCGTTTTTGACCCCTTCCTCCGACAGTTGCGCGATGCCTAAGGCACCGATGCTGCCTGAGGCAGTCATGTGGGAGATCTAGTTTATCAGTAGATAGCTTCTCTCTCCCCCCCCTCCTGCTTCTCTTCCCTTCCCTGTCCATCCATTATCATTCAATACAAGACAGTACATTACTTTTCCATTTCATATCTGATTGTATCTGCCTTGCAAGACTTGAAGATCTCCACAAATGGCCAACAAGGACGAAAATTCACAATATGCCCCCACCCCCGGTTACTTTCGTCGTACGCCTACCATATCCACTCCTACGAACGCGTTCTCTTGGAAGTATAGAGGGCTGAACTAGCGCTATTGAAACTCAATCCCCTGGATTTCAACCTGACTAAAATCGCACTGTCTGTTTAAGCTTCTTGATAGTTATAAGAAATCACCCTTCGAACTCCAGTGATGGCTTATTGATATGTCGATAGTCTGTATCGGGGAAAGGTTGTAATCCTATAGCGATCCTGTTCGAATTGACTTGCCACTGTAGATTGCCAAGTTCAGTCAAATCAAGAGTATGCATCGTTTCAATATTTGGACGGCACTCCGGACTTGGAAGTAGCCTGTCGGCCAGATGAGAGCTCGATCCTGTCAATGTATATCCACCATAATCGATGTTGATATCGAGAAGGCGTGGTAACTTGCACAGTTGCAATAGCACCTGCTGCCATGTCCCAGACTTTAATTTCACCAGCCAGAAACTGATGTACTTCATTTTATGCGCAGATTGGTTGATAAGCGAAAGGAGAACGTCGGATGAAATGGAAACCCCTCCTAGATGAAGAGACTCTAGACAAAGGGTAGATGGAAAGGTGACAGAATCGAAATCTAAAATATTGACACTAGACAATATGAGTGATTCGAGTTTTGGCGCATTTTCAACCATTCTGAATAAATGGGGGGCATAGGTGCCATTGGGAAGAGCAGCATATTCCGGCAAAACTGGCGTCTGTCTGTGCCTCTGGTCCGCCGAATCCGTATGTGCACAAACGCATAGTTCTAGGTGTCGAAGATGTTGCAGAATATCTTCAATAGGGATTTGTAAAGAATTGGTTCTATTCGGAAAGAAACGTCCAAAGTCGTGGGTGATAGGAAATCTGACTTCAAGTTCTGACAGGTTTGGAAGCGGCGCGTAACGCAATATAGAGATAACTGTGCCCATATAAACTGCTCTCTGGGCTTGCGGTAACGATAAGGGCGGTTCGTGAAATCCAAGGGCCCTGAGATTGGTGAATTTGACCAGAAGGGAGGAGTGCCATTCTGCTAGGGCCTCGATATATAGTGTGATGGCATCAGACGGAAGCCTTTCCTTAAAGCCGAAGTCAATTTGACAAACACATGTAGCATACGGGCTTTTCGATAACTGTATAAGCCGCTCTAGAGACGGAGTCACCAGCGAGGAAGTACACTCTGCATTGATATGCCGGAACAGCCAAGGTGACGCGCTGCGGCAGAAGGCCCTGTTGACAAGGCGCAGGTTGGCTAAGTCCCGTCGAGCCCCGCCTTTAAAGGTCGAGTATTTCCTAGCATCGTCTTCCAAATATAAGAACTCATTGTACACGTTCCAAACACGATGAACGATCTGTAAGGAATGTTAAGCACCAAGCAAAAAAATTAGCTGACACAATCCTAGGCCTTACATGATCGTATATCTCCGTAGGGATTTGCATGCTGTTTTCCAACTTCTTTCAAATTTGAGCCTTCAGTGTGATTTCGTGAGGTCTGGCGTTGGTAGTCAGAAGAGGGGGTCGGTCTTGTGATGTACCGTAACAATACACAACAGATACCTTACTAAGCCGTTTCTTTGCATCTAGTATTATACCATCCAGCCCTTGTGACGGATCCTGAAATACGGAAATAACCATATACGGGTTAGCGCAGCATGTGATTAGGGTTTGGAAAAGCTCCTCAGTATTGTCCGACATGGAAGGCGAAAGCGGTCGCTACTGTACTTGCAGGTCGCTACTGTAGATCAGGAGCTACTGTATTCAGAAGGCGATCCTGTAACTATCGCTACGAATGGACGACTCCGCCATGGAAAAGGGTAAAAAGGGCAGGAGACCTTTCCCTGTCCTTCGTCCCCCATCTTCTCTCCTCAAACCCGCCTACCCCACTACTCTACCCGCACAAACCGCCCCGCATCACGCCGATCAGCCTTATGACCGTATCTCGACCACCCACGGCACCATCGCCGCCAGGGCTGTCTCATTTCATGGACAGCTCCTAAGCGGCGTCACCCCTCTCCAACTAGCACAGAATGGCCTGTATTACAAGCCACTAGGGCCGAACAACCGAGCTGCATGCTGCTTTGCCTGTGGAACGACAACCCCTTTAACCACATTCTTGCGAGCCCCCATCGAAGAAATACCGCGACTTCACACAGAGAATTGCATGTGGCAGATCATCTATCGCGATCTAAAATCACATTTCGAAAACCCCGATCCAGTGTCCCAGTCAACAACTACTTCGGCCAAATCAACACCTACGCACCACCACCTTCCCTCCAACAGATTACCCCCGAAGGCAACCATTTCGAACCTCAGCATACAGTACGAGAAATCTCCAGCGGCCGGTCCTACTACTCTTACCAGACCCCCACCAACCCCGCTACCTCAACCGCTACCGTCGCAGCAAGCCGGCTCTCCTCACCCTCTCCAATTGGCACAGACTGCTACTTCTCCACCTCAACTCCAAAAACCGACCTACGCCTCGGTCATCCAACGTGCACCCACATCTTTAGCGCAACCGACACCTAAAACTCACCAACCCGCACCTCCCCCTCAAATTCACACTCACAATCGAAGATCTTCATCGTCGTTTTCACAATAAACCACCACCGTTCAAGGACGACAAGAAAACCAGGAAACATCCGGCTAATCGAGCCCGCAACAAACCAGCTTCGGCAACACATTCTTTAGCCAGATTCTTACACTCAGCATTGCCCGCATTCTCGCGGTTCCTATCAGAAATGCAGCCAAATCCGGACAGTCGCTATCCGTCTCACTTGAAATTTCACAACAGCTGCGCCATGAAGGCAGCCTAACAATGGGAACGGCAATGGGCCAGGGTAGGCCGTGACGAGGCTCTAAGTTCCTGTCAGAAAGTGGATCATTCTAAAAGTACATACTCGGATATATAGTTGTCGTATACTGCATATCGCTTTGCGAGTTGAACTCTGGATTGAGGTACAGGTGTGATATTTGATCTATATGGAGAGATCCAGCTATTTGTAGTTGCAGCAGCCCTGCTGCCTAGCGGAGTGTCTGCCTAACAGGCAGCCACTCCTATAGATCTATATACATCACGTGACCTGGGATCCAACTCTCCCCCTGTGCCAAGGACCCGAAGGGGCCGAGGCACCTCAAGGATCCCAGAATTTGATCTGGCATTGTCTGATCTTTCTTTAAACGAAACTGCAGACTCAACACCTCCCCCTGAATGGAGATTGAGACGTTCCACAAGGTCTTCGTGTGTAGACCTCGGTAAAGCTTTGGTAAAAACATCTGCCAAGTTTTCCTTTGTATTGACGCGCTGGGTATCAATAAGACCTTCCTCCACCTTTTCCCGGATGAAGTTATGCTTGACATCAATGTGTTTGGCCCTGCTGTGAAACTCTGGATTCCTGGTGAGCTTCAAGGCTGCATTATTGTCGATATAAAGGGGAACTTTGTCAATATGTACTCCCGGGATGCGGAGGTCATTGATAAAGTTGCGAATCCACATAGCTTCCTTCGCAGCCTCGGCACATGCAATGTACTCCGCGTCCATGGTTGATGTAGCCACTGTTTTTTGTCTCTGGGATGACCACGATATGGGCCCTCCAGCAAGCGTGAACACCCATCCAGTTGTTGACTTACGCGAGTCCTCACATCCGGCAAAGTCGCTGTCAACGAAACCCCTCAGCTGAAGACCGTATTTTTCTGAATAGACAATTCCCTTCCTGGCGTCGCTCTTCAGATATGCAAAAATGCGATCCACGGCATCCATGTGAGCCCGGTTTGGGTTGGATGCGTATCGAGCTACATATCCGGTAGCAAAAGCAATGTCCGGTCTTGTCTGATTGCTGCTGAAATTGAGTGATCCGACCTTTGACTGATATTCTTTCCGGAATTTGGTGTTGGCAACGTAGTCGCCCTGTTTCGCTAGCTTGATCTTCGTGTCAAGAGGAGTCTTGGCAGGAGCTGCATCTTTGAAGCCATATTTGTTGACCATTTGGTCGATATATTGTTTTTGATGGAGATGGATTTCTCCAGGCTTCTGCTCAACGTGCATTCCTAAATACCAGGAACACTCCCCCTCGTCGGAAATCGGGAATTCCTTTGAAAACTGTGCCTTGAAATCAAGGATTGTCTGAAGGTTTTTGCCCATCACGTTTATGTCGTCCACGTGGACCTCCAGGATGAGCCCGGTCGTGTCATTGATGAAAACGCATGGATCGTATGCGGACATTCGCCAACCCCAGTGGACAAGAGTGTCCCGGAGTTTCTGATACCACGCCCGAGGTGATTGTTTTAGACCATAAAGGGCCTTCAGAAGTAGCAAACAGCATCCACGCGTTAATTGTACATCACTAGGGGGTCTCATATAGACTGGCTTGTCCAAGTCGCTGTTTAGGAAAGCCGTCTTGACATCTCCCTGGTGGATGTGCCAATGGCAAATCGCTGCCAACGCGAGCAAGATGCGGGTTGAAGCGGACTTGACAACGGACGCAAACGTCTCCTCATAATCAAGGCCCTCTTCCTGCTGAAAACCCCTGGCTACTAAACGAGCCTTGTGCCTGGTAACATTCCCGTCTGCTCCGTATTTGTCTGTGGTGACCCATCGTGAGGTGACTGGTTTAATTCCTTTGTCGAGCGGAACGATCGTCCACGTTCCTTTCTCTTCGTGGGACTTTAACTCTTCCACTTTAGCCTGATGGTATTTTGAAGGACTCGGCTTCAATTGGAGGGCCGGCACAGTGTGTTCACCATACGCAGACAGCCCGAACTTGAATTCCTTGTGGCCACTCTCGGCTACATCTTGCTCAGTGTTCACTTCTTTGTCATGTCGATCGGTGTCAATTGTCCTTTGCCCTTCATATGGAATGAGTTCCACCTTCTTTTGTCTGATGTCAGATGTGTTTCCCAATTCGTGAGGATGTCCCGGAATTCTAGACTTCCTTCGACCCGTGTATTTTTCGTAGTCCTCGCGGAGATTCTGCTCGCCCAGAGCTTTCAACTCAAATGGACGAATCGCCCACGATTCATATGTCCCGTCAGAGCGGCGATAATTGCAATTAGCAACATGGGTGTTGGGCTGTGCTTTAATGCATGGGTAACAGGGCTGTCCCCCGTCACAATTCAGCCTGCTTCTTCGACAGCGCACGCATTCTTCGTCAGACGATTCTCCTTCACGTAATGGGCCTACCGACGAAAATCCTATCGGCAGTGGTGACTCGGGTACGTGATAGAGTCTGGTAAGCAGACCATTCTGGACTCTGTAGCTGCAGGTTGATTGCTTGTTGATGCACGCTTTGCAGGGCCGTCCACGGTCACACATCCTCCCACTTCCACTCTGACTCCCGTACCTGCATTGATCGCATGGGGGCAAATCATCGACCCCTTGTGGTCGACATGATAGACGCTGAAGAAGAGTGGTGCACCTGTTGCACGGGATCTTTCCATCGCATGCCATTATTTTCGCTGCGCACCGGTAGCATTTCTGATCGCGAGGAACTGGTACAAATCCAAGCTTTTTATGCCTTTCCTCCTTTTCTGCCTGTCTTCTCTTCTGTCGTGCTGTTGACTTGTTGGCCCCATCCAGGTTCCAATTGCAATTGAGTTTGGCTTTTTGACATGCTTCGCATTTTGGGTTGCTTGGGTCAATGAGAAAACAAGTACGGTTCGTCTGGAAGCATCTTCTGCATGGCTGGTCCTGTTGTACTCTTCCAATCTCTTTACGCCTGTGGCGGTTCTCAGGAAGTATCAGGCGTTTTGTTTCCTTCGACTGTGACCTGCAGCCTTGGTTGTCTCTTCTGCAGATCGAACAAGGCATCCCATTCTCAGCAGAGTCGCACCTTCTCCCGTTTCGGAAACAACGGTCGCATTTACCATCATTAGGCAGAAAATTCTTCATGTTGTTACCGCCATGTTTTGCGACAAACTGCCAGTAAGCCTGTGAAACCTTTCCGTCTTCTGAGTAGTACCAGGAATCGTCGTTCGAGTCCGACAAATCTGAGTCTGAATGCTCTAAATTGATGTCACGTTGTCCGTGAGTGGCTCGGCGGCTTTTCCTTGGCGCTATTATAGGATCATCGGGAAACTTGCGTTTGGCCATGCCGGCGTGTTTGGGTTGATTGAAATACTTGGACACCATTTTTAGTCCCAAGTCTCCGTCGTCGGTCTCGTCTTCATCATCGGCGTCTTCGACCTCATCTTGTGACTCGTGTGTCGCTTCGGAAAATTGGTGCTCTTGGTCAGCAATTTCCTCATCCGAGAAGATTATAGTCTGTTGATCATGGCGGGAGCCACCGTCGTCATGATCACTGTTTGAATCACTTGAAGATTCTGACCCGTCTTCCGAGGGATTGTTGTCCGCAACAACAACAACATCTGGGGTGGGGATCCTATCTTCCAAACATGGTGCATCATGAGAGTCGCGCAGCCCTTCACCGTCTTCAATCCTTGCAACGCCGATCCGATATACCTTGTGTTTCTCCGGAGAGTAGATATGGTATATTGCCTCACTCTCACATCCGACAAAGTAGCCCAACCAGCCACGAGGATTATGCAGCTTCGTCATCTCAGCCGTGTTTCTCAGCTCTTGCGGATACGTGACATATGCTCGACTGCCCCAGATTCTCTCTCTTGTGAGAGTTGGTTTTATTCCCCGCAACGCTTCATATGGTGTTTTTGCATCCTTCTTGCGTAGTGCACGCGCTGGAGTTCGATTTTTTAGCCAGACAGCATGCTGTATAGCTTCGGGCCAGAGGTTCTCGGGAATCTTGGAAATTCGTAAGAGCTCGTTGCCCTTCTCGGAAATAATCTTGGAGAATTGTCCAGAGATGGAAGTTTCTTGAACCATAGGTGCGGCCTTTTCACGAATCGTACGGTTTGTCCTCTCAGCAACACCATTTTGATAATGGGCGTATGGCTCGATGGGTTCTCGCGCGATAGAATGGGAGTTGCACCATTTACCAATCGGTCCCCTTTCAAATTCGTTATCAAAGCGACAGCACCGGATGGTAATATTGAAAACCTTCTGGATCAATTTGACCAGCGACTTGAAGACTTCGAAGAGCTGATACTTTTTATCGAATCGTGCGCTCCACGTGTACCGCGTACAGTCGTCGGTAATGAACAAGAAGTACCTAGTTCCATCAAATCCTTCGATTGGGTATGGTCCCCACACATCCATGTGAACCATCGCCCCCGGTTGTTGAGCATGGCGCGAGGCAGGGTCGCGTGGAATCTTGACCAGGGCTCGTGTAGTCGCACATACGGGACAAATAGCCTTGAGCTTGGCTTTGATCTGCTTCTCGGTGATTTCCATTCCAGTTGAGCTGCGCAGCAGATTCAACATGTTTTGAAAACCTAGGTGCCCCAACCTCCGATGCCATTTCCATACGGGATCATCAAAGTCCACTGTGGCTGCGATGACACCAGCTGTCATATCATCGCTGGGAAGTTTTGTGGCGTCGAGGTGATACAGACCATTGCCGAAGATGGCATGTCCGATCATGTGTCCGGCATAATTCATCCATGTCATATATTGCTCATTGTAGATGCCGGTTACTTTTGCCTTTCGGGTGAACATCCCTCCCGAAAATAGGTTGCATTTGCCTCGAGGAGCATAAGCAACTTCCGAAAGCGATACTTTCACTGGAAACCCATCAGGGCTTTTTAGGACAAGATTGACAACTCCCGTGCCTTCAATTTCAAGGGTAGTGGACCCGTCTGCGGTGCTGACTTTTAAATTGGATGCGCGGAAAGTATCTTTCTTAAACCATTTCATGTCATTAACGATATGCATGTTCGCTCCAGTGTCCGCTAGCCATGTGTCTGTTGTACAGAAACTGCCTGCCAAGAAAGCCCCCAATACAGGTTTAGAAAAATCCAACATCGCGGGCACTGGGTCCCCCATATCAACTCCCCCTGATCCCCGCAACTTGATGCAAGAGATAGCTCTATGCATCTGTGGCGAAGGGTCAGCTGGTTTCGCAGGAGTTGAAGGGGAGGGGCCCGTACCTAGAGCATCAGTCCGGATATAGGTGTCTTTGGAGTCGGTGAGATTCATTTCTACGACACCACCCATGCCATTAGTGACAACGGCCCTGTTGGTGGACTTTTCTTTGAGAGATCGTGGAATTTTCTCGGGGTTCTTAACCCAGCAATTATCTTCGCTATGGCCAGTCTTGCCACAGCCAGGATAGGTGCACTTGAGGTGATGTCTGTCCTCCCGTCTCGGCCTGTAACGAGTAGGATTGTCCATGTTCATGGTACTGCTGTTGCTCGCATCTCTCTTGACCTTGTCTCTGGCCTTCCTCTCTTCTTTAATTTGAAGTTGGTGCATTTCTTCCACATGCATGCGTTCAAAAAGATAGTCCAGATCGGGGGAGTCGTCAGGTTTGGTCGACCTGATCCAATCATACTTCTCTTTGAAGCTGCGATAGCTAGGAGGAAGGCCATGAAGAAGAGCGGTTGCAAACATGTCGTCAGTCATATCATATTTGACCGTTCTGAGATCAGCCTTGATCTGGCGTACTTGGTTGGTGTAGTCGGTCACAGATTCACAATGATCCAGCTTGAGATCGTGTAACCGATTCAACAGGACATCACGCGCACGTTCATTTGTGACTGCGTATCGCTTTTTGATAAAGTCGTAAGCTTCTTTGGCGTCTGCGCAATCTTCGATCTCGATGTTGATGCCGTCGGAAATCCAAGCGTCGAGCAATCTGCTTGCAAGTTTCATCTTTTCCTTCGCATTCTTGTGTTCGTTGTGATCGATCTGCCATCGGAGTGTGTTGTTGGTCATCAAGACAACTGCCTGGCCAGCATCCGTCTCGTTTTCGTCATCGGTTGACGGGCTTAAACTTTTCTTGATCCGGATGGACCGACGATTTTCGGTGTCAAGGTCCCTCACAAAGTATTCGTCTTTGTTGGGCTTGGGAGGGACGACTTCTTCGCCCGTGAGAAACTCAAGAACATCATTTGCTCTGGCTGCTCGCTCAAACTCGCGTTTCCAACTGATGAAGTTGGTTTTGCCTTTCAGCTGTCGATCTGGTTTGACTTCATCCATCTTGGAATATGTTTTGTCTGGTGCCCTGAATTGGGCGTCTGGGGTCTGGGGTCTTGATCACTGATCACTTGTGTCCATCCAAAGGCTTGTCTAGAAAGAGAGGCTCATAACCAGTTGAACTCTGGATTGAGGTACAAGTGTGATATTTGATCTATATGGAGAGATCCAGCTATTTGTAGTTGCAGCAGCCCTGCTGCCTAGCGGAGTGTCTGCCTAACAGGCAGCCACTCCTATAGATCTATATACATCACGTGACCTGGGATCCAACTTTGCGAGGGGTCAGTGTAAATGAATTCTACTACTACTACTACTACTACTGTACTTGCATTCAGCTTGGGAGCTTGGTACACCGTACCCTTGCTCTCGCATGTTGAGTAAGGTCCCCGTCACTGGACAGACAAGGGTGTCTGCCGAACTCACTCGCAGAGGGCCGGCTCCTGCGGGTACACTAGTCAAAGCTGAACAACTATAAAAACGCAACGCTAAAGCCGTACAATAGGCAGGTAGCTTTGCATAGGACAAAACTTTTCCTTGAAAATGCGGCTCAACTGGATTCCAACCTTCAGGAACAGGAGATAATTCGCAGATTTGTATCTGTCGGAGCTTGGAAACTCTTCCAAAGAGCAATTCCGACATCAGGCAATCGCGTCATGAAGACGAGTTTGAAGCGATTCCTGAACCATGTGGGCATATTGGATTCAGAAAGTGTTGACAGCAGTACTGAGGCATACGAGGACATCATTCGTCGTGGACAGAGGTGCGAACATTTCTGCCTGGAACTTGCTCTTGGAAAACCAACCGATGAGAGTATGGAGCAGAGTAGCACCAGAGTCGAAGCTGAGGCAAATCAAGCAAACGGACATGAGATCTTTGGACCCTTATTCTTCTCTTCAATTCCCGGCACAATGTAAGCATCGATATAGTATCACTACCTACCTTTGCTCACAGATTCAGATTTGATGAAAGGTTTAGCCTTGTGGGGGACGACTTTAAAAGCAGCATAAACTATCTTCGGCAAATTGATATTTTGGAGGCATCTAAAAAGTCAAATGCTACAGATATGGCAAAAGCGTTGCTCGACTTCCATCAAACGTTCTTCTGGGTCGATGGAGTAGAGGCACTCTCTTCAAAGAAGAGGAGGCGCGGCGGAGAAGGCCACAAAACCGCCTATAGAAAACGAAGCAGAGCCTCATCCATCGCCAAATCTATACACCATATTACCCGGGGAGCAGAAGATTCTTTCGCCAAAGCCGTGGGAGGAGAGATTTTCCGATCTAACATTACGGCACTTGACCCAACCCCTGAGAGGCAGGGTTTAGAGACCAGGGTACTACGTGAAGGTCACACAGCCTCAACGGCACTTCGCCAACAAGGAGAGCAAGAAGTCGGCTTTATTCATGGTGCAGAAGAAGCCCAGTCTCGACCCGAGATTCCACATTTGGCTGCATACTCCAGAAGCTCCATGGAATGTGTCCTGCCAGAATCTGCACAATCTCAAATAACGCACCTCGATGCTACTGCGCTGGATGTCGTTACTCTTTCCCACATCACATATCCAGAATTCTTTGACGCTGCTACTCTCGATTTTGTCGGCCCATTTCTCGAGGCGGCTGAGCTCGACTTTGTTGATCCGGAATCACCTGTTTTCGTAAATCCATTTTCTTAACAGAATCATCTGTGTTCATAAATCAATTCTCTTCAGTCAAACATCTCGCCCGACCCGAATGAATTATAGCAGGATGTCGCCTAAGAGTTTCTTTCATCGACTAATTTCTGTTTCCATACTAGATATAAGACATCTCCCCCGGCGAGCTCCACGTGAGCTTTCTTCAAGATGCATACCTTCTTCCCGCCTATAAGGGGATAGGTGTGCTCTCCAACTTTGACGTTACAGCCTTCACTAGGAGAAATGGGAATGAGCTCTCCAATCCCAAGCCCAAGCTCCCAACCCGAGTGACGTGTCCTAAATGTAGCAACGCGGAAATTCTGCGATCATCAGAGCTAGATTCCCCTGACGGAAAAAAGAAAGAAGAACGCACCTGGGCGAGTCTCTTTTGAATCTGTCGAAGATTTGTTTCTGGGCATTGTTCGACGAGTTTGAGGCCAGCAACTTCGTTCCACTGCGCTTGTGGATTCGCCTTCAGCCATTCTTCCAAATCTGCCACAACCGTTTGTTCATGACAGTCAAGGTCCTTCTGAATAATTCCGTCGCTGTCGGGCGCGTTCATGTGTAGGGATTGATGATCTGATAATGTGTTAGCCCGCTTTTAGAAAATACTGCGGTCGCCATAGGCAAGATAACGGATTCAGAAGACCTTTCCTAGGCAGGTAGGTATCATTAATTTCGTACTGGTGCGACACGATAGCTGTCTTATCAGAACAAAACCTCTCGGCAAGTGGGCAGAACTGATGTGAACAATTCCGGAGTAAGGAGGGCTCCGCGCCAAAAGCTCACCTGGAGACACGAATATTATTGAGTAAAGACTTCGGGTAGCAAATCAGCACCTAATCCACATAGAAAGTGACACGTTTTGGGCGTCTCATGGGTCATGGAATGGTTGTTATTCCCGACAGCCTTCGTGGCCGCGAAGACGATAGCCCCGCGCGGGTCTTTATCACGTGAATAGCGGTAGAAATCGAGAACAGATTACCCCTCAGACACACACGCTTTCTTTCCCAGTGGCCCACTCCAATCGCACTAAGCTGAAATCGGCCATAGAAAGTCCCCGCCTACCCTCCTGGTCCAGACCACGGAATTAACGGGGCACGGGCCGCTTCCGAGCTGAGTAAATAGTGGGCACACACCAAGCCCACTTCACTTTGGGCCAGGTCACAGATTGGGGCTGTTTCCCCTTTACGTTACCTGGCTCCACGAGCGTACCAGAGCTATACCCTTCTAGGAAGTTTTCTTCTGGATCCTAGAAAAAGGTTACTGAAAGGGTATAACAGCCCGGTAGATAAACACGGCGGTGTCATAATTAGTCGATGCCAAGGTATCATCAACCTTCCTGGAGGACCAAAACAGCGCCACATGTTTGTTCTTCCGCCGCACTGATACATATAAAACGTGCCTAGGCCTTCACTTCTAACTTGGACTATTTCATCTTCGTACTTAGTTACGTGGCACTCTTTAGTTCCTCTACATACTCCTGTTCTGCCTTGAGCATTATAAGTGCGAAACTGGCAAAATGAGCCTTGATCAGGGTGCGTTCTTCTTTATCGACAGGAACATTGTTTGCTTACCATGATGAGTGTTTTCTAAGCAGAGAGTGAGATTTTGCCAGAAAGCTCCTTTGCTTCAACCGGGACCCGCGAGAATCCAGTGTTGCTTGATTGCGATGACAAAGGTGAACCAAACAGCACTGGCAGTATAGCTTCACGTATCTCTGAGATATCTACTGAGATATCTGCTGAGATTCTCTCCAATGATGGAGATCGCTCTGAGAGTAGAGATGAGCCAAATTTTGGTTAGTAAAACTATTTTTGAAGTTGCGCTTCGCCACCTAGTAACCAGTGGCTCATAGATCTCCCCCGGGGGCAGATTCAACAATTCCATCACCCCCATTCTGCGGAGAAAAGCTTCTCAGGATTATTCGGGCCGTTCTCAATCCCGAAAACGCCCTTGTCCTTCAATTTCCAGCTCTCAAATCACCGAAGAGGATCCGCAAGCTCTCTTCGCAAGTGGTAACCATACGTCCAGAAAATCTCTCGTTGATGCACATGCTACATCTTCTATCATTGGCTTGGAGGATATCGCATGCCTTTTAGAACGAAGTGAAACTGATGAAGCCTTCGTGCTCAGGAGCTACGAGCACTTGTCGAGCACAATGAAGACAACTTCAGCGTGTGAAATACAAGAATTCCAGTCAAAGGCGACGAAGTGGCTGGTGAAATCTTTGGAGAAAGATTTCATAAAGCTCAGTGTGAGAATCATGGAGTCAGGACTGCTGAAAGGAGTTTCGCTCCAGAGGGTAATGGAAACCTCGGTCAAGCATGATTTGACGGTCTTCGAAAGGCTGATGACCCGGGAGGTGTATCTCAAGAAAGAGCACAATGACGCCTATTCTTTTGCGAAAACGCTAAGCCAATGCTTGGATGAAGTGTGCAGTCTCGAGGGTGAACGCGTATCTCTAGTCTCGAACATCTTACGGAATATTGATTCGGCCATCAAGGGGTCATCTAAAGAGGATATGGGAATGGTATTTTGGAATGTTCGCCATGCATTGATGAGTGCAATTGAGAAACAGGGATGTTTCGAAATCCTGCAAATTATTGACGTCGAATACTGGTCTGAACTGTGGGCGAGCTATGTGTCACTAGATGAGGCATGTAAACGAAAGTTCACGAGCATGGACATCCCGGATCGCCTGAAAGACCGTTTGAGATACTTTTAGCCAACATCTTCAATTCCAACCTCTCAGCAAAGTTAGCTACTGCCTCATAACCATGAGACAATATAGGAGCTATCGAGAAAATGAAGAGGGTGGAAATAGGACAAACAAACAATAGTGCAACGGTAAAGTAATCAATGAAAAATGATCGTCCTTCAATCCGGATGTAGGGCACGGGATATATATAATACAAGCGAAGTTTCTCATTCCAGAAGCAGAGCCTATGCTCACCAATCGGACCTCAATCAAGCTTGAATTCTCAAAATTACTTTGGCGGTGGAGGCGGGACGCCCGGCTTCTTGACGCCTGTTGTATCATATGCGCTACGTCTATAAAGCTCAGCTTAGCTTGTCTCCAGTAATGGCATAGAACCTACCTACCTAGCAATGGTTTCTTTAGGACGGATCATAACTGACATCTGCATTTTAGGTGACTATCGAATGGATAGCGAAGAGTGATTTGACAAGATATAAGGATTTATCTCTCTATATACGAAGACATTCTGGCAAAAGTCTTGCCGATTTGCCTGAAGTAATTCCTGTCAAGCCTGAAATGTCAGCGTGTGGTAGATGATCCGCGTTTGTGAATGAAAGTCTAAAAAGCGGGTCTCATATATAATTGATCTGAGCTTCGGAGGATGATGATACGAGTCCCGATTACCGATAATGTCTTTTCAAAGCCGACTAGCTACTTCGGGCAAAGCCTCGCTAGAATAACATCACTTCAATAGATCTAGTGGGCTTATAATATGTCATGCAGTTGCACTTTAGTGGCGCTTTTGCCCATATTCAAAGTGAGTCGCTTGTTCTTTGAGCTTTACCACCCCTTTCCGCGGTTATCACAACTCCACATACAATACCCACACCCCTCGGTCTAAAAGATCACACGCCAATCCGCGAGTCATGAATATATTATGCATTGCATTAGAGGATTAGAGTTAAGGAGAAAATGATTGAATCTTTATTAAGTTTATATAGCAGCTGTCTAGACAGACGATGATGCTGATACAGATAACAGATATCATTATAAATCTATGGCACGAAAATTTCCAAAAAGCAATTGTTGTGACCTGCGTATGTGTCAAAATATGCCTGGCATAACCACGTAGGCAAAATGGGGAATGAAATACCAGATTGATCCCATCTCCCAATTCAAGTTCCCTAGTAGGTCATGGTTCACAAACTGCGCTGGTGGACTCGTGGTTGAAGATGAAGTAGATGCGATAAGCCGTGAAGTCGGTGGTCTCGGTGGCAATCGAGTCATGGGTATGTAGTGGCCGAGCTCGTTGCAAAAGTAGTCCCGTTCAGATCTGTAAAAGCCACACAGTGTTTGAAGGAACTTGATCTCATTCTGCAGCGCGTTCGTAGGCTGTTTTTCCTTCCGCCTTTGCTTGCGGGACCGGGCTAAGTCGTTTCTCCTTTTCCGCTTAGTTGCCTCTGTGGATGAGCCTGATTTGAGGTTCAGGGCCTGCTGGTTGCTCCGGGTGTCCTTGATTTGGAAATGGAGACGTAAATTTCGGGGGATCGGAACCGAAGGATAACACATCTTGCGGCTCCTTAATGAGAGTGGCGTCCAGTTCCGGCGTGGCAGATGTTTGGGGTCTGGACTGGTCCATGGAAGGAGTTTGCTATCTGCTCTGGTGGGGGCAGGTTGAGATTTATACTGAAGAAAGGAATTGCTACGCCTTTCGAGACAATGTGATCTTGAGCCAATGCATATCCATGATTCAATTTCCACAAGCCGAGATCTAAAGATAGAGCTCGGGGATTTGTATACCCGAGTGCGATTGTGAAGCAATGGGAGGCAGTAGAGTGTACATAAAATAAGAATGAACCAGCTCACAAGGATGATTGTAAATGCTAGACATATGGTATCCGTATAGCAAATTGTATCGATATCACCAGCCCATTGAACCACTTATCATTCCTATTCACATTATCAATTCCCTTCTAGCCTTTATCTCTTGTTATCTGTTCTTGCAAAAATTGCATTTACCACAGGGTTGGCGAATCTCCTGATCTCGCGGCTTCTTCCCCTTACAGGGTGACTCGAAACAGGGAAGCTCGCCCACCTTCTCTTTCCACTTCCCGCAAGATAAATAGACATAATATATAATCGAACACATTATGCAGAATCTAAAAGAGTTTTCAAATCAACAAATTATTCCAGATAATATAGGGTTGGTACTCTGGTCCATACTCACAGTTCGCTGTTTGATATACGAGTAGATTATTGCGCACTTCGCAGGACGTCTGCGTTCTCGAAAATGTCTTTCAAATTAGCATAAACTCATGGAAAAGAATTGGCTGACCAGTCACGACAATACTGGTAGAGTGGAATTGGGCAACATATTGGAAGAACGTATTGGCTTCAATGTCTGTAAATATCCCACAATGGTGAGGTATGCAAGAGGGTTGAAGCTTTAATGCCAAATATGAGGGAGAAGAGGACATACATTTGCCTGCGTGCGAGCTTCCGAAATAGAACTCTACATAAGAGGAAATTCAGAATTTCCTTTGCGAGGTGCATGAGTGCATAGAATATAAAGATAAACCAACTGAAGATGATGATGAAGGATAGCCCTTTTGTATCCATTGATACAAAAGGCTCAAGGTCTTGATGAAAAGTAAAGCACCTAGAAGATCTACTGGGGAAGAGTGAACGACAGGTCTACGCAACGCCACAAGCTTGACGTTTAATAGCATAGGGTGATTAGACCATGATTAGTGACAGAAATCTGGCTGTATGACAACGTATGGACAAAATCAGATATATTGGAATCTCTAACTAACTAAAACGACAAAACCCGCGGTTTCAACAATCTGTGCGGACATAGATGACTAACTGTAATATGCACTTTTGTATGGTATGGATGGTACCATTGGTCACATGATTTTCTGGGTATTAATGCCTGTTTCCATCATGTATGCAACCTTTAGTATTCCACAATTAGATTAATCTATCGCAAATCAGTATAATTCAACAATCATGTCACGTGGTCCCCCCGAACGCTATGGTGACTAATAGGCACAGATACCCGATTTTCCAAGGTTGGGTAGATCTTATCACCTACTGCCCCTCAGTTGCAAGCCCCTCGCGACAGGTACTTTCCGCATCATTCAAACGAAATGCGTGTCGAGACATTATCAGAAAGTTCGAAGTCTATCGTTGACTCCATAAGGGACGAAATCAGACAAGGGAACACGAAGCGTGAGAGCAAAACCGCAAGCGGATGGAGATATGGGGGGGGAACAATTCGGGATCCTGGTGGATTCGCTGAAAAGCGAGATCGAAAAAGAGCTTCAACAACACGGCCTACAAGTGAATATGTTTCTTTACCATTTATTTGTTAGCAGTCTACTGATTCTTGGAGGTATTGGCATGTGCTGTGCGACACTTTAACAGAATGGAGAAAATCAACAACCCGCTTTATCCGACGAAACGCTTGATTATTATCCCTGTCAATGGGGTCTCGACGATCCCCCCGGTGACTTGCTTCCGATCGACACCTATTGCTTTATTGATGGTTTACCGAGGCTTTCTGGAGAGGACATTGATGTGGTGGTTGTCGCATATGAGGTTAAAACTCAGAATGCATAGCAACATGAAAGTACCATCAAAGAAAATATATCAATGAGTGGAAGAAACTGAAAGCTATGGCTGTCTTTCCTTGAAGAAGTATGACTAGCAAGCAGTCTGAGGCTGGGAAGAACTACATTGGGACAAATAGCGTCCTGTCCCATCGTCCTCACCCAAAAGGAACGGCCGTACATCGGTCATATCTGGGTTCAGCCCTTGCAAAAAATTGAAGTCCACCTGGAACGGGTCATAGCCTGAGAAGTCTGTAAGTAAAATATATAATATAAAAAAAAAAGATCTGACTTGGCCTACCATCGGCTTCATCGCTAACTCGCTTATCAAAACAAGGTTGAGGGTTGATCATTTCAGGATTCTGACCATCGAGCTCTCGGAGAAGAAAATTGAAGTCCACCTGGAACGGGTCATAGCCTGGGAAGTCTGTCAGCCCAGGTTGGCAACCTGCCTTGGCATTATGACAAACCATCAGCCATAGATTGGTCTATCTCCTTGTCACCCACTGCATTGGATATCGGAGGATTTGCGGAGACATGTATGGCGCCCAATCTGTCGTCTTGAGGTGCCTCGCTGGGGGTTTCCCGTTCCAGCGCCGACGTAGGCATGGGGGTCACACCTGAACGCCTTTTCTGGCTCTGTTCGACGCCCTCGGAATCAAAAGCCCGTTTATGCCCCTTCTGCTTTCTATAATTCTCTGTAACAACTAAGCCTTTGAACTTTGTATACTAGAACAAGAAACGTACCGTAATCTTCATTGTAGATCAGCAAGCACTGAGATAACCAGTCGGCCTTTCTTTTTGCCAAATCAGACCACGTCGAGTCTTCGCCGATAGATTCTGCCAGTAATTTCATATGTGGATAAGTTATCTGACGAAATGCAAAGGACACACCGAAGAGAACCACAGAGACCCCGCGACTCTTGTAGATGTGTTCGAATGAGTGATACTTCAGTCCGTACTGTATTTCTTTCCTGATAGATTCGTCTTTATCGTGAACGGAGCCCAAAAATTCAGTGACATGGCCTTTTCCTCTGTTGTCTGCGTCTTCTGCCGTAAGAATCAAGAATTCTTCGCGAGGTTTTCCGTACGTGTTTTGGGCCCAGGTTAGATATTCATCGGCAAACGAATATCGGGCGAGCCAACACCGGAATTTTTGAGTCCAAGTATGATTGCGCTTTGTTAGCTTGATGTCAACATGGCGAGGGTCACGCTGCGTCCACTGTTTGTTTGAAAAAACTGCGTGCGCTTCTTCCTTGTCGGTAAAGGCGTGGATTTCCTTGGAGTGACGGCGGAGATTGTCCATTAGGTTACTGACTTTATTATCTTGCTTTTCTTGTGGCAGTGCGGAAGCGTCACCTGGTGCGGGTGACTGAGGAGAAGGTGCTGAAGGCATTGTCTCAGAGGTTTCCTGGTTGTGATCATGATTGCTCGCTTGCTGATTGCTTTCTTGGGTTTGACTCAACGGTTCTGTTGATTGAATTTGAGGTTGTGCTGAAAGCAAAGTATCCTGAGTGCTTGAAGAAAGGATTTGCCCTAGATTGTCAAATGCGATTTGAAGGGTTTGTCTGTGATGGTAAAGCAGCTCTTGAGTTTCTATTCCTGCTATTGTTGAAGAGATGACTCCGGCTGCACGCACGACTTTATCGATGGGGCACATGGTTTCCATGGTTATAGAAGATATTGATAGATCCTAGAGGAAGAAATAAAGCGGTTTCGAATGGGTCCCTCCGCCTTGGCATTGGATCGCGATCCAATGCCAAGGTCGTCAACACCCGGACCTCCTTGTACACGTCAGTTTAACGCCACGTTCCAAGCGTACCTCGGGTGTCACATCACAATTGTCACATTGTGTCTTGTACATCAGCGCAGCTCGAAAAATATGCGAGATCCAACCTCTAGGGAGCTCGGGTCAAAAATAGTGACAAAGGGCCCGTCATCAAGCAATTATACACAAAAACAACGTCATGACCACTCCTGTCAAAATACAAAGCACTTTAGCATATAGGCGCTCTATGCCTAGAAAAAAAGGGCTTAGTGCCCACTCAATCTGGCCGATCAAATGTCAACTGCCAACCAACGGACTGTAACGTGCGAAAGGAACCACGTCAAAGCATGAAGCAGGATATAATTCGGCCATTTTGCTTGGTTGGGCCATGAAAAGATCCAGCCGCAATGTTCACAACTTTGACAAGAAGCTATTTCTAATAATAAAATAATCCATTTATTACTGTTAGCCGCGCGCTGTATGAAACTCTATGTTACATCCATATCATGCATCGAGAAACAGCGACCTATCAACCACTGGAAACCAGGCGCTCTTGTGATCAGATCATGCATATCCAAGTGAAGTCCTTTCCCTTATTTTCCAATCCTAATGGTATTAGGATATAGATACCGAAAGAGATATAAAATAGAGCTCGTTCACCCCCTGGATTAAGGATTCAGTAGGTTTCTGGCAGTCAGTCCTTGAAGTGCCCCGAAATTCCCTTGCCTTATTACATATCACTTTCTGGCTAAGGTGAGTCTCATTGCGGGAGAGAGATTCTTTCCATTCAATTAAGCAAGCAGGGCTAACCAACCTAGTCTACGAGCCATGTCCGGGCTAAAGAACTCTGGAAAGAAGGCGGTCGATGCCATCTTGAATCCACAAAAAATCGATGTTGCTTTCCAAAAGTTTACCAGACCGACCGTTGGGGCTGGCAAGACTATATTCCCGACTTCTCAACGAGACTTGAAAAATATTGGATTCCATTTCGACCTTGGCGACCACACCCGTCAGGTGCCCGACAATAGACCCAATGCGAAACCAGGCACTACCCGAACCAGCAATGTTATCAAGTGGCAAGCAGCTGCGCAAGCTGAGTCAAAGTCAATCAAGGACTGGATTAGAAAGAATGGACAGCACGCAGTGATTCAGACACTTGAGGTCCCAGAAGACGCCACCAAGGAGGAGTTTGAGGAAATCCTGAGAACGGCAGCAAACAAACTCTAAGGTACCTACCTTGTTAAGGTCTCAACATTCAACTGTTGTGGGCCTGGTCACGATGTGCAATCTGACCACGTGATTGGAATATGAATGGTATTATGGGACCATTTACTCAGCGCCTCTCCGTTTCTTTCCTGTTTTGATTATTTTCACCTATGCAATGTAGCCTAAATTGAAGTGTCGTTTGCAAATCGATGTATCCTAGACAGCATAAATTCAGATCATACAAGATCCCAAAAAGGGTAACCCAAAAGACGAGAGTATTCCCGGATGTCACGATGTCACGGACACACGAGGAAGGAAAAGAAAGAGCCTTTCTCTCGTTCAGGGGAAAGGAACCCATGTGGGTCCCGCATATCATTTGACAGTATTCCCAGGGAGATGGTGTTCCGATCGAAAATATCTTCACCGAGGGTCACTTTGGTAACAGTTGCGTCAGACGCGTGGCCAAAAAGTCTTTGCGCAATATCGACACAGCATCTCCTAGTTCGTAACTTGTCGCGATATACTGTAGCGCAATTTTCGATTCCACCAAAAAATTAAATAACAGTAGAATATACAATATGACATACTGTTATATGTGTTACTGAGTAAATTACCGATATAATGCTGTAATATACTGGTGCATGGGTGCTCAGCGGTTGGTGGGTAAACCCATGGGCGAGGTTCCAGACCAGTATCGGACATCACGTGAATGTAGTTAGCGGCTATGGAGCTTACCTCAATCCCTAGCAAGCTTCCACGGCGTCAACTGATAAAGTGAACCTGCATCAGGCAACATCTTCGTGACTGAATGTTTTTTTACTACTATTGTTTTTGAACAATGGTGAATTCCTTCCAGAGACTCGTCATTACTCGAAGTATATCATCCGCTCCCTGTCTGCGGAAACCGTTGGTCTGTTCCAGGCAGCCTGCCATGTCTGCTTCCTCCCGCAATCATCTATCCACCAGTCCACCAGCATTTCGTGAGGAATTCTTTCAAAATACATCACGAAGATGGATGTAGGTGAAGCTTATTATTGCTTTGATCGTAACCACTAAATTCCAGCTAGATTCAACGAGACCGACCGTTTGAACGAACGATACGTCAAGTTTCGGCCGACAGAGCTCCAACGGATCGCCGGCGAAGCAGTACAACAAGACTATTGCCCTTATATTACTAAGTTTGCAGAGGGAGGCTTCAACAAAGTGTTTCTTCTGCGAGCAAAGAATGGCCGTGAAGTGATCGCGCGAATTCCGACTCCTATTGCCGGGCCTCCTCATCATACAACCGCCAGTGAGGTGGCTACCATGGACTTTTTGCGATCTATCCTCAAACTTCCCGTACCGGAGGTCTTGGCTTATTCAGCATCATCGGACAATCCCATCGGAGCAGAGTATATTCTGATGGAGCGAGTGAAGGGAGAGAGTCTTTCTTCAAGGTGGTTATCTCTCACTACCGACGAGACGAAAGATATCATGACACAAATCGCAGATATGGAGAGGAAGATTTTTGATTTCCATTTTCCTGCGTATGGAAGCTTATATCACAAGAAGGACCTTGACGGGGAAACCCAGATACCAATCGTGGATGATTTCTGTATCGGCCCTGTGTCTGCTCGGCAGTTTTGGCATGGTGAACGAAGCAAACCCGAAATTGACCGTGGACCCTGTACGTTCCTCCCTTTCCCCCTTCCCCCTCTGTTCTTTTTTAGAAAAGTAATCCCCATGACCGGGACTGATTATTGTCAGGGCTTTCACCCGAGGACTGTGTTACGTCCGCGGCTCGCCGAGAGATGGCTGTCATTCAGCACCACGCCAAAGCTCAGCCTCGCCAAACTTTTCTTTTACCGACTAACCATGACATTCTTCCCTCTGAGCACACCTCGTTACTTTCGCGATTCCTACAATTGGCGCCTCATATAATCCGACCGGGTTCTTACAGTGTTCCGACGCTGAGACACCCCGATTTGAGTCTGAGCAACATTTTGTTGGCACCTGGATCAACCAAAATCATCAGTATCATCGATTGGCAGGATGCTGTGATATTCCCCCGCTTCATGCAAGTGGGTTATCCCGCATTCTGTGAGCACGATTCCTTCCAACCTCAAAGTATGCATATTCCATCTCTTCCCGATGATTTCGATGAGATGGGAATCGAACAACAGAGACAATGCAGAGCCGTCTTTCGCTTGGAAGAGGCCAACCTTTACTACACAGCCGCGACAGGCGTACACAATGAGGAACACATGGATTTGTTGAGACTTCCTCATCTCAGAATGCGGCAGTATCTTCTTCGCCAGACAGGGTATCCCTGGGACGCAGACGTAATCAACCTACGTGCTGCCTTAGTAGGTATCACGACTCCATCGGTATGGAGCAGCATCTCCTCGGCCGCTTGTCCAGTTGTGTTCAGCGATGAAGAACGAGAGGCTGCCATGGTGGAATCGCAAGAATGGAATGAGTCTGAACAGCTATTGTCCCAGGTTAGAGAACACCTCGATATAGATCTGGAAGGCGGTACCGAGCCAGACAACTTTGAGAGGGCGGTGGAGGGCAATCGAAAGTTTCGTATGGAAATGGTTCGGCAAGCAGAAGTGGACCAGCGGGAGTTATGTTGGCGAAACTGGCCGTATAAGGACGATGAGGATGACAGCATGCCTCCCGGGGATATCTAACTTTTGATGCGAATAAACTATGCTTAATGGGGAAGATTAGACATTTGTAAAATGCGATTCGCCGCAACACACAATTGCATTCTTGGGGCGAGCTGGATTATGCGCCATACTGAAAACCACCAGGACTTGAGTGAAGCTGCACTTGTCGCGGCAGATAATGCAGTTAACAGAAGCGCGGAAATGCTGGAAATCATTCTACGAAACCCAGCAGTAAAGTGGAAAGCAGACCAAACTCTGTCAGAGAATATTGTGACAAAAACTGTCAACGGAGTGTGCCAGAAAAGAGAGGAATGTGCAGCTATGCTATCAGATAATTTTTTCCAGGAAATGTTCGCAACAATGGAGGATACTGCGGTTTGAAAGATCCAAGCCCTAGGTGAAGTAGTTGGGAACGTTCAAGTTTTGGGTATAATGATCACGGCGGAGGAACTTATGAGACAAGGAAGAAGGCTGTAAAGAAAGCCTCATTAGGGGCATTTAACGTGCGGTTAAATATCAGTCGCTATATATGAGTTCACACATAGTCGTGCTTACCATTATCGAAAGGTCACATAATCCTAAAACGGTATAGCTCGGAGTTCATACCCTACATAGACATTATGTCGTTTATGAGCCCGAATCGGCCTGTCGAGACCACCCATCATATCAGTTGATTAAGCCAATGACCTACCGCTGTGCTACCCTGTTGGGAGCGGGATTCTATTACTAGATGACCTTGTCCAAAGGGCTGCGTAATAGGGCCATTAAATTAGAGTAATTTACCTATCAGGAGTTCTGCGCATTTATGCCTACTTCGTACCTTTTACCTCGCACTCGCACCTAGCCTTTTTCGAAATAGGGGTGGACTATAAAGGTGTTGAATCTCACATTGAAATAGCTCACCCTTTTCTCAAGATACTCGAGAATCCTTCAGCGTCGTTGCTCACAGACTCCGTGACTCCGACCTCAGCTTCCTTCAGAGCCTGTGCATCTCTCATATCTGCTGTTTTTAGCACCAGGAAACTTCTGAGAATCTAAGGCTTATCATTGTAAGTACCTTCTTCGATCACTCCCGTTCATTGGCTTACCTTTATATAATACCCAGTTCGAACCCCACGTCGCAAAATGAATGATCAGCTTGCCGCACGCAGTTCCTATACTCAAGATCAACCAACAAACCCGACGGGTGAAATTGAGGGAGCAATTCGGCTTAGTCATGTGGTTGAAGATAACCATGAGCTCAATACAGCGATGAATTGTTGTTGGCTTGCGGTTCAGGAGATTCCTCGTGATCATCCCGACTATACAGCGCGCCTAGACAGCCTCTGGAAACTGCTGAATGGTCGATACGAACAAACCAACAATGTCGATGACCTCAACGCAGCGATTGATTGTTGTCGGCTTGCGCTTCAGAGCACTGTTCATGATCATCCCGACTATACAGCGCGCCTAGACAGCCTCTGGAAACTGCTGAATGGTCGATACGAACAAACCAACAATGTCGATGACCTCAACGCAGCGATTGATTGTTGTCGGCTTGCGGCTCATAAGACCGCCCATGATCATCCCGATTGTACAGTGCGCCTAGACAGCCTAGTGGAAATGCTGAGCGATCGATACGAACAAACTGGAAATGTCGATGATATCAACGCAGCGATCAATTTTTGTTGGCTTGCGGCTCAGAAGACTGCCCATGATCATCCCGACTATGCAGTGCGCCTAGACAGCTTAGTGGAAATGCTGAGCGATCGATATGAACAAACTGGAAATGTCGATTATATCAACGCAGTGATCATTTTTTGTTGGCTTGCGGCTCAGAAGACTGCCCATGATCATCCCGACTATGCAGTGCGCCTAGACAGCCTAGTGGAAATGCTGAGCGATCGGTACGAACAAACTGGAAATGTCGATGATCTCAACGCAGCGATTGATTGTTATCGGCTTATGGTCCAGAGGACTGCTCATGATCATCCCGACTATACACCGCGCCTAGATAGCCTCTGGAAACTGCTGAATGATCGATACGAACAAACCAACAATATCGATGATCTCAACGCGGCGATTGATCGTTATCAGTTTGCGGTTCAGAAGACTCCTCGTGGTCATTCCGAATATTTAGCCCGCCTAGATATTATGGCGGGCCTGTTCCACTCGCGATTCGTATCTACAGCATCTTTGCCTGACCTTCATCGTGCAATTGCACTCATTTGTACCGCAATCATGGCCACAAATGACGACGCTAGTACTGTAGAGCGCTGCTTCGAACTCGGGAGAGAGCTTGAAATACTATTTGACGCTCAACAAAACATCACCTATCTTGACATGGGGATTGAGTTCTGTTTCCGAGCGCTCGAGGCCACCACTGAAAACTCTTGTTTTCTAGATCGCTTGGTCGACCTCGCTCACAAGTTTGGAATACGATACGACAAATTGGCAGAGATAAAAGATCTCCAAATGAAGGTGCTACTACATCAAGAGGTTCTTAACGCTGTTGGTGATCAAGATCAACATCAATTACGGGCAGAGTGCCTACTCAACCTCGGCAATACCCTGGAATCCCGATATATCGGAGAGCGTCCTGACCTCCAGGGAGCGATCACCCTAGTTTGCGATGCAATCAACGTGGGGGCCAACGATCCTAACCATCCTTTGCTTCGATGAGCTCGGGACCAAGGTCGGACTTCTATGAAGCCATTACATGGTCTTATAAAGCGGTCGAGTGGGATACTCTTATTTCACATCATGGAGAGGTTTTTCGCAACCTCGCAAACATTCTCACACTTCGATATGTGAGAACACACCAGACCAATGATTCTAAAGCAGCAGCCAAGTGGGCGGGAGAAGCAGTTCAGAAGGAGCATTATCTTCTTTTCAAGAGTGTCCGCACGGAATCCTGGGGCGAGAATGGATGTCGATGGTCGAGCAATAGCTTTTAGGTGGCTGAGGGATGTATTGAATGAAATTAAAATTCGTTGCTTCTGACAAGCTGGCCTTACACGTCGTTTTAGTTATATGTATTTTCGCTTACGGGTTGCTAGATTCAGCGGTGATCATACCCTCATACAATTGCCTCTATCTCAAATTTCTCGGTCGGTGATTAATTCCATGGATTTCAGTTGAGATATACCGACCTAGAACGGCACGGAGATCGCTAGCCGACTGAAGGACTGAGCCACCCGGACAAGTAATAGGGCAATCAGAAAGGCACCGCCGCAAACCACTGGCTGTATGATGTCGAGGAGTACCTACGCCGCTGAATGGTGAACGTCTGCGGAGACGACGATGCGTATAAACTAGCGTTTGCCGCTGGGTTGCTAACCGGAGACGCCTATATCAAATGGAGAACTGCCAACCAACAAGTGGACGCCGGGCTTTATGAACGAGGGAGCCGGATGCCATAGACTTGACGGCCATACGGAACACGAGAACGTGTTACAACTATGGCAAAACATATCCAGCGCGAGTGTAAGCAAAGGGTCATAAGGAGGGAAAAGGCCAGGGTCAGTAAGCTAAGGCGAGCTTACTAACCCACTTTCTAAAACCCACCCCCCTGAGATAGCGAACGACCACTGGCTTGGTATCCCACGGGAAACGACAGTTGAGAAGAGCCACGATGATGCTGAATGCCCTTGGCGAGGACTTGAACTTCTTCGACAGCTTCCTCCAGCGATCTGGCGCAGTAGGGAAGCCAATTGCCACCCACATGCTGTTAGATTGTGGAGCAAGTCACGCGTTTGTATTGCTTAACATACCTACTACTGGGTGTCAACTAAAAGGAAGAGTAAGTGACACCAAAAAAAAAACAAGAGAAAGTGGTTGGAGCAGGTTAAACATCGATGACATAGTTAGCCCAGCAAGAGTTCAGGTCGTCGCCAGGACTGGCTGAAGCAGCTTCCTCCTGACGACGGATGGACTCGAGCCCGCTCAAATTCTGTTGGATGAGCCGAACGTCCAACTGCATTTGCGCCAAGTCACGGCTGAGATTCTCTGGAAGGCAGATGAAGTGTGTTGTGCTACAACAGGGAAAAGGGACAAAGGGAGAAAGGGCGAGAAGTGCTTATAAAACAACGCCAAGCAGCACCGCTGCGTCTTAGCATCGCCACACGGAGGTTGCTTATAATTCAGGGGGCGAGAACGGGGGAGCCGTAGTGATTTGGACCCATAGGCAAGAAAATAGTCCCATTCTCCGTCGGGATTCGTAACGCTTAACGCCCACGGTTCCTTCCCACGGCTGTCCCTAGTCTCATACGCATGAATGGTGGGGCAAGAAAGATCCCCATTCGTAGAAGGGATGTTGGGGGCAGTTTGATCGAACTCTTCGGGCATATGGATTCCTTCGTGGGACCGGTTTGATAGATCAATCCCTTTCGGTCTTCCGTGAATCATAGCCAGCAGTTACCCAGCAGGTACAGGTCAGCCACGCGAAGCCGACATAATCTCGGGTCCTGATCATCGCAATCCCGGTGCTGGAGCACCATCGCCCTAGTTACAGTCACAAATATAACCATATCATCATCCCACCAACCGGGTCTTTGTATAGTGATTTCGGTGGAGTCGTGATGCAGTCCGCTATGCGGCGTTCTCGCATGTGATCATCGCCTGAACGCCCACAGCGGACGGAGGACACATGAGGCATTTCTGCCATTGGTCAGATTCAGACACCGCATGCACGTCGACAAGTCATCGCCTCGTCTTAAGACTGAGACACGGCTCCTGTGTTGGCCGTCGGATAGGAATGGAACATATGAGGCAATTCTGTCATTGGTGTTCACGTTGCGCTGAATAGGTGCAGAAATTCCAACACGTCATCGTCCTCGGCTCGGAAATGAGACAGCTCCTGTGTGGACCTTCGAATCAAGAAATGCTTTCGAGGGTTGGGCCGGGGCACACATAGCCAACAGCCAATGGCCCAGTAGAAAATTTTGGGGAGTGCCCAATCCAGGCGGGCGAGGGTATGCCACTGGTCATCTCGCACCCTCTAGGAAAGATCAGCGACTTATGCTCGCCATATCGACCAAGTCGGTGGACGCCAGCGTCCCTTGCAAGCGACATGAGTGGGGAGAGAAGGGGGCTGAGCACTCGTTTTGGGGAACGGTCATTTCCGAGATGGAAGGGTTCAGAGCGGTGGCGTCCGACCTCAGGGTGACAGAGGCGTAAGGACGTGGGAAGGAGACGTCGTCGAGCGACGTACCGGCGGGATTATATAGTCGACGAAGGGACATGAAGGCGGAGAAGCGTGGCAGTTCCCGATGGGGGATAGTGCGAGAAGCCATCCCCGATCGGGGGAACGCTAAACCACTCCGGGCTCTCGCTGGACGGGCGCTAAACCCGAACGGTGCGGTTGCCGAAAACGGCGGTCCTCTGGTAAATACGAATTGTACTTTCGAATAAGCCAGTACGCGCTTGATTGATCACTGAACGAGGGGTACCAAAGAAAACAAGCCCCGACCTTTTAATATTAGCATCGAACGTCATCTCTTTCAGGGATCAACAATGAAACCTACGTCGGGTCTTTTATCTCGAAATATGCTTGTTTCTCTGACGCGTTGATCAAAGCCTATCCATCTTGTAAGTAGCAGTACCCATACATTTTCAACCTGACTCACCTGTTTGACCAAGACCCCTCCTAAGCCTTGGCACAAAAATATTATCTTTGTATCCTGCTTTTCTCAGGCTCTGAATGGAAGGTTACTTCTAGAAGGTTCAGGAACTCACCTTCAAAGAACATCTAGATTTGCACAATTGCTGCAGCAAGACATTCGATTCTTCTTGAACGCCTTGTGTACTGCTGCCAAAAGTGCGAAAGAGTCATACTCGTATACAGTAGCGACCGCTATCGCCTTCCATGTCAGAGACACAGAGAGACTGTTTCAAACCCTAATCATGTGATATGCTAATCCAGATATGAGCAGCGTGTAATTAGTCTGTTTTGTCGCGAACCAGGTAATAAATACCATCATCCATAGATACCAGTATGGAATATACAGTAATTTACTCAGCTATTCCCAGCCTGGAAGGTTCCATGCAAACACTGCAAACAAAGCGGTCTTCGAATAGGCAATCTGTCAACAGTTCCTCTCTGTATGTATCTCGCAGTTTACGTGCAATTTTGCAGCAAATCAGGATGATAGTGCCGGAGCTAGGGACAGTTGCATCGCAACGCTGTCTGCTTTTCCATTTGGCCTTTTACGGTACAAACTAGTCAGCCCTGAGACCATTCCTCGAATACAGCTATGGCCATATCTGGATTAGCCTGTCATGTGATACAGATTTCAGCGAAAGTCTTTGTGTTTTCAACATGGGGAGGGTCCTGGTCCTGATCAAGTGATAAATAACACTAGTACAGAAAATACAAAGCTTTAGAAGCCTAGGTGACTGGAAGATTCGATGCAAAACAAGCAAACCTGGAGGTTCTTAATCGGGTAACATGTTGGTCACATCCATCTCCACTATACGAAAATGATTGGATATGAGGCAATATTGCTTCAGCCTCACTTTTCCACCCCGCTGCTCCTCAACTCGAGCATTCATTTCCAACACTTCAACATCATCATAATATGACCTTTTCCATATTTCTTAGCGGATTCATAAAGAGGCCTTGAAGAGAAACAATAAAATAATCTATCATGGCTACTGGCAAAATCCTGTGTCATGACGATTACGCTGTTGGATGGATATGCGCCTTGCCAGTGGAGATGGCGGCAGCGAAGCTTATGCTAGACGAAATACACGATCCTCTCCCTCGCCCACGCGCGGACCAAAATAACTACATTTTGGGGAACATTGGGGAACACAATATCGTTATTGCGAGTTTGCCTAGTGGCGCATATGGTACTGTGTCCGCTGCAACGGTGGCGATGCAGGTGCTCTCAAGTTTCCCCTCTATTCGGTTCGGTCTGATGGTCGGTATCGGTGGTGGTGTACCAAGCAACAAGGCAGACATTCGACTCGGCGATATTGTGGTGAGCCGGCCGACGGATACATCCGGGGGGGTGATCCAGTACGACCTTGGAAAGATATTAAGCGATGGTCACTTCCAGCGGACAGGGATGTTAAATCGGCCACCTAAAGCTCTGCTAACCGCCCTCTCCACATTACAAGCCCACCATCTCACAGAGGACAGCCGAGTCCCCGAATTTACCTCCAGCGCCCAAGCGAAAGCGACCGGCCGAAAAGCTGCAACCTTTACACGCCCAACTCAGATCGATCGTTTATACCAAGCAGAATATGACCATGGTGACTGTGCCACTTGTATAAACTGCGACCAGTCAAAACTCTGCGCACGACCTTCACGCGGTCATGATGATCCGGAGATTTACTATGGGCTGATCGCGTCTGCCAACCAGGTGGTGGAAGATGGCCGGCGGCGAGATCAGCTAGCCCAGGAATTGGGGGTTTATTGTGTCGAAATGGAAGCGGCAGGGCTGATGAACGACTTTCCTTGTCTAGTCATTCGGGGCATCTGTGACTATTCCGATTCACATAAGAATAAAGAATGGCAAGGATATGCGGCAATGGTGGCGGCGGCTTATGCCAAAGAGCTCCTCTTGGTGGTTCCGATCGATCAGATCGATAATACCCCAACAGCACGAGACACTCTGGCAGAATATGGTAAGAGACAAGAGCTGAAAACTGTCAAGATCTCGGCTCCTGACAAAGAGCACACGGCCTTAGCTTTTAATAGCGGTGGAGGGGCACAGACCAACAATGTCAATCGTGGCAGTGGTCAGCAAATCAACAACAATGCTTATGTCGGAACCCAAAATTTCCATTCCGGTAAGGGGTAGCTATCCTGCACAGCTGATTTCCTTCGATCCGAAGTTTGGTGGCCCAGTGTGGCGGCAGTCATCGGCTATATCACTTCCATTATCTCCTATATCTCAACTTCATTTCGTGTTTACTAGTTTTCATCCCCAATTTATGTTTTTCTACGTCATTTACACTCTCGGCCTTTTTAGCAAGCTTGAATTCCCCTCAACGCTACAACTTGAAAACAATCTGAACTAACCGTTATTGGTAGTGACCTTCAAGCACAAAGAAGACTTTAGTTTTCGGGGACCCGTTGGCGTCCATCTCGGTCAAGTGCGTTCCATCACCTCTGAACTCTTCGTCGGTCGTGGCAACGAGCTTGATGAGATCGGGAAAGCTCTACATCCTGATCCTAAGGCTCAAAAACAACGGCGCCTAGTTCTAGGCGGTATGGGTGGTATTGGCAAGACCCAGCTTGCGATCGCTTACGCAGAGTCCGGCCGTGGATCTTATACCTCAGTGTTCTGGCTGAATGCAGTGTCTGAAGCTTCATTGAAAGGCAGTTTTCGATTGATAGCCAGCACAATCTTCGACGTTGAGGACCCGGGGGTGCTAGAGGACAAAGAGGTTGTGAGACGTGTACAACAATGGCTATCTAACCCAAAGAATACCGGATGGTTGTTAATATTTGATAACTATGATGACCCCGACCAGTTTCGGATTGACAACTATTACCCCCCAGCTTCTCATGGGGCTATTGTGGTCACCTCTCGACGGCCAGATGACGTTTCTGGGAGCACTCTTGACATAAAGCCGCTCCAGAATATAGAAGATAGCATCGCCATCCTACACACACGATCAAAACGAGAGAATATTCAATCAGGTGTGCTTCACACGTGAAACCAAACATATCTGGGATCCACTAATCACCACTGTTAGATCCTAATGCAAAGCGCCTCGCAGAACGACTTGCGGGTCTTCCTCTCGCTTTGGCTACCGCCGGTACATTTCTTCACCGTAGCAAGTTCACGTTCGAACGCTACCTTCACGAGTACGAGAGACGTTGGAACATTAACCCTCGCTCGCCTGTCAAGCTCAACGAGTATGAGGAGCGTACACTCTACACGACCTGGGATATATCATACTCTCGTCTAGAAAATCAAGATCCGGAAGCGGCGAAAATGCTGAAATTACTGGCCTACTTCGATAACCAAACTCTTTGGTACGAGCTTTTTCATGCTGGACTTACGGACAGTTCTCCTGAGTGGCTTGGTGGAGTGATCACAGATGACGTGAACTTCGATGGAGTGATGGGAGTCCTGACCGGATATTATTTCCTGGATACTCAACAGACATCTGGGTCATGGAGCATGCATAATTGCGTGCACGACTGGACATTGGCAGCACTCAATGAGGATATCGACGCAACGTATTACTGGTATGCCTTTGACTGCATTTCTGCGTCTATGAACGATAACGACAAGAATGATTTTGCAAAGCTCTCTTACTTTCCCTTGGCTGCTCATGCCACGCGGCTAGTACAGCAGCGCCTGTGCCAGAACGACGTTATATATGACATTACGCCTCGTCGACTCGGCCAAGCTTCACTGATTGCCAACCTACTTCGAGAGCAAGTACTTCTTCTTGCTGCGGAGCAGATGTACCAACGGGCGCTAGCTGGGAAGGAGAAAGAGCTCGGACCGGACCACACGTCGACCCTAGACACCGTCCATAATCTCGGGATTCTATATTTGAAGCAAGGCAAGCTGGACCAGGCCGAGCAGATGTACCAGCGGGCACTAGCTGGGAACGAGAAAGCGCTCGGAGCGGACCACACGTCAACCCTCGACACTGTCAACAATCTCGGGGTTCTATATCGGGACCAAGGGAAGCTAGACCAGGCGGAGCAGATGTACCAGCGGGCGCTAGCTGGGCGCGAGAAAGCGCTCGGAGCGGACCACACGTCGACCCTCCAGACTGTCACCTGCCTCGGGGTTCTATATTGGAACCAAGGCAAGCTAGACCAGGCGGAGCAGATGTACCAGCGGGCACTAGCTGGGAACGAGAAAGCGCTCGGAGCGGACCACATGTTGACCCTCCGGACTGTCAACAATCTCGGGATTCTATATTGGAACCAAGGCAAGCTAGACCAGGCGGAGCAGATGTACCAGCGGGCACTAGCTGGGAACGAGAAAGCGCTCGGAGCGGACCACACGTCAACCCTCGACACTGTCACCTGCCTCGGGATTCTATATTGGAACCAAGGCAAGCTAGATCAGGCGGAGCAGATGTACCAGCGGGCACTAGCTGGGAACGAGAAAGCGCTCGGAGCGGACCACATGTTGACCCTCCGGACTGTCAACAATCTCGGGATTCTATATCTGGACCAAGGCAAGCTGGACCAGGCGGAGCAGATGCACCAGCGGGCACTAGCTGGGAACGAGAAAGCGCTCGGAGCGGACCACACGTCAACCCTCGACACTGTCACCTGCCTCGGGATTCTATATTGGAACCAAGGCAAGCTAGACCAGGCGGAGCAGATGTACCAGCGGGCACTAGCTGGGAACGAGAAAGCGCTCGGAGCGGACCACACGTCGACCCTCGAGACTGTCAACAATCTCGGGATTCTATATGGGGACCAAGGCAAGCTAGACCAGGCGGAGCAGATGTACCAGCGGGCACTAGCTGGGAACGAGAAAGCGCTCGGAGCGGACCACACGTCGACCCTCCGGACTGTCAACAATCTCGGGATTCTATATTGGAACCAAGGCAAGCTGGACCAGGCGGAGCAGATGTACCAGCGGGCGCTAGCTGGACGCGAGAAAGTGCTCGGAGCGGACCACGCGTCGACCCTCAACACTGTCACCTGCCTCGGGATTCTATATTGGAACCAAGGCAAGCTGGACCAGGCGGAGCAGATGCACCAGCGAGCGCTAGCTGGACGCGAGAAAGCGCTCGGAGCAGACCATACGTCGACTCTCGAGTCTGTCGACAATCTCGGGGTTCTATATCGGTTGCAAGGCAAGCTGGACCAGGCGGAGCAGATGCACCAGCGGGCACTAGCTGGGTTCGAGAAAGCGCTCGGAGCGGACCATACGTCGACTCTCGAGACTGTCAACAATCTCGGGGTTCTATATCGGTTGCAAGGCAAGCTAGACCAGGCGGAGCAGATGCACCAGCGGGCGCTAGCTGGACGCGAGAAAGCGCTCGGAGCGGACCATACGTCGACTCTCGAGACTGTCGACAATCTCGGGGTTCTATATCGGTTGCAAGGCAAGCTGGACCAGGCGGAGCAGATGCACCAGCGGGCACTAGCTGGGTTCGAGAAAGCGCTCGGAGCGGACCATACGTCGACTCTCGAGACTGTCAACAATCTCGGGGTTCTATATCGGTTGCAAGGCAAGCTGGACCAGGCGGAGCAGATGCACCAGCGGGCGCTAGCTGGACGCGAGAAAGCGCTCGGAGCGGACCATACGTCGACTCTCGAGTCTGTCGACAATCTCGGGGTTCTATATCGGTTGCAAGGCAAGCTGGACCAGGCGGAGCAGATGCACCAGCGGGCACTAGCTGGGTTCGAGAAAGCGCTCGGAGCGGACCATACGTCGACTCTCGAGTCTGTCGACAATCTCGGGGTTCTATATCGGTTGCAAGGCAAGCTGGACCAGGCGGAGCAGATGTATCACCGGGCGAGGCTAGGGAAGGAGACGAGGAAAACTGCTAATTCCTTCTTTAAATAACGTTCCTTCTTTAAATAACGATCCTAATTCAATATCTCTCGCGCCCGCGCTTCCTCCCTGGCATTGTTTAACTCTATTCCTGGCCTCAGAGATAAATAGGCGGCAAGCCTTAAATTCAGTATCACTCTACCCGATGTACTAGCCAGTTACTTCTTTCGGTAATCAGTTTATCATTCGTCATGATAGATAGAGACAGCTCTCAGAATGTTGACTGGCACTAAGGTCTTAGTGGTGGGGCCGAGAAAGATAATCTCAGTGTGTACTGGTCAAGGCAATTTCGAGAATGACTGTAATTTGGCTATACTGTAATTAAACGCTGTCTCAACTACAAGCTTCCCTCCAATGGCATAATGTCACATGGTTGGCGTTGAAGAAAGAGAAAACCGTGGGATGGACTAGGCTTGGACTAAGTTTGGCTTATTTGATCATGGGCTTGGTATGTTTAGGTCTGTAAAATTACATGCGGTGAAACACTTGTATGTATTATATTTGTCTTAGGCTATACGATTCGCCTTTATGACGGATCCTAAAATACAAGACTAACCGAAGATGGACTAGCGTAGCATGTGATTAGGGTTTGAAAGAGCTTCTATGTGTTGCTCGACGTGGAAGGCGAAAGCGGTCGGCACTGTAAAAAATAGTCTCGCTCTCCAGCCGCTGCCTCGGAGAGACAAGCCTTGGAAGAACAATTTAAGCCATCCTTCATTGGACTGAGTGTTGTATGTTTGCTGCCACGAAGAGTCTGAGCATTTTCCATCTACATCAATGAAGTCAAGGCCATGGATAGCTATCACACTGCTCATTGTGTAAGCATTTGCCGGAGTGAAGGTAATAGATAGTACTATCATAATTTATGGCATTTCCAGCTAGCTCGACCTCTATATTGTTGGTTAGTAAGTAATTTCGGTGAGTGATTATGGTCTAAGGCAAGTGAATTCACTATCTTGCCATGGCTGGGTGAGGACAGAAAAAGTCCGAGATTTGAAAATATGTTAGTGAGAGATTACTTACCGTGGGGAGGATGGAGGGCTTTATAGGTCTAGACCTCGCCAAAAACATTTAGAGGGCGGGCATTGCCTGCCCTCCGCCCGACCCGCGAGGGCGGAGGGCGTGTAGGTGCCCGCCCTCGCCCGGCCCTCAGCCCTCGCGAGGGCCGCCGTCATCAGCCCTCATCCGCCCGCATAACCAGCCTCTTGTAATTGCTGTAATATGATCTTCCACGCATCGTATGAAGTTCAAAATTAGACCATAGATTCAAGTAAACTTTATAAGTGTATTTTTGAATTTTGAACTAAATGCGATACGTGAAAATAGAGAAATCGTGTAAAAATGTAGAACTCATATCTTGATATTGGATATATATTTTTGAGATATGCGGCAGCACCACCACTTTCTGAGTGAAACTCTGTAATTTATAAACTATCTAAATAACGCGTTCTATAATATATTTGAAAGTAATTTATAAATTTAACTATTAATGTATTCTACCTATTGAAAGAAAATTAAATATTACGTATGTAAAAGGTCTATAAACAGCGTTCATACATAGCGTAATTAAAAAAATCACGTTTTTTGCCTGTTTGTCTTGTTTGTCGGCCCTCAAAATTGTGGGTCCGCGAGCTACCCTCGGAGGGCCGCTCGCGGGCGAGTGCGAGGTCTATATAGGTCACTGATAGTCATGAAAGAATCCACGTAGCTCATAGCCCAATGAAGCCTGCGAGAGGTCTACATTATCCTCAGGCCTGGCTGTTGCTTCCAGGGATATTGGGCTTCTGGTATCTGCAGCGATAACCCTGCTGTTAGACGCCGAGTCATTGATACAACGCTAGCCTAAACATGTGATGCTACTCGACGTAACTCTCCGTCAAAGCGTCCGAATTGATACATTTCCTGCTGCAGGCCAAAACACAGCGGTCAGTCGCTGCTGAACGAAAAGTAAGTGCACTAGATCCGAATTCATCTCGTTGAACTTGCTAAGGTCGGTTGACGTAATTTGTATGCAAGCGGGCCATATGTGACGATCTAGCGACCTTGGTTCTGCCGTTACTGACCGCCTGCTGAGTTAGGGAAGCTGGAGGAAAACCTTCAACTTGTGTTTGCATGGTTCGCATCAAGGCCCACAAAAGACCTTGCTCCAACCAATCCTTTCTTTCTTTCTCTTCTCCTTGTACTTAGTATTCTAGTTGAAATGCACTCTTTTGCTGAAAGAACTGGCTGGTAGCACCGTAAACGAAAACCAAGCTTTGTTGAACTTTCTTGTACGGGTTTCCCGAACTGGGGTATATAAAAGAACGACAGATTAATTCGAAGTTCATGGATAGTTGAGATAAGTAGATAGTTCACATGTGGCAGTTCAACACGGTCAGTTCAAGGCACGGTCCGACTTGAACACAGTTGGCAAAATCGTAGGGTTGGACTCGAATTTGGAGATGGTCCATGCTTTGGGAAACAGTTCAACGGAAATAGTTCAACGGAAAACGGAACAGGTAAATTTCATTTTGAATTTCACAATATCATTTCTTGGCCTCGAAGAGTGTGGGGATCAGTATTGAACGGGCCGAGCCTCCTTAGTGCCAAGTAGAGGATGCCCTGATACGAAATCTTTTCGCCAAGGCCAATTGCTGCTGAAAGATGCTCCAGGATTGCTCCAGGATTGCTCCAGGTTTGCTCCAGGTTTGCTCCAGGTTTGCTCCAGGTTTGCTCCAGGTTTGCTCCAGGTTTGCTCCAGGTTTGCTCCAGGTTTGCTCCAGGTTTGCTCCAGGTTTGCTCCAGGTTTGCTCCAGGTTTGCTCCAGGTTTGCTCCAGGTTTGCTCCAGGTTTGCTCCAGGTTTGCTCCAGGTTTGCTCCAGGTTTGCTCCAGGTTTGCTCCAGGTTTGCTCCAGGTTTGCTTCAGGTATACTCCTGATCTGCTACTGCTACAAAGCTAGGGCGAGATATTCCTTGATGCCAGAGGTCAGAGAAATTTCCCTGCAAACTATAGAAACCTTGGAATGGCAGATACAAACTGAATACCTGGATGCTTCTTTGACTTCAAAAAATACAGAGCCACAGCAGCGCTTGTGTTGATGCTTTTTTTTTGGTTTTACTATATGGGGGATGTATATGATCACAGAAATTGGATAACATCAAGCCGGCGAATAGCGGATAACAGGGCGCCTGGCTCTTGGGGACCCGTAGCGCTCCTTCGATGTTGTACCAAACGTCGCTGTGCAGGAGGCAGAAGAGATGTACCAGCGAGCAATGGCAGGCAAGAAAAAGGCCCTGGGTCCAGATCACGATAGGACTCGGTGATTTGCGGAGACATTGAACGCATTAAACATTGCAGATGCAAAATAGTGCCTGATACTTCTCTGTAATATATTTTGCAAATGATTCCTTGTGATGTGCTAGAGTACATCTAACTTGCGTAACAATTGTATACATTCATGCTACAATGCTCACTACCTTTTGCCACCACCGTCGCTTTTTGAGATCTAGTGAGTCTGTAGCTATTGTTGTATCTTATGTATATTATTCATTTCTAGGGATCAAGCTTTCGGCGATCTTTCGATAGGTCAGGGTGTTCCTGTGAGAGTTGCAATGACGCGATGGTGCGTGTGGTAGTCATCTGAGAGCCGTAATTGTAAATTGGCACTTACAATACATGAGTCTTTTCCGCGTTTTGTATTATACTATTCGGCCTTGTGACAGATAGTTCAATACGAAGTTAACCATATACGGCTTAGCAACTCATGTGACTAGGGTTTGAAAAAGCCCCTCTGTGTTGTCCAACATGGAAAGCGAAAGCGGTCGGTACTGTAGTGCACAGGCGGAAATTCGTGCTTGGAATGCAACAAGCGTGGTTTGGTTTGTGTAACCGATGAGAGTTCCGACAAACGACGCAAAAGCTACTTAATGAGAATGGAAGAAGATCTTAAGGAATATCATTGATTGTTATTCAGAGGGAAACATGAGGTTATATATATACAACGAGAAGATCAAGTTGATTGAAAATCAACTTGAATCTTCGTATAGACAATGCGGGAATTAATTCCGATGGTGCGGCTTGATTCCTGGCCTGCACCGGCCTCATATCACAACAAAAACAAGTTCGGTATATTATGTTTCTGTGAGTTATCGAGAAAGATAACTCCCTTCAAGGACGCGGGCCACCTCCATTTGCACTTCACTGATTGGCGGTGCCGACTGTACGACATCGATTATATGTTGGACATCATTATCAGTAGAAGTCCTTATTGCCTCAAAAAACTTGTCCAAAAACTCCCAATAGTACTCTGAATTACAGAAGTTTTCACGTAGGAATTTTCATTGGACCATTTAATTTTATTAGTAGAACAGTAATCAGCATGCTATTCTCTACCATGACGAGTCGTTCAGTGGTAGGTTATATCGACCCTGCACGTATGGGGGAGGCCGTGGTAGGTCCTATTATCAAGGAAAGCTATGATCAGCTTACCCAGAAGCAGCTTACTGTACTATCGGGTTCGGACCGAGAAGTCATTGCTTGCATTGCTAAAGAGCAATGTTTTGTTGACTGCCCTGTATGGAGTGACTTCAATATTGTGATAACCTTTATGAATATGGATTAAAGACATGACGGGAGTGGTTATTTTTGGATCAGTGATTATCCTTAGAACTCCAGCTCTTCGTATGTTTGTAAGTTTATCGTTCAACATCGGAACATAACTTAAAATAAAGGGGTAACCATGTTAGGAAAAGCGGGTTATGTAATTAGGGTTTGAAAGAGCATCTCCGTTGTCTCCAACATGGAAGGCGATGTCGGGCGCCACTGTACAGTAGTAGTAGTAGAATTCAATTACCCCGATCTCTCGCCGAAGTTGATTTAACCACTAGACCAAAATACGAATCCGTATCCAGCCTAGTGGGTTGTGGTTTAGAATCCAACTAAAGCGAGGGGTCAACGTAAATGAAATCACCCATCCATCCATCCATACTGTAGAAGGTCGGTAGCATCTCCTAGTCCTGTTCTTTGTTCCCGA